CAAAAATATAGCCAGCCCAACGTACAGAACACCAGGCCTCCTTTATTGATCTCGTTACTCGTCGCTCTGCTGGTTGGTAGACTGTTGTCCCAAACGTCTCGAGTTCGAATCTCGGAAAAAATGTGAAGGAAGTCACGCAATGCCCTTATCATTGTATGCAATGAACAAGAAACATTTGAACACTACTTCCTCTAACCTCTCCAGCTCTCTTTCTCTCTTTCTCGCTCGCTCTCTCTGGTTTCATTGTTTATTATAAAAATTATAAAAAAACACAGCAGCAAAATCCAAGATAAAACAAGTCCATACCAATTATTTTACTAACATACAATTGATCATTTTTTTTTAAATGTAAGGAAATGTATTGCCATACCCACATTGTGTTAAAATCACAACAGCCATTTCCCATTACTATATTTATTCAAGCTATACGTATTTCATAAAATTATTTTAAATTAACTACAATCCCTATAACAACCACTTGCAATAACAAACCATTTAATTCCCTACCATTCCATTTCATTTAAATCCTAATTATCTCATACAATTACAAGTGATTACATTCCCTCACACGTGTACCACCAAACTATTTATATTCCTTAACACCCCTAAAAATGTATTTAAAATCCCGTGGGTATCTAATACACTTCTGATTAGTATCACAAACACTCCAGATTTATGACTATCAATTAACCACATTTTTATCACGTATCACAAACTACATTTTATAAATGTGCGACACCTTGCGGTAAAGTATACATTTACAATTCGTTTAATACGTTTTGTAATTTATTTTACATTACTTTAAAATTAATCAATAAAAAAACTCATTAAATATAGTTTTCCAATCTTGAACTATCATCGACACTCCTGATTACTAGTATAGACATAGCTTTTGTATTCAAAGAATAATCTACACTCCCTGCATTAGACTAGAGCTTATATCCAATTCCATTTGTGTTGATATGTTTCTATTGGTCAGACATAGCTTGTTAAAATAAATCAATCAATGAAACCTATTAAAGAATATTTATTTATAACATACGCTCTTTAACTCAACTATCTTGCAATACCACTTAAAGTCTCCTATCTTGAAATACCGCATAAACTCTCTTACTGACGTGTCACCTACACGATAAATACAAGACAATATTGCCTTTATTAATTCGTTTGATATCTAAATGTGTTTGAACAAATACTACCAATACAAATCTCATACATTTAATAAAATGCACATAAACGTTGTCTATACCATGCCATGCGATCAATACAATTTAGCTGGGGTTTTTTAAGCAATAATAAGCAGTACGTAATCTTTATAATACATTTTTATTTCTAAAATACTTATAATTCTTATATTTATATCAGTTTTGTTTTATACATAATCTAAAAGTCATTGAATATTGTAGTATATAGAAACCCAAATGTAATTTAAAAAATCATAAATATTTAATATGCATTTATTTATATTTTACTTGTGTAATGCGAAATGTTAATTGACAAAAATATTTGTTTGCAGCCGTTTAAAATGAAGATCGTATTTTTAATACTTTAAGTGGGTCTCGCAAATATCATTGGTGTAATAGACTGGTAAGTTAATAAAGTCTTTAACAAAAAGAAATTGTGGTTGTAAAGTTTTCAGAGGGAATCAAATTATTAGTTACTAATATAAATATTTTTTTTGCCACAATTTTATGAACAAAATAATGATGTTCTTTTAAATAGTAAATTAAATGTTTTTTCCAGATTGTTTACGAATTCCTTTTTAATAATATGATTAAATAAATAATGTCAAGGTGCATTTTTTCTTCCTTATTAAATAGCTGTTGTATAAAATAGGGTGTAAGTTGTCGTGCAAGCTGGCAATGGTGCGGACATTTAATTTTCGTCCCCAACACGTACTGAATTTCTTTTAATTATTAAAAACAATTATACTTATTTTTTAATAAAAAAAATAATTGGAAAGCAACTTTTGAAAAATTTAACTTTTAAATACTGCCATAAAAATATTGTTAAAATAAGCATTCTTTAACCCATATTCTGCTAGCGGCCCACTTATGGGACGCTTGTAAAAAAATTGCTAAAATTTATTAAAAAGTAGTTAAAACACAAATTATGCTTTATTGCATTTGAAAATGGTTAGAATATTGAATTTGTGTGTGTTTTGTGAAAAACAAAATTCAGAAAAATGTTATAGCGCCGGCTTTCCAGAACTTGTCAAAATGGTGGAAAAAAGAAAACATGCGCATAGGAAAATGCATATCTTCTGAAATATTAACATTTTAAGTGCAAAATACATTTGAAACTTGTAGCAGTACCATATTTCTATTTGATGAAAATTTAAAAGTAACACTTTTGTTTAACAACTTCGTTATATCAAGTGTCCCATAAATGGGACGCTAGCAACGAATGGCCCCATGTAGATTGTTACACAAACGTCACATTTATTGGACATTAGCGAGAAACACAGATGCAAATGTTTATGTTAAAAGGTTATTTATGGTGAAACAATTGTTAACTTTGTTTACTGTTGACTTTGGGGTGGTAAGTAGTATTTATATATATTTAATTATGACCTTCACCTATATTTACTTATATATTATTGTAAAAAAATTGAAAATATTGAAAAACTTACATTTTATTTTTAAGTTTTCAGAATTACACTAACTGAAGTATTTTATACCATTGAATATAAACTAATTTAGTATTGCTGTAAATTTACTAGCGCGTGATATTAACACTATAACAAATTAGAATAATAACATTGGTCACGGTTTAGGTAAAACGATGCAGTCATGGGGGTTGGTTAACACTCTTCATATAAGAGAGCTCAAGCTACATATAGCAGAAATGTGAATTAGCTGTGTACTGTTGTCATGCCCCAATAATATTCCCCTCCAAAGGTTCCCGATACCAGTTTTACTTTGTTAACTTTTATGAGACTTTGTAAGGAGATTCCTGGTGCTAGATTCGGAGCTGTTCGAGTAGTGAGGTGCATACCTGGATGAGAGCCATGAACACTCAATACAGGTCTCAAGAGACGGAACCGGGCCCTAGAAATAAGATGTCTGATGTCCTAGTGTACCCCTGTGAGGGGGGGGGGGGATAGAGAGGGTAACAAAAGAGAAGATAGCTGGATGACATCTGGGACTGGACCGAATCGTCTTTTGCAAATTCACTGAGGGCAGAATTTCTCACAGAGTGGGGGGGGGGGGGGGGGGGGAAGAGAACAAAATGGAATTTATATAGAAAATATACTTTTATCAGTGTCCACCCTCCCCTGGAAATTTAAGTCCCCCCCCCCCAATGAACATATATATATATATATATATATATATATATATATATATATATATATATATATATATATATATATATTTGTATATATATACTAGCGCACACGTCCCCGCGCGATGTCGCGGGCATAGAAGAAAGTCCGACGAAATATATAAGAAGGGTTACATGCATGCGTTACCAATCCTATATTATTAGACGCATGACCTTGTTTTCTAAAAGTGAGTTATTTAAATGTAAACAGAGACTGCGCTTGGATCATAAATATTGGGACACAGGTTTACCTACACTACCGCATGAAAACCTTAAGTGTACATTAATCACTCACCGATATAATGAGAGTAGAACACACTTTTTTACAAAAAGAAACATCCCAGTTGATAATCTAACCTTGGTTAACTTTTCTGATTATGAAAAACAAAGCGCATTACATGGCCCTCAGCGCCCCATGTGAGCCTTTGGAGTCCGAAACTGAAATTTTTGTTTGCAGCCAGATCACACCCTACCAGGGCGCCGGCTGACACGCCTGCTTGAATTTGGTGAGCGACTGTTACAGCCCATCTTATCCATTGTCTACCGCACTGTTTAGAACGAACGTTGGTGCCATTGCGCTCACAGAAAAACCCAAGGCGCCAAATTGAACCCTGCAGGGGCGCCTGGTTCGATATAGTGAATGATTATTGTTTCCTATCGTGTCTTAGTGTAAAGACTTTTTTAATGAGCTTTCAATATTTCAATAGTCTATAACTTGAATACTATTTCAGATAGATAAATGAAATTTCACACGTAAGTTAAAGTTCTAGTTCTCTGCTTTCTACCAACTTTTGAGTAATTTCCCTCGAGCGGAAGTAGTAATTTAAGCAATTTCCGATTTCTCAAAAAAAACGCATGTGAATTTATAAATTACTAACTAGACTACCCGTTATTTAGTTATCTGTGGGTTTCGGGGTCTTCCATAAATGACATCACACCTGTCACTTATCATCATAAAATAAACAGACCCCACATTCAATATTGTAAAATTAGTTTTATAAGGCGTTAAAGATCTGAATGGGCAACAAAATCTTGTATTTATTGTACTAAAAAGTAAACAAACAATGTGAAGTCACTTTTCCCTCAAAGTAAAGTCATTTTTCTGAACTTTTATAATTAATGTGGATAATCTACCATTGAATAAATCAATTAATTAATTAACGTCTTTAAATAAATTTGTGATTAACAGTCTGTCTGAAAACAAAAAAAAATGTTCTCTACCTAATTACTTTTTTACAGCTCTCCGCATAGTGCAGATTCTCTCCTGTAGCTAACCGGACAAAAAAAAAACAACAAAAAAAACAAAAAACAAATAGGCTATATACTTAAACATGTAAACAAACCTGAAATTTAGTAGTGTATAGATAGATAGATAATATTCCGCACTATTATGCACATTTTATTTGACGTTCATTTGGTGTGCAATTCTTTTTTTTACGAGATTCTATTCTATTATAAAAAAGTTTAAGTAATTAAAAGTAGATTTAAAATATTGTCTATGTCCCGAGTTGCCATCCCCAGTAGTGTTAAAATAGAATATTCGAGAAAGTTTAAGGGAGATCACTCCAGATTTATTTTTTCTTCAGTTTAAGACCGTGTTTGCAACATTTAGCACAACTGGTAACAATTTAGCACACTATGAGAAATTTAAATAATTTAGAAAAACAAAACAAATGTCTAATACAAATTTTTATTTTGTACTGGATATGTCTTCCGATAATTCATTTATCTGTAATGAAAACATAGACATAATTAACATGATGAACATAATGGTACTACCAAGCAATTGCATTATACTTGTATGTTAACATCCAAAATGTAGGATCTATATTAAATATGCTTCCAGATTATTCAAAATATATAATATTGAATTCAGTGAGTTGACAAACATATATATATATATATATATATATATATATATATATATATATATATATATATATATATATATATATATATATATATATATATATATAAACATGATCAACCATTAAAATTAGAAAATAGAAATCAATCAGCTCGTTACAAAACCTTGTATGATATTTTTAAAACAATACTACGTAAAACTGTTTTATTATGTAGTCCTATAGACATTTTTTTTCAAACTTGATTTTACCTTCAATATCATTAATCGCATATAAATGCGATATTTGCTGTGGAAAAGGGTGTTTTCTAAAGCTAGAAATACTGTAGGAGTTTAATTTATTTATGTTTCTTGTCAAATTTCAATAAAGACTATGTGTGGCAGATGTTGCAATAAAATAAAGTGCAGACGATTGTGAGTGTCCTGGCATGCAAAAAAAAAAAACTGACCGAAATAAATCTTTAAAAAAGTTTTCCTAACAAGCTATCATGAACGAATTTAAAACGATTCAGAAAATACATCGTCTTTTAAAATAATAATCAATTATTTTAGGAATAACTAAAAAGCAGAGAGCTGATCGTTCTTAAATGCATTGATACCTTTACCTGATATTAACAAGCGATGTTTAAAAAAAAAACAAGCAACAAAACAAATCTATACAGAAATAAAAAAAAGGTGAAACTTAAAAAAACGAAAACATGAAAGCAATCTTTGAAAAATTATTTTCTTGATCATACTTTTTTGTTCCAGGTATAGGCTTGCATAATCTTACACCTTCTCTTTTTAAATCGCTGAAATTTATAGATAAATGGTTATTAGTCATATAGATTTAAATTTAAACACGTTTTTATGATAAGTTTATAATATATATCACGTTGCCTGTTTAGTCAGGGCACGTTTGGCTTTACTAGTCTAGCTGTCTGTACTTAAATCTTGTTAATGGAATATTTTAAGAGAGCCTAATTGATAGACGAACAATGCGTCAATGATGACTTTTTGTTGTTAGACAGCTGATATCTCTTACCCTGTTTGACTTGACTGAATTGTTTAGACGGTTTAGACTTCTTTAATGATCTACTAATGTCTTTCTTTAAGTAAATTGCCACTTTACAATGTAAGATATATAAAGGTGCTAATTTTATTTTCCTTTTGTTTAAGGATTGTTTTATTTTTGTAATAGTTTAGTTGCACTGTTGACAAAATGCAAAAAAATAAAAATCTTCAAGATCAATATAGTCAGTTAAGCCTTTTAATTTACTATATCATTTTATTTTACGTACATTTAATAATGAAAAATCAATATATTATTATTTTAGTTAACGTTAACTTGTTACTAATAAAAAAAACCTACGTTGTACATTCATAATCAGGGCAGCAATAGACGCTGCCACCGCAAGCAGAATTCGTCGTTTTACAACAACTGTTTTGAGAGAAGAAAACATGAAGCGTGAATTGTTTTAGTTGTATAACCAGAGTACAATTCGTCTTTGTATATATTGATTTTTGATTATACATGATACGTCATATGAAAAAAAAATCAAACTATATTTACAAGTAAAAATTTGATATTTTCTCACAAGTATTAAATAACAAGACTTTAATATTTTTCTGTAAACGAAATATATCAAAGTAAGGTACTAAAGGATTAAACTTTCAAAATTCGTTTGTTTAATGATTGTGTTAAAAATCATATTTGAAGAAGAAACTTAAAGATAACTTACCCTTCTGAAACAGCTACGAGACTCGCAAGACATACCAGAAGAACTAGAACTACAGTCTTCATTTTTATGAGCTGCAAGAAATATCATTTACTTTCGTTTTTTTTAAAACAAAAAAAAACTTTTCTAAACGTGATATTTTCTATTCATAAAAACTTATATCATATACTCAAATATTTTTTCTTTATTTAAAACTGTAAATACATGTATTAGACCCTTTAATTTTTAATTACTTTCAAATTATTTTTAAAAATTATATAAAAAATAATTAATTATAGAAAAGTAACGACTAAACTAAAATACAATCTAACTATAGATTTCAAAGCTAAATTACAGAGTAGAATTTACCAGCTTTCAAGAAAATGGTTTAAGATATATAGTTCGGATGTTACTGTCCAGACACGCTTTATATTTATGTTAATCAAAAACGTGGGGGATTTCTATTGGTTGGTGTAAACAAGCTTAGTCATCAATAAAATTCAAATAAAGTACGTTTACATGTATGTATTTTCTATTTTGTATACGTGGCAACAAAGAATGTAGAGGGTAATGAAATTTAGGAGTGTATAAGCTACTTCGATTTAAAACCTGAACATAATACTTCTAATCAATAGTGTAAGTAGCTAACCAGATATAGGATTATTATACCGAAATATACTGAACGTAGCTTTTTAAAAAGTAGTTATTAGCATAGTGCCCACGCTGCGAAGGAGTGGTAGCAGCACGTGTTGTTGATTAGGTTTAAGGTGGTCTGGATATTCTTTCATCACACACCTTGTGTATGAGTCGCTTTGGTGTGGATATGTATATCCCTCTAGTGCAACGCGAGCGTGTCGAAGCATAAGAGAAAACCCGTGATTCACTCAACCTAAACCAGTGTCACAATGATTTTTCGGCGGAAACTCCAAACTAACAAAAATGCAATGAATTAGAGCTATTTGCGTGCATTTAGATTTCTCTCTGTCCATTTTCTTAGTGAGGTCAATCTTTATTTAAGCTATTCCAATGTTAACGAACAAAGAGTAAAATGAAGTATTTAAGGTCTGGCATAATACAGTAAAAACTGAATTAGATATATTGATTGTGTAATCTAAAATCGAGTTACTCCAATCGACCTAACACACATTTAACAAATGGTGTAACTCTATGCATTGAATGTATTATCGTGACGGTGTTAAAACCTAATAGAAACAAACATCAAATATCACTAAAAGGTATGGCTAAAAGCTATTTATTATTTATTGTATTATTATAGACTAGATATTAAACCTAGAATCAAGCTTGTCCGATTGACAAGCCATCTATAGCTAACCACATTAAATTATAACAAATCGCTATAGCTATCTCATCAGACGCTAATCCATGTGTATGATAATTTGTTCAAGAGTTAAGCAGATAATCAATCGTAGTATTAAATAAAATATGGGCTCGTCCAATTCAATGACCTGATATTGAATAGGAGGAAATGCGTATTAACAGAGTATTAGTATATTGAGAGTGTTTATTCCGGTGTTGTCGTGCTTACAGTGTTTCACTAAAAGTCCCGTTGTATAGATACCGTTTATGCACATTTTATTAAAGGTGGGGGATTTATATTGGCTGTTGATGTTAAAGAAACGGTCAGATATATTCAGCAACTAAATAAACGTAATATTGACAGGTCACCGAGTGTATGTGGTACTTCGAGGTCGGTGAGTGTAGGTAATGCTATAAGGTAAGGGAGTGTATGTGGTACTTCTATGTCAATGTGTGTGTGAGATTCTTCAAGGTCAAATAGTGTAAGGGGCACTTGTAGTTAGGGATTGTATGTGACAGTACAATTACCGATTCGATTTATTTATCGATTATAGAAGTTCATCGTTCACATAGTGTATTGTACTTTGTAAAACGATGTGGACACCGCGTTGCATTCTGAGATCATTTGTCCATGATATTATTTGTCCTGAGATATGTTGTCTGAAATCATGTGTCATGGAACAATTATACCGCAGCATTATTGAGGATAATTAAATTAAACTAAAGTTTTTTTATACATCAAGCTCTGTGGCGTCTGGGTGGTAATGTTATCATATCCGCGCCTCAAAAACTTTCATCCAAGAAATATTGCATTAGTTTTAGAAAACAAAGTACACGGTTCAAAAATCGCATTGCTAAAATCATCTTATAAAATAGCGTCACCTTACAGCAACGTACTAGTGCTTTAAAGCAAACACCTGTAGTTCCAATTATCCCGCGAGATAGCTAAATCATCGATTATGTCTGGGTTATCAAACCAGGCTGATTTCTATTAGCTGGTTCAAAAAAGCTCAGACTCCTGCTTTTAAAAAAAATGCTCTTGTAATGTCTAGATTGTGTTGTTGATATGTAGCGTCAGGTTGTGTAAATTAGGTCTGTCAGGTAGTGTATATGTGGTCTGTCAGGTAGTGTATATGTGGTCTGTCAGGTAGTGTATATGGTACTCTCAGAGAGGGCGTGATTTACTTACAGTTTTGAGTGACTTTATACCATGAGTGAGTGGAGGTCACACTACCAGTTAAGTATGTAGGTGCTACATTGTGTGGGTGGTTGAGTTTATCTCAGTTAGTGTTTAAATGCTATGATGTTTCAGTGTAGGTAATACAGTTATAATTCAATGTGATTTAGCTGTTTAGGAGTGGGGGTGATATTCCCAATGTAAACTACTAGTTTATCTGCATCGTTTTGTAATAATTGATTTTTTAACAACCGATCTCCCACCAGCGGTGATAAATCAACTAGAAATAAATCACACTGCCACAGGTATTTAGCGTCAACCTTGGTGATACCTGATATTCAGTAAGTCTTAGTCACATCAAGAGATTAGGCGATTTTAATTATCTAAAGCTATTACATATTGCATTCATCACTAAATCCATTAAATTATGGCTAATCGCTAAAGCTATCTGATCAGGCACTAATATCTTAAGTGGAGCCCTGATTCTCCCGAGGACTGGATTTGTTTCGGATTTGGCTTTGGTTTCTGTAACTGTCTTTTGTTTTATGTGGACGAGTAGTTAGCCCATCGCACAACCCCCAACCTGGAGGACCAGGGCACATCGTTTGGTCTGGCCCCTACCCACACAGATCTGTCCGACTTGGTTAGACCTGCCAGGAGCACTAGGCGCCCGCCGGCATAGCTCTGGGGGTCGCTGGGGCACACAAGCCATCCCACCACTTCAAGGCGGTGTGCCATCAGGATGGGCACTAATATCTATGTATGCTAAATTGTTCACGAGTTATGCAGATAATCAATCGTGCTATTAAACAAAATATGGGCTGGTCACATTCAATGACCTGATATTGAATAGGAGGAAATGCGTATTAACAGAGAATTAGTATGTTTCAATTACCTATTTTTCTCAAAGTATTACAGTGTACACCTAATGATGAGTTAAATCCCAGCTCTAATTTCGATCAAGTGTAAAGATGTCTATATCTGTACTAACGTGCTACACGTCACCCAATGTAAATCAGCATGCCTGTAAATGAAATGACTGTGCCGATATTTTAACAGATTGTACAGATTTACAACTGTACACGTGTAATATTAGTATAAGAAACGTTGGTGTACACACCAGAGGGTTTGCAGCCTTAGTGTCCAAGTTTTGGAAAATATTTGATTATTATGTATTACAACGATGTATATGCGTCTATCAATATAAATATGTAGCTATACATTCATAAAAAAAGTAAAATTCAACTTTAAAGAGCTAACGATCAAAATTGGGTAGATGCAGGAGAGTTCATGTTTCTTGTCCTCGGCTTATAAAGGGACGGTGTGGTCAGCTCTATGCATGGCCGCCTTTACTTTACCAACGTGAGTCAGGTACCTATCAAACTATGTGTGGACTCGGGGACGTCGTACAGTCACATGCTTAGACCGTAATCGAACTCCAGGACTTCAGTAAACTTTTCGAGTGCTCTATCACTCCACCACGCAATCCCATTGTATATCCCATACACGTTTTCAAATAGCTTTACCGCCAGTGTCAACTCAGCTATGGCGGTTGGTTTTTTTTTCTTCGTTTTTTTTTGACACCACGCTGTCGAAGGGTTGCTTCAAGAATTCCATCACAAATGATCTCAGGACAAATGATCTCAGGACAAATGATCTCAGGACAAATAATCTCAGGACAAATTATTTCAGGACTAATGATCTCAGGACTAATGATCTCAGGACAAATGATCTCAGGACAAATGATCTCAGGACAAATGATCTCAGGACAAATGATCTCAGGACACATGATCTCAGGACAAATGATCTCAGGACAAATTTTTCCAGGACTAATTATCTCAGGGCAAATGATCTCAAGACAAATGATCTCAGGACAAATGATGCCATTGAAAAATTACCTCAGACAAAATATCCGTTATATATTGTTGGTTACAAATTTTGTCCTTAAAATCATTGTCCTGAGATAACTTGTCCTCACACCCCGTCCGGTCATTACTAAAATTCATGCGACCGTATGTTTAATCTAAGTCCTCACTAGGCTTTATAGGTTTGTAAAAGATATGGTTTTTTTTTACCGCCGTTATCTAAGGTCTAAATGTTGTTCTATCGTAGGTCTATCTAATATGAAATATAAGATTTAATGAAGAAAACAATATATTTTTTCCTAATTTATTTAATACGTGAATTAATATATAGCCTTAAATAATTCAGTTACAAACCCAGTAGTTTATGGGTTTTGTTATTTTTTTATATATTTTCTGTCGACAATAAATGATTTGTTAACGGTTATTGCCTTGATCAATCCAAAGATTAATTTGTTCATATTCTTGAACTGAAAGATTTTTCAAACTTGTCCTAATGAAAATTCTTGGAACCTTATGGTAATAGATAATTATTTGCAGGTAGTTCATTTTTTGTGAGAAACTATTTTTTTGAAAAATGACGGTTTTAATGTATCTAGTGACTAAGATGCTTTAAATAATCGTCTATATGTTTCACTACAGTGACAAGACGAAAGTAGAATGTTTATTCTTTATTCCGGTGTTGTCGTGCTTACAGTGTTTCGCTAATTCTGCACCAGCTGTAAATATAACTCACACACTAGGAACTAATGACTTGGATACGTTACTTAGAAAACAAAAAAACAAAAAAGAAACTACCGATTATGCTTGATATAACTTGAAGTAGCTTCTAATTATTCTGTAACTTACACACAAGAAATTGGTAGTATAAACACGAATAATATAATGTAGCTGACATTCAAATGTATACATTTACATATATTCTAAAAATATTAATATAAACATAAGAACTATCCAATACTTAAGAAACAAAAGTAACAATACATATATTTTTAATATATTATCCGTAAAAATGTGTTTTCGAGTTTTAACAATAGATCCATCCGTTAACAGTCTCAAACTTTAATAGAAGGACTCAGCATTTACTTTTATAAAATTTAAATTATAAACTATGGTATTATAAATACATATTTGCTTATAAAAATCTGGCTTGATTTTGTTGGTCTAAACTAGAGATTTTATATATTTCAAGAGGTTAGGGTTTTTGGAATCTAGAAAATCCCAAAAGAATTCGGTTGTTTATATATTTTCTCAATAAAAATGTACATACAAATAGCATAACCATGATCACAATAATTTCTAAAAGGTAATTGTATCCATGTTATCGTCAAGTCATAGATATTTATTGCAAATACTATAGTTTTTTGTTTTGCTTTATTTGTTACGTGCCGTTTTTTTTTAAATTGTTTTTTTTGTTAAGATAAGCTGTATTAGATTTTTTTTTTTCAAATAGAAGAAACGTATTAAAAGTCAATTGTGAGTGTTATATAATTAAATAAATGTAGCGAAAAAAGAATACGTAGCTTTATAAATTGATTTGATATAATTTTTTTTCTATCTGCTGGTAGATCTAAAAGCATTGAACGAATTTTTTTTAAACAACCACATAAATTGCAAATGGAAATGTTTATTATTATTTAAACAAAAAGAAGAAAAACAAAACGAAAAAGGGGCAAAATATGGCATTCACTTTATGATTTTATGCATGCTTGCATTGGTCATCCACATCATTGCTAAAATAGAAAAAATAATCGTAAATGAATTTGTAACAAAGATGCTTAGATATTTTTTTCTATAGAACTTCCCAGTTTATTACAACTCTATATAGACTCTACTTCAGTCTTGTTAAATGAAATGTTTTATGGGAAGTTTACTTGAAAGTAGACAGCACGTCCGTAGTGACTGTGTGCTGATAAAGACATCTTAGCTCAATTTCTTTTTCCTGATAACGACCTCTTAGCTCAAATCTCTGTTTACTTGTTTGCATTTATTTACAATTTCTTTTTGTTTACATTGTTTGAGTTTAGATTTGACAGTTGTTTATATAATGCATTCCAATATAAACACATATTTTTGCTTTTAAATTATTTTTTTCTTACAAATCAAAGTAAAAATAAAATTAAATTAAAAAAAACGTGATTTATTGACGGTGAAAAGATTAATTGGAATGTAAAGTGTTTGTTTTACATTAACATCAAGATTGTAAATGAATAATATAGGGCCAAAATATCTTACCTGTTATTATGGCATTAAATTTTTGTCACTTTCTTTGCTACCAGAACCACAACTATTTTAGGACAAGAAAACACGTTGCCTGATACATTTTTATCTAAATTTTATACAAATAGAAAGTACTTCGGAAGTCAATGAGTTAGTGTTTCTTGAATCCCAAAAATACATACATTAAAACGTGAATGTTGACATTTAAAAAGACAGGTATCAAAATAATATATTCAATTAAAGTTTGAATTTAAAATGTATCTACATGAATTTGTTTTTTCGATCTTAGTTGTTTAAAAAAAAATTGAAGATAACCTACCTCTCTGATATAACAACAAGAGTCGCGAGACATACCAGTAGAAGGAGAACAACGATCTTCAGTTTCATGTTCTGCAACACTCCAAATAATACATTTTGTGTAATTTCTAAAGTATAACTATACAGTTCTGAGTTAATAAACATAATGATACATTATTCATAAAAACAAATATATATATATATATATATATATATATATATATATATATATATATATATATATTTTTATATATATATATATATATATATATATATATATATATATATATATATATATATATAAAGCCACGCAATATTTACTATCACAAACAATTATTTTACATTAATTATATAAAAGTATGAAAAAGTTCCTTAGCGATATACGAACCTTAAAATATATATTGTAAAGTAAGTTAAATTACAGTGCAAACTTGCTTTAAGGAAAACAGTTGGAGTTCTGCAGTTGTTGAGTCAATATATGACTACACTATATATATATATATATATATATATATATATATAAAAAAACATCGTTGTTTACATAGGAGATGGCAAAATGTAATACCATGGTTAAAAAACTTCGAGCGATTTTTACCCTAAAAAATGCATAGATAATATGAAGTCTGTATTGAGGTAAAACTTTCAAGGGAACTTTTTTACCTGCATCGACCTTTAAGCTCAGATGTATATTGTTTTTTTTAATATAGAAAAATACTGGGATCTTGGAGAGATAAATGTGACATATATTTATGTAAATGTGTGTGATTAATGGACTGAATTATTTGTATACGAAATATTCAGGTAAATAGTATCTGAACAAAGGAAGTTCAAGTAATATAAAATCAGCGTTCATTCACCGCCTAATATGAGTCAGATCATCTTCATTTACTACGTTACTGAAACATGAAATGCAATAAAACGATTGCTTTAATGTATTCCGACTTTATAGCATTAAAGTATCTGCCTTGTCATGCAGCATTTGATTGCTCTACCCACCACAGTACAATTTCTTAGCGAGAGAATGAGCGGTGAAAAACTGAAATAGGTAGAATTGCCACGCCTTAAATAAAACATGCATTCACTGTAAATGGAATAAAACTTCAAGTATATTGTACAGCTGCAAAATTCAGAAAACTAATTTGTAATTCAATCGGTAAGAGTATTATAGCTACTCTCTTACGAGCATAATTTGCAATAGCTGGCACTACACTATTGTATTCTCCACTGCTCCGTAGGATTATAAATTAATAATAAGTATATGTGTATTCTACTGCCACGTAAAACGACGTCGCGGACAAGAGTGTTTTTTGTAAAATAGTATTAATGAAATGCGGCAGCTGGTACAAGGCAGAGTTAGTTATCATATAAATCGGACCATTCGAGACAATAATGCTGTTGACTTTATCAATACAATTAGATTATTTGGTACTAAACTAGGTAATACATTGTAAATAGATTCAGGGATATTTCAGTCATCTCTTAAAATGATAGAAGTGAGGTAGTATATTGATAGTGGGTGGGGTATCAGAGGTATTTAGTATTGAGGTACGTTATAGGAAAGTTATGATAGGTGGAGTTTAACGTAAGGTAGGTTTAGGGTATGTTACTACTGGAAGATAAATTAATACAGCCCATGACGCTAGGCTATAACATATCTGGTTTACGCTAAAGTCATTACATGTTATAGCGATAGTTAAAGCAATTTGTCTTAACGCTAATCTATTACTTATCTTGGCTCAACAAATTAAGTAATACAATAGTGTTTACGTTAAACTGTGTTTTAAATCAGTCTTCAATTTCTTTTTTATTTCTAGTGTCAGTAGAACGTCCTTGAGTTCACCTAGCTATAATCGTTAATTAAACTATGCAAGGGAATACAATGGCGTCATATTACTTGCACAACCATCCCTTCACATAGGGTCGTTTAAAAACAAATGAACTCAATTGTATATAAACGATGGATCATTAAGTCTCAAAGGGAACTAACTGTAGTGATGTAGCACAATGTGGGAAGGCGTCAGGACTCCCGTAAACATAGCTTATAAACACCAACAAAATGATTTCAAGTTAGACAACAAAGTTAGACAACAGTAGAAGTTTTAATCTTCTTCCTTTACCTCGTTCTCCTCTAACACCAACCGTCACTTCCCACACCAACCTTTAACATTCCCACGTTCATCCCTACACACCTCCATTCTCCGGCTCACAACATAGCCGCTGTCACTCCACCAGTCGCTTCCCCTGTTACCCTCGCTCACTCCGTACAACATACACGTCAGCACACCCGCTATCATTCGATGGTTTATCAATACATTTTATAACGAGTTGATCACGGTATCACTATCAGAAAGTAGACCTATAGTCTCATAGAATTCAAAATCTCCTACCTGAAAATTACAAGATATTCGGTTTCATATTTAAGCAATTAGGACCCGGACTTGTTCGCTTACAGAATTACTTCTTATTTGTTTCTTACCTATTAGCAAAATGGTTTTCACTCTATTAAGAATTAGTATTCGTATCTTACGCCTCAAGGTGATTTTAAGGTGATTTTACTATAAAATGCGGGACATAGTTTTTAGAAATCCTACAAGAGAAGCAATTATTTGCGGTTTATCAGATGTTACGCCTACTTTTCGTTAATTCATGTACTTTTAATGCACCAAATGTATGTTTGCGTAATCTAAATATGTATGTGTCTTCTAAACACGGATTTGAAATTGCAGATCTGAAAAACTACTAACACGTCTGTTACTGTATACACTCTTCTACAATTATACCAGAGTTGTGTTGTAGTTTCTAAATAACAGAGTAAAATTTTCATTTAGTTTAAATTTAACATTCTGAAAAATAACAGCTACAAAAAAAAATGATTAACAGGAAGAAATTTTAAAACATTGCATAGTGTGTAAATAAGTAAATATGCTAAGTTGGAAGCAAAATACAGCGACAAATAAATCTTAAACACAGACATTTCTACACAGACATTTGCAAGGAATATGGAAGAATGTTTAGGCGACAACATAGTATATATGTTATATGCGTATCTAGATAACGCTAAAGCCATTACTCATTAGGGCTAATCTTATCGCATATATGGGGAACCGCTAAATCTATTAGTCATCTTATTATACTTCTTAAACCTAACTTTTTGCAGCCGAGTTTACCTTTAATTAAAAACAAATAGTCTTGTTATTAAAACAAAAATATGATATTGATTACATTTAGGAGACGCCGGGTGAGTAAACTGTAGTTTGCTAAATAGAAAAGACATGAGGTCGAACCACTTGGAAGATATGGTAAGATAGCCAGGAACAACAACCAGCTGGGAGAGAAAGTTTAAAGTCACAAAACAGCATTCTTGTTGTGTTTTTTTCTGCAAAGGACAATCAATGTTTTGAAAGCAATTTTTTTTAAAGATGGCTGAACATGGACATGGCGGACTATACAGCGCACAACATTTTGACACGTAATACTTAATTGTGTTACTGGAAATTCCGCCCAGCATAAAAATTGACTTGACTTCTCTGCTCTTCGTGAAACATATGGCCTGAATCATACCTCTTCATTTTTTCTGTGAACTTAGCGATCGCCCAATACATCCCGGAGCATAACAATGTCGAACGGAAAATAATAAACATAAAAACAAAAAAAGCATTGATATTATTTTATTTTTAAACTAAACAAAAGTGTTTTAAACTCAACTAAAATATAAAATCAGCTAATTTTATTTTCCATTCAAGCAGGGAATGTTTTAAGTTTTGAAAGAATCAATCAGGCTGTTGACAAAGCACTACAAACAAACTACATCACTAGTGCCTCATCAACAAAAGCAGTTCATTAATTTATTTAATATTTCAGAACTTTTATTAAATCTAATAATGTAAGTAAAAGAAAAAAACAAATAACTGTGAGCAATGAATGTGTCCGCAACAAGTATAGGGAATTTCGCAAGACTCATTATGCTTATGGCAACAACGGTTTGAGAGAAGAAAATATGAAGCGTAATATGTTTTAGTTGTATAACCAGAATAAAATCGTCTTTGGGTTAATCGATGTGTGTCTATACATGCCTGTACCACAATGACGATAAAATCAAGTTATATTTACACCTAAGAATTAGATATGTTCTTACAATTATTAAATCACTATAATTCAATATTTTACTGTATAAACATGTATCAAAGTAAGGTGCTTTGATAAAACACTGAATAAATATTTTATCTAAATGATTTTGAATACAGTCGTATTTAAAGAGGTAGACCCGATTAAAGAGTGTAGATGAGATAAAAAAATTATGTGGTACTGTAAGTCAGGTAGTGTAGGTAGTAGTTTTGATTTGCAATTGTGTCTGTCTGTATCTGTCAAACTATTACTTGAGTAGGCTAAAGTTTCAGTTATGTTGACGAAATTTGATATACAAGCGCTCTGTTCATTTTTTTTAGTTCTACATCAACTTTTGAGCGATTTCCGGAAACAGGAAGTAATACTTACTCTAATTTCGATTTATGAAATCTCCCATAGCTTGCGTAAGCTAGGTAGACAAAATTTCAAATATAAGAATAACATTATTTGTGAAGGTTTTATCAAATTTCAAACGACTTTCTGTAACTTTCTTCATTTAGCTAAACTTCTTGCACATTTGAGTGCTCATTAAAGTCTGGCTTAGCTGTTAATGAACTGATATTATGCTTTTACGCTCCGACAAGCAGACCTGGACTAAAATAACTGAGGGTGTAAATAATTTACTGTAAACGTGAGTTTAATATAAATATTTTTTTAAAGAACAAGCTGACACACGATTGTAAAGTATTGCTCGTGCTATTTAACAGGGTAAGATGTAGACACGATTAAAGAGTGTAGTTGAGATAAAAAGCGTATGTGGGTTATTTTGTAACAGTAAAGTTGAGTCTCACTTTGAGGGTTGTCTATACTTTAAGAGAATGTAGATGACATAAAAAAAATGTAAGAAGAAAGTTAAGTCTATACTTTAAAAGTGTGTAGATGATATTTAAGAGATAGTCTTATGTAATACTGGCAGTGATTGCAAAACGTACAGACATGATTGGCTTAGCTATTCGTAAAATTTTAAGGATTTTCTATTTTCCAATCATTCTACATGTAATATGTATTAACAAGGGGCGTAAAATTATTTTATTTTAAAATAAAGTTTCAGACGGGTGATAGCATCACGTGCTTAAGTCCACCAAGTTCTGATGGGTACCTGAAATAAATGACATGATTCTGGTGTGGACACTCAATGATTTAAACATTTTAAAAACACGTATAGGCCTCAGCTTTGAGTGAACGTTAATATCAGGTGTACAGTCCAGGTATGGCCTTCTTTAAATAGACACTTGTGGAAATCCAACTTTTTGTGGGCCTCGAAGTAGAGTAGTAAACTCCAACCAAATGTCAAATTTTTGACTGAATCAGGCCGCCGAAAATGCTATTTTGAAACACTACATGTTGATCTCTTATTCATCCATAGGCTCTCACCAGGCTTTATTTCCCCCACAAACAGACGCTGAACATCGTCCTACCGTCTGGTACCCGGCTAGGTCGAGGAGCAGAGGTCGGAAACTTCAACAGGCCTAAACTAAACAGTCATATATTTAGTACTGCTGACGTAGCGGAAAGATATCGCCTCTCTGTGTTTTGTTAGTGTGTGTGTCGTGGTAGTGGGTGGGGGGAGGGGGGGGGCTACATATAATCATGCTAAAAATGAGTACATATTGGTTAGATATTAGGGGATCGGCGTGGTCAAGGCGGTAAAGCTCATGGTTGCTAAAATGAAATATATCAATTTCGAACCCTCGTGCAGATGAGGGACATCTACTCTTCAAGGAGAGACAACTCCAAAGTCAAACATCTGCTGCCTTGTAGTGTTTTCGTGGTTGCACAAAAGCTAAGGAAACAAATCAAAAATGAAAAGTAGGCTGAAATCGAAGTCGATGGCCTCAACAATGCATACACAGTTGACAATTATACTTGATTGTGTTGGAGGGGATCCCTCCCAACACTAAAATTAATAACGAAGAAGAAGAGAAGAAGAAGGTTATATATTTGTATTTGATTTACCGCTCATGTTACATAATTATAGCTTTTTAAATTAGCACTTTTGTAAATATCTGTGTCGAATGATCCCATAAGTTATAAGAATGCATTATATCTTGAATAGTATGCTATTTAGGATGTATATATATATATATATATATATATATATATATATATATATATATATATATATATATATATATATATATATAATATATATATATATATATATATATATATATAATATATAATATATATCTGTATTTTAATATCAGGTGCCCCCGAAAAACTTTTTAGACCGGGTCTCCGCCCAAGCTCAATCTGCCCCTGCCGACTCCCTTCCAAACTCACGCATATTCATCATTTCCTGGACAAATCTTTTATACTCCATTGATGTATAAATGTGCGATATACTTTAACTTACACATACCTCTCTTAATACCTACATTCTAATAATACGCGCAGAAATCAGACATTACAGTAGTGTGACATCTTGCTTTTAATTAACCTACACCTTTAACCTCAGCTGCAGTTTACTTAATACGGCATGTAATTTCATTTAAGATGAATTTATAACTGCTGGTAGAACGACGCGTGTTTAAATATATTTATATGACGGTCACGGGTCAAGGCTTCACCTTAAACTTAGATGGCTGGTCAGTCGGACTAGCTTGATTCTAGGTTTAATATCTAGGCTATAATAATACAATAAATAATAAAAAGCTTTTAGCCTTAGCTTTAATGATATTTGTTGTTTGTTTCTATTCGGTTTCCACACTATCATTAATTATCGAATTCGATAATACATTCGATAAATTGACTTACACATTTGTTAAATGTATGTTAGGTCGATTGGAGTCACTTGATTTTAGATTACACAATCAATATATCAAATTGAGTTTTTACTGTATTATGCCAGGCCTTAAATATTTTATTTTACTATTTGTTTCTCATAATTGGAATATGTTAAATAAGGATTGACCTCACTAAGAAAATGGACAGAGGGAAATCTAAATGCACGCAAATGGCTCTAAATCATTGCATTTTTGTTAGTTTGGAGCTTCCGCCGGATAATCATTGTGACACTGGTTTAGGTTGAGTGAATCACGGGTTTTCTCTTATGCTTCGACACGCTCGCGTTGCACTAGAGGCATATACATATCCACACCAAAGCGACCCATACACGAGGTGTGTGATGAAAGAATATCCAGACCACCTTAAACCTAATCCACAACACGTGCTGCAACCACACTTGGTAGCGTTGGGCGCTATGCTAATAACTAATTTTTAAAAACCAATGTTAAGTACATTTCGGTATAACAATCCTCTGTCTGGTTTGCTACTTACACTATTGATTAGAAGTATTATGTTCAGGTTTTAAATCGAAGTAGCTTCTATACTTCTAAATTTCATTACCACCTCCATTCTTTGTTGCCACGTATACAAAATAGAAAATACATACATGTAAACGTACTTTATTTGAATTTGATTGATGACTAAGCTTATTTACACCAACCAATAGGAATCCCCCACGTTTTGATTAACAAAAATATAAAGCGTGTTTGGACAGAAACAACCCAACTATATATCTTAAACCATTTTCTTGAAAGCAGTTTAATTCTACTCTGTAATTTAACTTAGATATGTATAGTTGAATTTTTTTTAGATGTTACTTTTTAAAATTAATTAAGTTTCATATAATGTTTAATAAAAATGTGAAAGTAATTTAAACTAAAATGTGTAATACGTGTATTTACAGTTTTTTTAGATAAAGAAAAAATATTTAAGTATATGATATATTATTATTGTTTTTATGAATAAAAAACAACATGCTTAGAAACACAGAACTATTAGTTTTTTTGTAAGAAATAACAACAGTAAATGATATTTCTTGCAGCTCATAAAAATGAAGACTGTAGTTCTAGTTCTTCTGGTATGTCTTGCAAGTCTCGTAGCTGTATCAGAAGGGTAAGTTATCTTTAAGTTTCTTCTTCAAATATGATTTTTAACACAATCTTTAAAAAAGAATTCTCAAAGTTTAATCCTTTAGTACCTTACTTTCATACATTTAGTTTACAAAAAAATATTAAATTCTCGTTATTTAATATTTGTGAGAAAATATAAAATTCTTACATGTAAATATTGTTTGATTTTATCATCCTGACGGATCAAGTATAATACAAAATCAATATATGCAAAGACGAATTGTACTCTGATTATACAACCAAAATAATTCACGCTTCATGTTTTCTTCTTTCAAAATAGTTGTTGTAAAACGATGAATGGTCTATGCAGTAATACAGAGATTTGCTGCAGCAAATTAACTTGCGAACAGTTGGTTTTTTTTAATTATTATCAAACTTACGTAAACTAAAATAACAATTTTTTTCATTATTAAATGTACGTAAACTAAAATGATATATTAAATTAAAATTCTTAACTGCCTTTATTGATTTTATAGATTGTATTTTTTTTTGTAATGTGTCAACAGTGCAACTAAACTATTACAAAAATAAAACAATCCTTGCACAAAAGGAAAATAAAATTAGCTGCTTTACATCTCTTATATTTAAAAGCTGCAATTTACTTAAAGAAAAAAAATGGCAGAATATTAAAGAAGTCTAAACCGTTGAGAAATTAATTTAAATAGTTCAACAGTATATGAGATATCAGCTGTATAACAACAAAAAGTCATCATTGACGCATTGTCCGTCTATCAATTAGGCTCTCTTAAAATATTACATTAACAAGACTTAAGTATAGACAGCTAGACTAGTAAAGCCAAACGTGCCATACCTAAACAGACAAGGGCTAATATACTATAAACTTATCATAAAACGTGTTTAAATTTAAATATATATGCTCATTACCCATTTATCTATACATTTCAGAGATGAAAAGGACCCCGGCACAAAAGTATGCAAGCCAGTACCGGGAAAAGAGTATGATCAAGAATTTTTTTTTTAAATATTGCTTTTAAGTTGGTTTTTTTTAGTATAACCTTTTTTGTAATTGCTGTATACTTTTGTTTTGTTGCTTGTTGGGTTTTTTTCATAAAAAATGTCATAAAATCGTTGCTTCTTAATTATTTTTTTTTAATTGTTTTTTTAATAATACAAAATAAATGCGTTTGCTTGGTACTACTATTATGTTCATCATATTAATTATGTCTCTGTTTTCATTATAGGTAAATCAATTATAAGAAGAAGATCCAGTACAAAATAAAAATGTGTAATAGACAATTGTTTTGTTTTTCTAATTTATTTGAATTCCTCAGTGTGCTAATTTGTTCTGGATGTGCTAATTTAAATTTAACAAACAAATATCCGGTTTATTACAAGTCGAAAAACCTTAACTAAATTTGTCGTCTAAATCAAAGCAATTTAGACTAGGACACTTAAGGTTATGGACAATTTATAGACAGGCAGATAGTATGGTGTTGACATAATATGTATGATGTTTAATAGGCAGCTATTTTGAGCATCAGACTTAAAGTAGAGAGGACGGAGAAGGAAGGGGGGGACTTAAATTGTTATGATAGATATGGACATAAAACAAAATAGAATATATATGATTTTATGCCTATAAGAAAACATAAAGTCACACATAAATAAATAAATGTACTGTTTAATTATAACGATACCAACTTAATATAAAAACCTATCGTGAGGAAGGTCACAGCCACATTCTAACGAGAAAAATTTATTTATCTCAAAATGTAATACAATAATAAAATATGTTATCTACTTGCAATTACTCAACGGGCTGAGAGAGTTTTGAAAGTAATCGCACAATTGCATTTGCTGGTACAAGCTTGAAAATGATGTCACAGAGAATGGGTTTCCTGATACGTAATGGGTTTCCTGGCGACTTAATCAAATCAATTAGGTTATATTGGTACTTTATTGGGTATAGTATGTTGAAACATATTTGGACGTATGAAGACGTGGATTTAAATGTGTACAATATTGGTAAGAGTGTGCAGTGATTGGTCGCGTTTTGAGAGAGTAATATAAGTCTATAACAGAAGTCAAGCAAAGCTAAACCAATTACAGTTTTGACCTTAAGATTTAGTTAATACACATCTGAATAATCACTAACGCTATTAGCGATTTGCAGTGGTTTGCAGTGGTAGTCTAAATATAAATATATAATTAATCAGGGGATACAATCCAATGGGCTTAACCGATTCAAAGTTTTATGGATTACCTTTAAATTGATTAACTACTGATATTTTTAGCTCTTGCTGAAAACATCGAGGTTGGGTAATTGATCTTGGGGTAATGATACAAGGTAAGCAATCTCATGTTCCCGTTTTAACCCGAACCTACATTGTTGTGTAACATTACGTCACATATCCATAGGCTTAAACACATGTGTATAATTGTTTGGTGTTGCAACACCCATCGGCCACCTCTCAACATAAACACACTCAAAAATACTACGATCAATTTATTACGAAAAAAAAAAACGGAATTTCTTTTTTAAAAATATAGCGGAATCGCGTCTTTTTTTTAGAGAATGATGATACAATCTCATTATATGTTTTAAAATAGAAATACATTACAGCGTATTTTTTAATTACCATTCCCTATAGTTGGACTTTTTGCTAATCAAAAGCTATAGCTCAATACGACCTAATAGATATTTATAATTTTGAATGAGTCGTTATTTGTGTTAGTGGTACTACGAGATAGGGAACTTGATGTGGTACTTCAAGATTGTGGAGTTTAAGTGGTACTTCAAGAAAGGGGAGTTTAAGTGGTACTTCAAGATAGGGGAGTAGAAGTGGTACTTCGAGATAGGGGTGTTTAAGTGCTACTTCAAGGTCAGTAAGTTAAGAGTGTATGCTATAAATAAATATCATTTAGTGGATTTCATTGATTGATTTACTTTAACAAGCTATGTCTGACTAACAGACATATATTAACACACATAGACGTGAATGTAAGCTCTAGAAAAAGATTCCAAGCAACAGGGGCCATTTAAATTGTGTTCTTATCAAATAATCAAACACAAAAAAACACGAACAATGTTTTGAAAGTTCGGCTGTCTCTAAAATACTTTACTGGTGAGGTTGACGATAGCATTGTGAACGTGCTGAATCTCTAGAAAATAAAAAAAAATTAAAACGATTAATTAAGGTGATTAAAAATTCGCACTTTTCCCATTTCCTGACATTTTGTCGGTCAAGCCGCAATAGTATTATGCGAATGTATGAAGACTTTCGGTCAAGCCGAAATGGTATTATGCGAATGTATGAAGACTTTCGGTCAAGCCGAAATGGTATTATGCGAATGTATGAAGACTTTCGGTCAAGCCGAAATGGTATTATGCGAATGTATGAAGACTTTCGGTCAAGCCTAAATGGTATTATGCGAATGTATGAAGACTTTCGGTCAAGCCGCAATGGTATTAAACTAATGTGTGAAGACTTTCGGTCAAGCCACAATGGTATTATGCGAATGTGCTAAGACTTTCGGTCAAGCCGCAATGGTATTATGCGAATGCGTGAAAACTTTCGGTCAAGCCGCAATGGTATTATGCGAATGTGTAAAGACTTTCGGTCAAGCCGCAATGGTATTATGCGAATGTGTTAAGACTTTCGGTAAAGCCGCAATGGTATGATGCGAATGCGTGAAAACTTTCGGTCAAGCCGCAATGGTATTATGCGAATGTATGAAGACTTTCGGTCAAGCCGCAATGGTATTATGCGAATGTGTTAAGACTTTCGGTCAAGCCGCAATGGTATTATGCGAATGTGTGAAGACTTTTGGATAAGCCGCAATGGTATTATGCGAATGTGTGAAGACTTTTGGATAAGCCGCAATGGTATTATGCGAATGTGTGAAGACTTTTGGATAAGCCGCAATGGTATTATGCGAATGTGTGAAGACTTTCGGTCAAGCCGCAATGGTAATATGCACATGTGTTAAGACTTTCGGTCAAGCCGCAATGGTATTATGCGAATGTGTGAAGACTTTTGGGTAAGCCGCAATGGTATTATGCGAATGTGTGAAGACTTTTGGATAAGCCGCATTGGTATTATGCGAATGTGTGAAGACTTTTGGATAAGCCGCAATGGTATTATGCGAATGTGTGAAGACTTTCGGTCAAGCCGCAATGTGTAAAAACATTCTGGTTCCCTAGTCGGCGATTCTAAGGGTAGCAATAATTAATGGAAGTCTTTGATATCGTTATACCGCACTAATATTGAGGATAATAAACTTAAACTAAAGGTTTTTTATACATCAAGCCCTGTGGCGTCTGGGTGGTAATGTTAACAAAGCCTGGTAATGTTAATAGATTTGTTCTAAGCAATTAAAAAGCAATAATTACTTTTTTTAGTTTTTGTAATACATACTAAAGAATGACATGCTATAAAATGAAAATGCATTTAATATTAATAATATAAATACAAAAAGACATAAAAATAAACACAACACGAGAAACCATTACATATACGAAGCTTTGCTGTTTTATATTCTTTTGACCGACTTAGGGTTAAGAAATATCACGGCAAACATAAAATAAAACAGAGATTTTCCAAAAACAAACTAATGCACTCACACAGATGAGATGTTGTAATTTGTTTTAATTGAAAGGAAAAAAAAAAGACAATTTATTTCAAAACCCGATCAGGCCAGAATTGAGTATCCTATGTTCATATTTTTGTTTGTATATATATATATATATATATATATATATATATATATATATATATATATATATATATATATATATATATATATATATATATATATATATATATTTATGGGGGCATATATTTATGGGGTTGCCCTTTTATCTATTTCCACCACTGAATGTACTAGTGCTTTAAAGCAAACACGTGCAGTTCCAATTATCACGCGAGATAGCTAAATCAACGATTATGTCTGGGTTATCAAGCCAGGCTTATTTCTATTAGCTGGTTCAAAAGAAAAAAGAATGGAATAAACATTACTTCCAGCTTAGAGTGAGCTCATACCATGAGTGAGTGGAGGTCACACTAACAGTTAAGAGTGTAGGTGTTACATTGTGTGGGTGGTTGAGATTATCTCAGTTAGTGTTTAAATAATACGGTGTTTCAGTGTAGGTAATACAGTTATAATTCAATGTGATTTAGCTGTTTAGGAGTGGGGGTGATATTCCCAATGTAAACTACTAGTTTATCTGCATAGGTTTGTTATAATTGATTTTTTAACAACCGATCTCCCACCAGCGGTCATAAATCAACTAGAAATAAATAAAACGGGTACAGGTATTTAGCGTCAACCTTGGTGATACCTGATATTAAGTAGGTCTTTGTCCCATAAAGAGATTAAGCGATTTTAATTATCAAAAGCCATTACGTATTGCATTACTCGCTCAACCCATTAAATTATAGCTAATCTTTAAAGCTAGTTCATCAGACGCTAATACATGTGTATGATAATTTGTTCACGACTTATGCAGATAATCATTCGTGATTATAAACAAGATTTGGGCTCGTCCAATACAATGACCTTATATTGTATACGACGAAATGCGTATTAACAGAGTATTAGTATATTTCAATTACCTATTTTTCTCAAAGTATTCCAGTGTAACCTAATGATGAGTTAAATCCCAGCTCAAAATTCGATCCAGTGTAAAGATGTCTATATCTGTACTCACGTGCTACACGTCACCCAATGTAAATCGGCATGCCTGTAAATGAAATGACTGTGCCGATATTTTAACTGATTGTACAGATTTACAACTGTACACGTGTAATATTAGTATAAGAAACGTTGTTGTACACACCAGAGGGTGTGCAGCCTTAGTGTCCAAGTTTTGGAAAATAATTGATTATTATGTATTACAACGATGTATATGCGTCTATCTATCTAAATATGTAGCTATACATCCATAAAAAAGTAAAATTCCACTTTAAAGACCTAACGATCAAAATTGGGTAGATGCAGGAGAGTTCATGTTTCTTGTCCTCGGCTTATAATGGGACGGTGTGGTCAGCTCTCTGCTTAGCCGCCTTTACTTTCGCCAACGTGAGTCAGGTACCCATCAAACTATGTGTGGACTCGGGGACGTCGTACAGTCACACGCTTAGACCGTAATCGAACTCCAGGACTTCAGTAAACCCGTCGAGTACTCTATAACTCCACCAAGCACTCCCATTGTACATCCTATAGACGGTTTCAAATAGCTTTACATCGCCATTTTCTACTCAGCTATGGTTGTTGGTTTTTTTTGACGTGTTATACTTCACGCTGTCAAATGTTTTTTTCCATCATTCCATTATCTCAGTGCAAATGATCTATTGTCCGTTGTATTATTTGTTTTTGAGATAATGTGTCCTTGAGATAATTTGTCCTGTCACCACTTAAATCCATCATTAAAAAATTCGATTAGTTGGTATTAAAGTAGGTAATACATTGTAAATAGGTTCAGGGACATTTGAGTCATCTCTTAAAATGCTAGAAGTGCGGTAGTATGTTGTGAGTGGGTGGGGTATCAGAGGTATGTAGTAGTGAGGTACGTTATAGGAAATTTATGATTGGTGGAGTTTAGCGTAAGGTAGGTTTAGGGTATGTCACTACTGGACGATAAATTATTAATGCAGTCCAAGTTGCTAAGCTATAACATATACGGATTACGCTTAGGACATTATATATTTTAGCGCTAGTTACAGCCGTTTGGCTTAACGCTAAATCTATTACTTATCTGATTGTAAGTATTAAACATGTTTGTGCAGTTTTAGCCGGGACTTAGTCATCTTATTAAACTACTTTGGCTCAACTACCTCAGTAATACAATAGTGTTTACGTTTAACTGTGTTTTAAATCAGTCTTCAATTTTATTTTATTTATAGAGTCAGTAGAACGTGCCTGAGTCCACCTAACTATAATCGCTACTTAAACTATGCAAGGGAATCACTTACACAACCATCCCTTCACATGAAATTGACTAGAAACAAATCAACTCTACTGTATCTGCACTATTGATCGATATGTCTAAAAATAACTTACTGTAATGTGGGAGGGCGTCAGGACTCTGGTACATACACAGCTTATAAACACCAACAGAACTCTTTCAAGTTAGACAACAATAGAAGGTTTAATTCTCTTCCTTTATCTCGTCTTCCTCTAACACCAATCGTCACTTCCTACACCAACCTTGAACATTCCCCGTTCATCCCTGCACACCTCCTTCCTCCCGCTCACCACACCCCCACTGTCACTCGACCAGTCGCTTCCTTTATTACCCTCGTTCATTCCGTACAACATAACTTCAACACAGTGCTGTCACTCGATTTTTTATTATTACATTTTATATTAAATAATAAAAATAATAATTTAAACAAATTAAGCTCATTCTGAAATTGTTTTAAAACATGCATTACTATGTAGCATATAAAAATGCAATGATAAGCAAACTATGCGATGTAAAACTGAAATAAAAATAACTAAGCACATCATAAAGCAAATTTTAGATCAGATTCTAACAAAATAAACCGGGAGTGATCTCCTATAAACTTTCTCGAATATTCTTATATAAAACAACAGGGGAGCGAACTCGGGATATCGTTATGGTTTCTAATCCATTTTAAATACTTAAACTGTTTAAAATAGAATAGAATCTCATAGAAAAAAGAATTGCGCACCAAGCAAACGCCGAATAAAGATGTGTATATTAGTGAAGAATATTATTAGTACTTTATAAATTCACATGCGTTTTTTTGAGAAATCGGAATGAGTGAAAATTACTATTTCCGGTCAACGGAAATTAGTTAAAATTTGACAGAAGGCAGAAAACAGAAAATTAGATCTTTTACTTACATGTGAAATTTCATATATGTATCTGAAATAGTACTCAAGTTATAGGCTTTTGAAAAACTCCAAGTAGAAAAAGTTCCACTTCCGGTTATCAGAAATCACTCAAAAGTTGAAACGGATCTACGATTTTGATATAATACTTATATACCTAGCTGTAACGGTACTCAAGTTATCGTGTTTACACACACACACACACACAGACATACGGATAAGATTGCAAAACTATGTTTTTCCGACTCAGGGAGGTGTAAAACGTCGAGATTTGTAAAATCTCGATTTTTTTCCACGATTACAATACTTTCTATATAGGCCTACTTCGTATATACGAGAAAGTTTTAAAAAAAGTTCATCAATATTTATTTTATACACATGAAAATTATCTCTCCCTAAAGGTTTCATATTTATCTCTCAGTTCTCTTTGGACCAAATGTGTAGGTATGGAGTCGGCGCTCAATACACTCTTCAGACCAAACTTGTATAGTTCATCATTATGTTCAAGTATAAATTAACTGTTTTCATAAACGTTTTCTGCTACTGATTTCTCTTGTTGTGTCCATATGTTCTGGTGTGTTGGTATGAGAGGCGTTTCATAGTTGCTGTAAGGCGTATTCAGCTCACTGTATCGTTGTAGAACTTGATACAGACACCTGTACTGATCCTGAAGGTACAAGTCAGTTCACAAATTACTATTTATTCATTCTTAGGGTTGTAATTTCAAAGCATTGAAAAGTAATAAAGAAACTTACCAGAGACGGAATGACCTGTGGTCTGATACATTTGATGGCACCAACAACAAGTGGAACTGTTAAACTTTGGTCATGGTCCATTCGGTCAAGTAGAAGACTCAACACACAGGCCAGGCCGCTGTACTCAGCTCCGTTTCTGGAAATACAAGTTCTAAAAATTAAAAGTATAAAAAGTACCAAGCGACTAGATTCATTGCACATCTCATAACAATTTATAATCTAATTAGTGCATTTTTATTTTATTCCGTTGGAGCAAAGCTGTACAATCCACGCATTGCGCCTACTACTATTATCTATCTAAAATGTTTATACATAATTCATATTGCATAATATATGATATGTTTTATTTTAAAGACTTTGAAAACCTGCACATGTAGAGTACTCTCCCCTGTGCCTGTACATTATTTGACCTTGTGTGTTTGAGAAGTTTGAGAAGATTCTTGGGATTCAGGTCTGTGCTTTTACTCGCGATGTGGGTCACTTGGGTTTCACTGGTTACCTAGAGAACATAAAAATGAAGCGCTGAGAGGACGTCAACAGATGCAACCGTTTCATGGCACAGCTTAAATAAGTCTTTGTATTTAAAATAAATTATTACACATTCGTTCGTAGTGATGATATTTCAAAGTGTGGAATAAAACAATGCGCGCGATACGTCTAAATACAGTCTCATGTGTTTGATGAATGCAGTTGTTTGTTAATTGTGAAAGGTTGAATAATAATATGTTGATAAATATTCAATATGTTCTTATATTTATTGAGATATATTAAAAATGTATTTGAGAAATTTATTGTATAAAATTAACGTTAATTTTAACAGGCTGTTCATTTTTTAATACATAAATTATACGATTATATGCACACATATTATACGAACATTTAGAGGTTGAAAATCCATGGCTTTTATGTTCGCCTTTACTGTAATGTTTTGTTCCTCCCATAAACTCTCAGACTTGACAGGGCCTGTGTGTATTTCATATGGTCCACAGTCTAAAGGTGTAGTGGTGCTCTGGGGCAGATATTCTCCTATTGTCTGCATCGAAAAAATGGCAATCATTAAACATTACATATGGGAGAAGATTTCAAATCCCTTTGAACCCCACTTCATTTAATCTCAGATTATGTTAATCCTAATCAGCATAAAAGAGTACCTCGTCTTGATCATCTGATTTTGTTTGAAAGGCCACGACAAGTTTTACATTGTACTGTGCCACCAATCTCCAGAAATCTGTGACTGTGTTTGGCATTGGGAACTGTGTTAGTATCTGGTTCTCTCGGCTTGTGAAACTCTGAATAAAAAGTCACAGTCAAAATAGTGCAGTTCTTTATATATATATATATATATATATATATATATATATATATATATATATATATATATATATATATATATATATACATTATACTCCGTAAAAATGTATTCATAGACATTACCCATATGTGTAATTGAACTCTAGTTAAACGTACCGGTACAAGTACAGCATTAATATAGTGGTTAAAACTGTTTGATTCACAAGACAGAACAGCGCCGTACAGCTTACCTATGTAATATTTTAACAAGTTTACAATCAGTTCAGAAGAATGTTAATATACAAAGTAATACGTTATTTTATATATCTAGTGACGAATGTCCCAATTTTGTGATTAGAAACATTTTAACAATATTAAACAAAACATGACTACCTACTTGGAATAACTAAAGAACTTCTGTTTTTGTCGTCTTTAGTAGAGGTGTTATTGTTTTGATATACATTTGATTCAGCATCCTTTGAAGTTTTGTTGCTTTCATTTTTATTAAACTCTTCACTAAGACGAGAAACTGTCTGCACACACAAGATTTTTTAAAAAAACGAATGTTTTGTATAGTAGGCCTTACATACATTTACACAAACTATCTTAGCAATTTGGTATACATTATTAGTACAACTTTAACATAAGGAGATATTTTACATTCAAACAAACGGGATTAAAAATAATATATAATATAACGTATTGTCTTATTATTTTAATATTATCAAATGCAAATCGTATTGTGGTTGTTTTTGAAACGCTGATTTTCTTTATATAATACACTATTAACAAAATGTCATTTCTCAGGATGCATGGTTGAATACATAATATTGACAGGTCTAATTTTAGTGTGACCATAAAAATAACAATCTTTATTGTTTTGATAATAAATACATGAATATTTCAGTACACATTTATGTAATTCTCCTTTTTAAAACAAATCTTAATTATTTTCTTGTTTTTTTGTTTTTTTTACAATTACATCCTTTTCTGAAGATCATGTTTTGCATTGGATAATATGCCTCAGCTTATGGTACCTGGAATTCCTTCTCCATATTGCTGATTTTAGAAATTGTCATTTCTTCCAGGTATTTCAACCGTGTCAAAATATCATTTGAGCTAACAGTTGTTCTCATGCAGACGATAGCAACTTGCGCAGCTTTATGTAGAAACTCATATTGCTCCTTGTAACAAAGTAAGAGAAAACATCAAACTGTATGTTGTTTTGATTCTAAGTATTTATTGTCTATAGTAGTGTTATAGTTTTCAGCTTACCGCTGTTTGAACCATCAGAACCCTGTCTTGTCTGAGTTTGGCCACTGTTTTAAAACAATTTATCCGCCCCGTTTCTTCAGCTTCTCTCATCACATTACGTAGAGCGATGAAGGTTCCAGTACGTCCTACACCAGCGCTGTAGTTTATATATACACACTAATTTAATTAACATTAAAAAAACAAACAAACAAGTAACGTTAAATGCGGTGATCAATTTCATTATTTATGAGTTTTATAATAAAAATACAATAAAAGATAGACCTGCAGTGGACAACAATAGGCCTTGATGTACTCCCTAACGCCACCCTCTGTTCAAAGTCCACAAGTCCCCACGGTGTTAGAGGCACACCTTTGTCTGGCCACGATGTGAAGTGGAATTGTGTAAAGTGATGACCTACTTCGTTTTTCTGTAATCGATAGACATTTTTACAGTAGAAACTTTTGTTTTTATTAAAATGACCTATAAGCTATACGCCGTACATTTATTTTTTCGCGTGTAATTCCTGATTTATTTTAGTTTTTGATAATGTTTTTACGTGATTATTTCTACCTTACGAAGCTCCAGCTTCCGAATGGTGTACTCAGCAAAGACGTGTGTGGCAGCCAATTTTACCTTGATGTCGCCGAAGGTGACTGTACCTTCTAACGGCCAGTACCTCACACATTTTTCCTGGCGAAACCCAAACACATGTTCTACTTGCATGTTTGCATTCACAAGGTATGATATGTATTAAATTTGCTTCTAGATTATTCAAAATATATAATATCGAATTCAGTGTGTTGACAATCATTAGAAGATAATTGAAGAATAAAACGTGTTAATTTTTTTTTAAATTTTATAGTAATTTGAAACTGAAATGGTGTATTCATTTCAAGTAACCTTCCAATACGAAGTTTATTGATACTAATAAAATTTTCTTCTGGCAACAATGATATTGTCACAGAGCACAATAATTAGTTTGAAATACGAATTTAAACATTCAAAACGCAATGCTTTAAAACTTTAAAAACTTCTTTGTTTTACGATTTTAATATTAACAAATGCAAATCATATAAAAGATGTTTATCAACACGCTGACTCTCTTCATACGATAATCATTTCACTCGATGTCACTTCTCACGATGTTTTGTTTAATACATTGTCTAATTCTAATGTTCTGAACTTAGATAAAAGTAATGTTTTAAACATTGATTTTGGTATTAAATTAAACTATATTTTTATAATATTTTTTTTCTGATTCAATTCTTAATTTAAAAATATTGTGTTATCTAGCAATGTATACATGAACTTTCATAAGCTACATACCTTCCCCTCTTCGATTAGGTTTGTCAACATCACAACTTTATCAACCTTTTGTTCCCACAACATTCGCACAAAGTCGTTGGTGATTACTTCATTTGGACCTTTGTTATTTTATAAATGAATACATAAAAAATACATATACCAACATATGTGTAACCATACGTATATATATATATATATATATATATATATATATATATATATATATATATATATATATATATATATATATATATATATATATATATATGTATATATATATATATATATATATATATATATATATATATATATATATATATGTATATATGTATATATGTGTATATATATATATATATATATATATGTATATATGTATATATATATATATATATATATATATATATATATATATATATATATATATATATATATATATATATATATATATATTAAGCATATACTAGTATTAACAAATAAAAATATTTAATAACATTACTAACACAAATCAGCTGCTATTATATTTTGAAATAAGCAGTTTTAATTTACCTTGAGAAGCTATGAATTTCTCCTCATTGTTGTATCCCTGACATGAAAATTTAATTACACATTTAAAATACAATGTTTGCTTTTGCTACCTATATTTTGTACACACTGAATATGTAAATGGATGTTGTTTATTTGGGTATATTGATATAGTGTTCTACATTGTATGTGCATTTTGAGTTCATAATAGACATATTATGCATATATTTTGTTGTTGGAAAAAAAATAATCAATAATGTGTTTAAATTAAGGATACTAAATTCGTTCTTTTGTTTTGCTGTAATTAAACTAATTAAACTGTGGTATTTTGTTTGAGATACAAGAACTAACAATACTTGCATATACACGTATAGGGACATTGATATCTAAATGTATTTTGATACATTTTGACACATTTTAAAAATGATTAATTTTTTTTGGTGCCAATAAAATAGTTTTCATTTTAAAATATAAAGCTCAATGATGTTTTATTAGTATCAACGTTGCAGTGATATAGCAAAACTTGATTGATGTGACCCTCACCTCAACGTAGGAAGCGTTGATGTAGTCGCCTTCATTCTTGCTGGCGTTGACCTCTAGGTGGACACGTGAGTGGTCGTCTTTCGAAATAATTATTTTAATAAAATTCAAATTTACTAACACTTTTTAAAAAATGAAACTGAAGTAAAATTTAAAATTGAAATTTATTTATGTCTAATATCTTACTTTGAACTTACAAGTGCAGATGTTCTTGTATCTGTTTTTGTGTTTATTTGATTCATTCTGGCCCACATTTGTTGTCACATTTGATGGCGCTGGGATTTTCTAAAATGATATAAACATTTTGAAACAATAAAATATCTCGCAATGACATCTCGAATCTTTCCACATAATATAAACATTATGAAACAATAAAATATCTCGCAATTTTTCATACATAAATGACATCTCGTATTTTTACACCAAAATATAAACATTTTAAAACAATACAATATCTCGCAAAGGTTCATACACAAATAACATCACGTATCTCTCCACTAAAACCCAAACGTAAAATAATCTAGACGCTGCCCTTTAACGACCCTGCAAAAAATTTTGCGTCCCGTAATTGTATATGTCTATATCTGGATTTGTTGGCTAACGCACGCTTTATAATTGTTCACAAATCAAATGCAAACAAGATCTTTCTCGTTAAGCTAACCACCCCCGTCAACACGTAGAACAATTTAACAATCATATTATTTTTAATCCCAAATCTCTACCACGAAGCCATCAATTATATTCTACATTTGTTAAGTTATGGCTTTATCTTATTAGTTAAAAACGTTATATGTGTCCAGTATCATACAGTATACATGGTTATAGCCAATGTAGATTTCTACCGCTATGGCTCTGCCGTCCTACAATTGTTGACATCAAATTAGCATAAACATATTGCTACAAATACACTGAATTAAACGTGATTTTCAGGCATTGTAAAACTCATAGTTTTAATTCTTGAGACAAAATGTGAAGATAAAAAATTACCTTAAATTCCTCTACAAAATAGTGTCTAGTTTGAGACTCCATGAAATCGTTTAATGTTGTTACGTTAATGTATCTCTTGTCAAGATCAACATCGTCATTTTTGTAGGCATTTACTACAACAGTAGGCTTTTCTATACATGAATATACATATACATATATATATACATACATTTATATATATATATATATATATATGTATATATATATATATATATATATATATATATATATATGTATATATATATATATATATATATATATATATATATATATATATATATATATATATATATATATATATATATATATATATATATATATATATATATATATATATAAATAAATATATATATATATATATATATATATATATATATATATATATATATATATATATATATATATATATATATATATATATATATATCATGTGTTTATGTTTATCGTTATTTTTATATAAATGTGTTTCTGGGTTTGTGTGTGAATTAAATTTGTATATAATGTATCAGGGTTTGCTCTGTTTACCAATCATCAACCAAGTTTATATTATACAATATACCCGCCTTTATATTTGCCATTATGACGAGACGACTCGTCACCACTATATTCAGCAAGAGTTGATAGTTCATTGCCAGCTAAATCGCCACCATTAGACTTCTGATTTTTATTTAACCTCCGCTTCCTGAACAATAAATGAAGACGTATTCAAAATATGTACAGTAATAAAGGTGCTGTTTATTGTCTTCGACATCAATTCAGTTGCAATTTTTACTTTTTGCTCTGATGGAAATCATTATTATTACTTGCTAAGACTATCCTTAACAGTAACCCTAAACCTAAAAGTAATGGATATATATATATATATATATATATATATATATATATATATATATATATATATATATATATTGTTTGAAAAATATTATTTAAATGCCATTAGCACTATGAGCAGAAAACAAGAACCAAGCTATCGTCGGTTCCGATGAATATCTGCCGTACGATGCAATCTGCCTCACGGACTCACAATTATTCCCTATCACATTACATTATATTAAATAACTGATCGACTGAAATAAGCAAATTGTTATATGTTTAAAAATGAGAAGATACCTCCAGAAAACAAATCCTGCAATGGTTATCAATGCTATAAGTATCACAGCAACAATGGGTGCAACTATAGCCGCTATTGGCGGTGTGTCGCCTGATTTGTCTTGGGTATATTCTGTCGTTTACATAATATAAAACAAAGAAGAAATCAAATTCATCTATTTTTATATAACTTTTTTCTTACATATTTTTTTGTAGAAGTCAAAGATCACTTATTAGAACTCTATGGCTTATTTGTTCAAAATAAAAAGACAAAGATTCAATATGCATTATGGGAGGGTATTGTTTTTCTACTTCATCTACTATATCTTCTTTTTAAGTCCTAGTCTTTTAGTCAAAAATTTAAAACACACGTGCATAAATCAGCAGATGCCAGACATGTTTGTGGAACATTTGAAACTATCACTGGGTAATTATTAGTATTATGTTTGCAGTCATAGTTTTAACACCATTGATAGATATAAAAGGCACAAAATGTATCAAACAATATATACAAACATTGAACGTCTATATTGGATCCTACCCAGATCACAAGTTTCTCCTTGAAATCCCGACCGACAACCATAGACACAGGTTCCATTGGTCACGTCACAGGTACCGTCATCGTCACAATGTTTTGAGCATGTTTTGCTACAGGAGTCACCATACGTGTAGTTGGGGCACACTAAATAAACATGATATTACATTTTACATTTTCTTTAAGTTAAAATTCACACATTTTGCAAAAAAGAAAAAGAGTAATATATTAACTGCATGCATTTGAATTATTTGTTTCTATGAATAGAATAAACATAATCTATAGCTTGATTATTAAATTTTGTGAACATTAAATAGGTAATCTAATTACTTTTATCACAGAAATGTCCATGCAGCCCAGTAATACACGAGTAACAGTGTCCAGTTGTAGAATTACAACTAGAATCACGGCATTTGGCAGAACATGCGTAGATACATCCTGGACCATAGACGTTTTTCTCACAGCCTATTTAAAGTATACAAATATACGTTAAACATGTTGAATTTATATTTACCTCTTCTAATATGTATTTGGTTTTCCTAAATTCTGTATGTGAAATATATATATATATATATATATATATATATATATATATATATATATATATATATATATATATATATATTATATATGAGTGTGTTGTGAGTAGTTAGTAAGCCTACAGATTTTGATGTATTTAAACTTAACTTTTTCACATAGATCGCCATGCGTTCCATTGATACAACTGATACAGAAACCGTTGACATTGTTACACAATAGGTCTGTACAATTTGTACTGCATCTTTTACTACAGTCTTGCCCATAATATGTTGCGTTGCACGCTATAAATAGTACAAATTAAAATATAATTGACCTAAAAGGATGTTAGTATTTAGGTTTTACATATATTGTACAGCTGATAATAGCTTTAAAATTTAAAATGACCAACCTTTATCACACAGACGTCCTTGAAGTCCTGGGTTACAACTAAAGCAGTCTCCACTAGTACTGTTACATTCAGCGTTAGTGCAGTTTTTTGAGCAATCGTTTATACAATTTGATCCATAATGTGTTTTATCACACGCTTTAAAATGAGGTCATATTTGTTTGAATATGCAATTTGTTTTTTTATATAAAACGTTAGTACATTGGCCTACACATTTAAATTACCAATCATATACTATATAAATTATACTATTAATCCTGAAGCAATTTAATGCACAAAAATATGTATTTACATTGTGAACACCCCACCCCTTGATATCCAGCAGCACAACCAGACTGACATCCACCTGTAGCTACAAAACATGTCTCAGTTGGGTCGTTACAGTTGCAGGTCTTGGTACATTCTAGGCCGTAGTTTGGTTCATTGCATATTATATCTGCATTGATAACGTACACATATCTAGTAGCCTATGTTATTGCCCAGGAAGCTTTGTAATTTTTAAATTAAATGTAGGCACATTAAAAACAAGTACTTGTATTATATCTATATACATATTTAGCTTTCAGCTATGTTGATTTATAAGCTAGTCATGGACAATTTAAAAAAAAGGCTAAAAATAAAACTATTTACTTGAAATATCATTCTTGTCTAAGTGGTTCTTACCTCCGTATATCTCCACCTCACACAAAGTTAAAATTTTGGTGGAACTAGTTATGTTCACTTTTGCAACGGGGAAAGGTCCGGTTGTTATGGTGTAGAATGGTTTATCTGTCATGTCTTTATCTGCATAACTAAACGATTCTGTACCACGTTGTGAGTAGCTTATCAATGTAAACTTGTGAAGCCGATCTGAATGTGGTTCTGTAAAATACATCGTACTATAGCGATTAAAATAATTTATTTACAAACTGTTTTGAATCATTGTATATTACTTAGAAAAAAAAGTCAAGATAAATATTGACATTTAATTTTTGTAAAACAAGCTCATACTTTTTTTTGGCATTTTAGCACCTTAAAAATGTTCTGCAATCAAAACAATACGATCTTATAACACTCATCCATGTTCTAGATAGTGCAGAAAACGAACAGTATATTATCATTTGCATGTACGTGCAGTCAATATCCACAAACATATCCATCTTGCTGACTTTCATGGCATACTGTAGACTATGGAGTAACCGGACTCCCTTTCAGTCAATATTCACGCACAAATTCGTCATACTGACGTTCTATCAACCGACTGGTCGGTACACTTTTCACGATGATTTCGAGTCTGATCCACAGTGAATAAATAGTTTCAACTGTTGGGATTTAACGCTTACCATTCACTCCCATTTAGCAGACATTTTATTCTTTCATAATGATCTTTCAAAGCAAGAAAATGCAAAGATGCTTTACTCGATACTATTATTAGTGATTTCTAAAAAAAATTCAAGAGATTTAAATTAATTAATTTGATGGGGGTAGGCTCCAGAAAAAAAAAACGATTATATGATAGATTAAAAAGGCTCTTTTTTAAGATGACCGCAGTTTCCATGGCAAACATATGTTGAGAAAGTCGTGAGGCATGCACATATTTAGCCATAAGTTCCATAACTTAGATAAAGTTAAAAAAAGCTTATTAATTAAACAGTTTTTTCCCGTTTTCTTTTCCGGAGTCTATTTTTTTAACTTTTAAATTTACGGTAATCATAACCTTTACTAACCTATCATCCTATCAACATCATTTCTAGTTGAGCAGTTATACAATATTTTAAATAATTTTAAACTTCTTTCACTTTTCAAATCATTACTGCCCGTTAGAACTGATATTCTAATAATTAAATGAAACATGTAATATATTAAATTTATGTCATTACACTTCACTTTAGAACATTCGAGTTTTAAAATAAAACATAAATTATGTCACCTGTGAAATTAATTTACTATTAAGATGCCGTTACAATGTAATATCTTGATATCTTGTGATAAGCCAACTTTTTGTTTAAGCTATCTTGTTTTGTAAATTTTGTTACAGCAACAGTTTGACATATATTGTTTACACAACGTATATACAATTAAAAAAGGTATCATTTTTTTTCTACACCTTAAAATTATCACTCTCTTATTTTTTCAATTACAAACCCAATAATTGACAATCTGTGTACGATCAAAATAAGAAACAAATTCATAAAAGTATATCCACTTAGAACAAGCTTTATTATGTAGGGATTAGTTTACCTACCTCTGTTGTATAGAATGTATCTGTTTACATTATGTTCATTGGAAAACATAACACTCCAAGTTTCTTTTTTATCGTCATCTTTGGTATGGGTACAAGATGCGTAAGTAAAATTCGCATTGGTGTTACCATCCACAGCTCTGGAAGCATCGAGGGTTGTGTTGATGCCATTTATAATTTCAGAATAATCGTTAGTTTGCCATGTTTTTTCTTTAAGAGCCACATTTCGTCCTGTATGTACAAACACCATCACAATATTATTAGTTTATCTTAAATAATTTTTCTGGTTTTCAATATATAATTACTTTGTTAATAACGTAATCGTTACTTAATAATTAGAAAACATTCTCAAAATCAAGCCACCAAACGCTTGTTACTCACATGACTAACCATTTAGTCAGCTGTATGTGACAACTCAACATACACAGTATTCCCTTTACAATGCATATGCATTGTTTGAAGAAACTAAACGATATTTCTCTGGAAGCGGTTAATATTTGTAATAGTGTGTTAGTTTGAAGTAGTGTATTGTTGTTTATGTTTCCTGTACATAAAGGGCGTCCACAAATTTTAGGCTTTTCAAAATGATGTGTTGCAAAGAATGAAGCCTCAATAATATGACTCAATATGTGATGAAATACCATTAATTGGAATTACTGATAGACAAGCACTATATTCCATCAGTAAAAACACAATTTAGCATCGCGTGCTTAGCAAGTTACACATCACTGTATGTGTATGGTTTTTGTCTTACAATTTACCACAATAAAGGCGTACATACGCTCAAGATTTTACGTATATGTCAGCATGTACTCCATTAACTTATTCAAAGTAATATCATGTATGTTTAGTTTACTCATATACAATTCAAAGTGTAATGTTATAAGTTCTCACCTCCACTGAAGTGTACTGAACAAATTGATATCTGTGACAGAAAAACGATTTCTACTTGTTTGGTAACACTTCGCGTATCACATAACACATCATAGATCGTGTTGGTAACATTGATTACTGTAACATCGGCACATCTAGTGGCTGAATCAGTGCTGGCATTCTTAAGATTTAACACCAGACCTTGAAGAGAAGCTGTCAACAAACAAAACAAATAATGGTTTTCATGCTTTTGTGTTTATTAATTGTTATTAGTTTACCGCTAAATAGAATATAATGTACATACCACATTTATTTTATTAAGTACATTCTGTTCTACCTTTTTGTTTAGTAATTATCCTAATCCAGGTGAAGCCATATGGGATGTCCCAGGTTTTTGTAAATGTTTGCACCTCTATACAGGTACTGCTGTCTCCATCGGTTAAATCAGGTGGGAGGGTGGATGAAGTATTCAACGTGGCCAGGTCCTCTATAAATAGACATAATCGTATATCGTGACATCTCTAGACAAGTATGTACGCAGGAATAGCGCTAAAATGGACGCTTCTAGGTACATAAAGCAGGGAAGGCCGAGGGAGACGTAGAGGCGCACGGCGAGGGGAGCAGCTGGCAGTGGCAAGACTATCTTAGGGGACTGCCACAAATATTGCCGGTGATCGACAAAATGGAGAGAGCTTTCGGTAGCGGCCCGTTTGTTTTGTGTACACAAAGTAAAAGATGATATCATAACTTCTATGATGTGACGCTATAAGTAATATTCTTTCATAAGACAAAATGAGAAATCGACCTACGGTACTGACACAGAGGACCAAACCACCCAGGTGCACATGATGACCCGTCGACACAACCACCTTGTTGATCACAGGTGTTGACACAGTGACATTTGTATTGACATTTGGAGCCGAACCAGCCCGGATCACAATCTGTGAATAGTCACATATTTTATAGTCCACTATTATTTTAATAATACAGTAAGTTTTCTCGAACACTCAATACTTAGTAGTGTATGAAATATGACTCATTATCAATGGCATTCACGTTAGATCTAATATTAATTAAATAACAACTAGGTCCCAAGTCTTCTAAATTAGAAGCGTAAGTGAAATGAAATTGCTAAAAGAAAGAATATTCTAATAATTTAAACATATATTATTCCGGTCATAATAAGACAGAAAGATATTATCAAGAAACATGAGTCATTCGAATATTTATTTTATTCTTATCGAGCACTAAAATATTTTGATAACAATTTGTACTTTGTAAGATACATCTACAAGAATAAAACCCTACACATTGTTAAATATTATGAGAATTAATTTATAATACCTGTAGTGGCAATGACAAGTTGAAATAAAACGGTGAAAAGAAACAACATTAAATTTGATATCATTGAGGCACTTAAAATCACTGACGTTATGGTATTGCTCCTTGTATGACAACTATTAAGAGCATAACATAAACATATACAATTAAATGCCCTAAATATGTGTAGTCCACAGTTCGAAACACACTGATACACAATTTCCACCAACCAATATTCCCGAATTGATAAAACTAACGGTGCTCTTTTTACTGCTGTTAAAGTATGTCCCTTTTGAATGATTTATAACCTACCCACTTGAATCTGTACCAAATTCCCAATTTATTTTTGCTTGATAAGAAACTTCTAGGCCACGGCTTTCTTTGAATACCCTCAGTATTTATAGTGCTATATCTGTCAAACGTTATCTCATCTTCCTAATCCACTTCCTGTATGATATTATGTACTTTCTAGTCAATATGTTGCTGTACGTGACATTATGAACATTCTAGCATACATGCTGCTGTATGTGACATTATGTACATTCTAGCATATATGTTGCTGTACGTGATATTATGCACATTCTAGTATTCATGTTGTTATATGTGACATTATGTAAATTCTAGCATTCATGTTGTTATATGTGACATTATGTACATTCTAACATATATGTTGCTGTACGTGATATTATGTACATTTTAGTATTCATGTTGCTGTATGTGACATTATGTGCATTCTAGCATATATGTTGCTGTAAGTGACAATATGTACATTCTAGCATTCCTGTTGCTGTATGTGAAATTATGGCATTCTAGCATTCAAGTTGATCTATGTGACATTATGTGCATTTAAGATAACATGTTGCTGTACTTATAGTACCTACATTTTGTTTCTACTGTGAAAGGCGAGTTTGTGTAGATATTAATAAAGTAGGAAGTTCTGCAAAAATAATTTAAATATACTTCCAATACACATAAATTACCCTTGCCTTAAAAAATACGATAGGGGGCGGGGGGTGGTGTCGACAAAGTTATTCGAGCTTTATTTAAAGTCGACCGAGTTATCTGTTGACTTGAAGTCAGTGGCAGTGTAGGGAGCCCACAATCCGTACATAAATAATTTATTGTGCAAATAAAATAGACTATAGTGCTGGTTATCTTTATTATTCAGTCACTCACACACGCTGTTTATAAAGTTAGTCCATTGTCACTAACATACAATATTGTCGATTAAAGATTGAGATCAATGAATAAACAGATCAACTAGCAGCTACTACTATGAAAAATGACGATATCTTATCTGGTGCAGCCGTTTGAGACGGTGGTCCCCCGCTATTTATCTTGCTGCGGTGGTTATTGGTTCAATAGGTTGTAATTAACCCGCCCCGCCCCACACCCTCTACTGCATCGTCATAGCTCTTCACTAATCGATATGGTGGTACTTTTTTTTGTAAACATACATCTATGAATATTTTTATTACCCTCCCGCAGCGCAATAATTAAAGAAAGAATGAACGTGATTTTTAGAGGTCCCCCCCCCAATGTTTTATACTATTTGTTTATGAAATCTTTTACTGCGTCCACGTATTTGTCATTGAGTCGTGATTACAACAGTGCCACGTAATGTTTTAATTCCGATCAGTGGCGTAGCGAGAGGGGGGGGGGGGGGGGCGGGGGGGTGCGAAACGCACCGGATGGCACCACTTCGGGAGGTGACACCAAGACAAAAAAATAGAAAAATATATAGAGACAAATGATATTTCCATTAAGTGCCGCAGCTGGTGACACCCGACATCGCTACGCCACTGATTCTGATACAGGCATTTTGTTGTATCACTAAATTCCGGCTAGTTGTAGCGAGTAGATCACGGTATCACTATCCATAGGCGTAGAGACCCTTCCCGGCACCCGGGGACAAACTTTTCGATTTGCACCCCCCCCCCCCGAGATTTCGATTTGCACCCCCCCCCCCAAGCTTTCGATTTGCACCCCCCCCCCCTCGAGATTTCCATTTGCACCCCCCCCCCCTCAAACTTTCAATTTGTACCCCCCTCAACCTTTCAATTTATTTTTCCAACCCATTTTGGCGCCCCCAAAGGTCGGCGCCCGGGGACTTATGTCCCCCCCCCCCGGCCCCCCCCCCTCGCTACGCTACTGTCACTATCAGAAAGTAGACCTATAGTCTTATAGAATTCAAAATCTCCTAACTGAAAATTACAAGATATTCGGTTTTATATTTAAGCATTTAGGACCCGGACTTGTTTGCTTACAGAATTACTTCTTATTTGTTTCTCACCTATAAGCAAAATGATTTTCACTCACTTAACGATAGGTATTTGTATCTTACGTCTTAATATGATTTTACTATACAATGTGGGACAGATGTTTTCGAAATCCGAGAAGAGAATCAATTATTTGCAATTAATCAATTTTAAACATATTTTCGTTAATCCATATGCTCTCGATGCACCAAATGTATGCTTGCGTAATCTAAATATGTATGTGTCTTCCCAACACGGATTTGAAATGGCGGATCTGAAAAACTACTAACACGTCTGTTACTGTATACACTCCTTAACAATTATACCAGAGTTTTGTTGTAGTCTCTAAATAACAAAGTAAAATTTTCACTTAGTTTAATTTTAACATTCTGAAAAATAACAGCTCCAAGAAAACCTTATGAAAATGATTAACAAGAGCAAATTTTTAAAAAATTGCATAGTGTGTAAATAAATAAATATGCTAAGTTGGAAGCGATATTACATCGACAAATACATCTTAAACACAGAAATTTCAACACTGACATTTGCAAGGAATACGGAAGAATAGATTGGACGACGACGTAATATAAAAGAATATTATACAAGTAACTGCGTTAAGTTGTATATAATAATTCAAGCCAGCGCAAAAAAAAAAAAAAAAAAAAAAACAGCACGTCTAAATACAACAGTACAAACTAAAATGGATGTAAATCAAATGATATAATCTAGAAACGAAATACGGAACACGATGGAAAACACAACGAATAAAAACACAAACCACAAAAACAGACAACATGAGAAAAAAGATACATTAGCAGGGTATAATATAATAAAAAAAAATGTTATTAAATGCACACTTATTTTTGGGAACAGATTTCAAGTGATTTGCCGTACAACACTACCCCCCCCCTTCTCAATTCCTCCTCCCCTTACATTAATATTCATTTAAACATTCAGTAGATAAATTGGAATATTCAATCACCTGCCGTGATAGAAAAATAACAACAAATATGACTTGAAAAATATTTAGCTTTAGAGAAGGGTATGGTGATTTTAGCAATTATTAAGGTATCACTAAAATGTAATGTATATATATGAAGATACACACTGACTCTAAATGTCTCAAAATTAACTAGTCCAATGGGATTAGTTTTGCGATATGCTGATAATAACTTACATTTATCGTAAAATTTGTGTTTGTAGATATTTGAAGTTGTGAGATTTACGAAGGCTTTCGTTAAACGTGTTGAAAACTAAATCACAGCAATTGTTTTTTAGGTTTAAAATGACAATGGCTCACGGAATTCTAAAAATTGAACGTTGCATATTATTGTAAGATTATTCATCGTCTTTTCCCGTTCGTGCCCAAAAACATGGTGCTGATGTAGTAGAGTTCTTCTGTTTCATAGACCTCGGCATTTAAAAGAATAATGCGGTCACTACTATGTCCAGCCTTTTTTTCCCCCTAAAGTGAATAGGTACCCATCATAGCTGGGTGGATTCAGGGACATTTTAGTGACTTGAACCCGGATTCGAACTCGAGACATGCCTGTTAGCAGTATAGCACTCTACCACTAGGCCACGTTGTCCAATGTTAAGATTATTATTTAATGCTAAAATGAGACTATGGATTATCTGAGAGTTAATGGTTTAATCTTTAAAATTATGAATTTGTTGAATTATCATGGAGTAAACGAATAAATCAGAATATGCTGCAACGATGATAAACACAAAAATAAATTGTCTAGTCAATGTTTACATGAAAATGCTTTTCTTACATAATGCAGTTAAATACATATATGTGTAGAGGTAATATTAGGCAAACAAATGCATACATTGTAAACTTAAGAAACAATAATAATTGTAAGTGTGACATTTTTGTTTAGGTAAAACATATTCAGCATTAACTGAATTAATTCATCATTATGTGAAGGAGCACTTTAGCTGTTAGCGTAAATGTTTTCTTCTACTGTAGGCGGCGTCACGTCATGGTTTGGTTTAGCGCTTGAGTAGTTAGCGAAGTTGTTGTAAGGTGTGTTGATTTCGTTGTGTCGCTCTAGGACTTTGTATAAACATCTGTACTGTTCCTGATGGGTACAATAAATAATCCATTTAGGCTCATATTTGAGGGCAAATTATTTTAAAGATTGCTTAAACTTTATGTTACTATAGCTTTAAACATGTAGATATTAAGGTTATTTTACCAGAGATGGGATGACCTGTGGTCTGATACATTTGATGGCACCAACAACAAGTGGAACTGTTAAGCTTTGGTCATGGTCCATTCGGTCAAGTAGAAGACTCAACACACAGGCCAGGCCACTGTACTCAGCTCCGTTCCTGGAAAGATGGTTCACAAAATTAAAAGACATTTCTAACCGCTAATAAAATAAATGATTTAAAATTGTATAAAATTAGTAGTTGTGGTGTTGTATTAAGTAATAATCGTATAAGTATTGAATAAAAACAAACCTGCACATATAGAGTACTCTCCCCTGTGCCTGTACATTGTTTGACCTTGTGTGTTTGAGAAGTTTGAGAAGATTCTTGGGATTCAGGTCTGTGCTTTTACTCGCAATGTAGGTCACGTGGGTTTCACTGATTACCTAGTTATTAAGCACGTTGACATTAGAGGAATATTCTAGTAGCTAGTGATTCTGTTGGGTTTTGATTTTAGTTCACTATAAAACAGTATTAATGAGTGAAAATTATTTAAGTTATTTAACATATTAACTTACATTAGAAGGTAAGAAAATCGCTAATGTTTTGACGACTTTGACAGTGATCTGTTGTTCCTCCCATAAACTCTCAGACTTGACAGGTCCTGTGTGTATTTCATATGGTCCACAGTCTAAAGGTGTTGTCATGTTAGCAGGCAGGTACTGGCCTAGGGTCTAATTCATCACATTGAAAGTAGTGTAATTACACATTTTTGGTTCATTATTATAAAACCGTAAATAATACACAACACTGATCACTATTAGTAAAAATCACTCATTAGCCTATCTTTCTTGTAGTGATATTAGCATACCTCATTAACGGTGTTATAAATTATATACCTGATCCTGATTCAGCGTTTGAAAGGCCACGACCAGTTTAACATTGTACTGTGCCACCAATCTCCAGAAATCTGTGACTGTGTTTGGCATTGGGAGCTGTGTTAGTATCTGGTTCTCGCGTTTGGTGAAACTCTGAAAATATTAAACAAAATCAACCTGGATATAAACATTTAAAAGGGATTTTTGTGTTGGAGGGTGTATGAAATACTATTTAAATACATTTAAATTCTCTTAGACACAGCTCACCAAGAAAAGTTAGAGTAGACAGTACTCACCGGAACAAGCACGGCATTGATGTAGTTGTCCAGATCTCTGGACTCACACGAGAGGACGGCCCTGTGTGGTGTACCTACACAATGGTCTACACATTAGTACAAGAAACATTGTACAAGTACAACACGTTCTAAGCATTAAGTTCGACTTCGAATACACTTAAAACTTAAAGTATCCTTTTATTTTATCACATGACATTTTACCACAATTTGTAAAGTCAACTTACTTGGCACAATAGATGGGTACCTATTTTTCGTCACATTTTCAGACACATTATTCTGATAAACGTTTTCTTCACAGTTCGTATCGTTGTCTTCCTTTATCGTGCTAAAGTCCTCACTTAAGACAGAGACAGCCTGCAAAAATATTCATGTTAAAATAACCCCATCTAACCCTGGTCTACCAGAAATTTATGTTTGACAGATGAACACAATCGTTTGTTTGTCACTTATATTAAATGCGTTACATTTAGGACTTACATTAAACTCCTCTTCCATGTTGCTTCTCTTCATAAGCGACAGCTCCGACAATTTTTGGATTCTGTCTACAATGTCATTAGATGAAACAGTTGTCCCCAAACAGACAATGGCGACTTGAGCAGCTTTGTGCAAGAACTGGTACTGTTCCTGTTAAGACAACAACATTTATATTACTTATACTTTGCCTACAAGAATTAAACACTAATATATACAATTACCTCTGATAGTGTTAGTATGTTAGTATACGGAGGACGGTAATAATAATAATATAAAAAAATAAGGATTAATATCTAAAAAAGATAATTAATTGTGAAATATTTAACTATGGATAAATACAACTACTGCAAAATAGTTGTAAAATTGCAGAAAAAAAGATGTTACATAAAATGCTTAAAATAATTCGTAGCATATTTGTTCTGTATAGCCCCTTCCCATTCCCCCCACCACTAAGTATTAATGTATTGAAGCTGATCTTACGGCTGTTTGCACCATCAACATTCTGTCTTGTCTAAGTTTGGCCACAGTTTGAAAACAATTTATCCGCCCCGTGTCTTCAGCTTCTCTCATCACATTACGTAGAGCGATGAAGGTTCCAGTACGTCCTACACCAGCACTAAAATATTTGTAAAAGATTGGTTTCAAAACATATATATTCACAACTGAGAAAAATATCATATTATAGTTTTTTTAACGCAATGTATTCTAACACAATGTTGCATAAAGTTGTAAACCTGCAGTGGACAACAATAGGCCTTGATGTACTCCCTAACGCCACCCTCTGTTCAAAGTCCACAAGTCCCCATGGTGTTAGAGGCACACCTTTGTCTGGCCACGATGTGAAGTGGAACTGGGTGAACTGATGAGATGTCTGATTTTTCTGTGAAAACACATTTACATACAAATTTGCTGACTAACACACATTAGTAACAACTTTAAAAATAAACCGGGAGTGATCTCCCCTAAACTTTCTCGAATATTCTAATATAACACTACGGGGGATGGCAACTCGGGACATAGACAATATTTTAAATCCATTTTTAATTACTTAAACGTTTTATAATAGAATCTTGTAAAAAAAGAATTGCACACCAATTGAACGCCAAATAAAATGTGCATAATAGTGCGGGATATTATTAGTACTTTATAAATTCACATGCGTTTTTTTTTTTGAGAAATCAGAAATAGCGTAAATTACTACTTCCAGTAGACGGAAATTACTCAATATTTAATAGAAGGCGGAGACGTAGAATTGTTACTTACATGTGAAATTTCATTTATCTATCTGAAATAGTACTCAAGTTATAGACTTTTGAAAACTTCAAAGTAGAAAAAGTTCAATCTCCGGTTATCGGAAATCGCTCAAAATTTAATACGGATCTACGATTTTGATATTATACATATATATGAAATTTCATTTACCTAGCTGTAACGGTACTCAAGTTATCGTGTTTACACACACACACGGACACATAGACACCCATACACACAGACATACGGACAACATCGCAAAACTGTTTTTGACTCAAGGAGCCCTAAAACGTCGAGATTTGCAAAAATCTCGATTTTTTAGCATGATTACAAGACTTTCTCTATACTTCGTATATAAGAGAACGTAAAAAGGGCTAATATATTATTGAAAATGTTTACTTTGCTAAGTTCCAATTTCCGCAAAGTATAGTCAGCGAAAACATGTGTTGTTGCCAGCTTCACTTTGATGTCACCAAATTTTATTGACCCTTCTGTAGGCCAGTATCGAGAACATTTCTCCTGAAAATCACATGTAATATATAAGAATCTTTACAATTCAAACTGCATTTGTGTATATTCTCTGCATCGATTATGTGAACGTCAGTGTGTGATTTTATTTTCGAAATGCTACATATTCAACTTATTAAGAAATCAGCACTTTTGTCTTTTAAGTGAAATATAGTCTCTATGGTATTTCGTTACACATATCATGGTTAATGTATTGTAAACCAGTAATGGCATGTAACAAGTTTGTGTTACCTTCCCTTCCTCAATCAGATTAGCCAACATCACAACTTTATCAACTTTTTGTTCCCACAACATTCGAACAAAGTCGTTGATGCTTGCTTCATTCGGGCCTTTAATTCACAAAATACATGATACTATAAAATTCTTAAAATGTCTAAATACGAGTATGCAAATAAGGTTACTTATGATTGGCTACTTAATGAACCAAGACAAAAGAAAAACGAAATAATTAAAGCATTGAATTCAAATGTATACTTCTAATTAATAAACTAACAGTTAAATCAGAAAAGACATAACGTGTATACATGTCAGAGACATTAAAGTTAAATATTACCTTGTGATGCGATAAATTTCTCTTCGTTGTTGTAGCCCTGGATTAATTAATTAACATTAATATAACATTTTCAAAGATTTACGTTAACAAGGCGCTTTATTTAATTTCAAGCGATTTATTTTAATAATAACAATATCATAAAGGAATATTCCCCCACCTCTATGTAAGAAGCATTGATATAGTCGCCTTCATTTTTGTTTGTGTTGATTTCAAGATGGACGCGGGAATGGTCGTCTGCAAATAAAATCCCACATTACATCATTTGGAATTAAACATGTCTTATATAATATGATTATAAAACAAAACGAATATACTTCAATACTTTTAATACATTAATTGTATATTTTGGCTTCAAATTGTAATGTTTTGAAGAAAATTAAACAATTCAACACAATTTCGAGAAATGAAAACTCACATGTGCAAATATTTTTGTATCTGTTTTTACTTTTGTTCGCGACACTGAGTCCAATCAATGATGACACATTTTGCGGTGAAGGGATTTTCTAGAATCATTCAATTTAGTTACATATTTATACACTATTAATGTGATACCTTGATGCATTGAAATTTAAATATTAGTTAAATGCATTTGTTTACAATGTATAACTCTCAAATCCGAAACATATAATGTACTTACATGAAACTCCTGGACAAAAGATTGAAATTAAATTAAAAACCCAAACTAAATACTGACTGTCTTACATAAAACTCATTAAAGTACTGACTATACTTACATAAAACTCCTCATTAAAATAATGACTGCACTATCATAAAAATCCTAATAAAGATACTGACTGTACATACATAAAACACCTCATTAAATTACTGATTATACTTACATAAAACTCAGAATTAAAATACTGATTGTCTTACATAAAACTCATTAAAGTACTGACTATACTTACATAAAACTCATTAAAATACTGACTGTACTTACATAAAACTCCTCACCAAAGTACTGAATGTTATGTGTCTGCATGAACTCGTGTAGTTGTGAGACCAATATTTCCCGGTCATTAAACTCTATGGTGTTACAATATGCGTTTACTACAGCAACAGGCTTGCTAAATCTTTTGGTGTCTGGAATATATATATAGTTTAGTTTACGTATTTATAATTATTTAGTTAAGTATTTTTTAAGATTGTTAATGAAAACTAAATTTAATTTAATCCATAGCTCTAATTTCTAGTAAAGTAGAAACACTTAATACAATTTTAATTTCTAAAAAATAGAAACACGTATTACCATATCACAACAAAACAGTTACCTTGGAGTTTAATACCAACGCCATTTAGCGTGACCATTTCCGACTCAGACTTTGCAGACAACTCGCCGTCAATAGAACTTGTATCTGTTGACTTGCCTTCATTAGATCGTCTACGTCTGCTTAGGATAAATATAGTACAATATTTTAAATTTACAACAACAAAAAATGAGAAGAATTATAATGTACATTTCAAACAACCTTTATTAAACGCAATAACGTTTTCATGAATTGAAATATTACCTCCAGAGAAGAAAACCAACAATACACAAAGCAGCTATAATTAGAACTGCTAGTATCGGTACAACAATGGCAGCAAGAGGGGTCTCCTGATCAACGGGTAATAGATCTGTTTCAGAAACAAGGACACATGCATCAGTTCATCGTAAATGATGAAAACGGAATCAAATAGGGCTTAAATTACCAAATAACACTTACGAAAAAACAAACTGCATTCTTCGTTTTTTCTAGTAAACCCTTGATTACACCCAATCAGACAGGCTCCATCAGTGTTGTTACACCTTGATTCAGTGGCGTTGACCACACACAATGTACTGCATTTGTTAAGACAACCGTCTCCATAGGAGCCATCATCACAGACTAAAGAATGATTCGAATAAAAAAAAAGTAAAATAGTCAAAAGCATCGACGCACCGTAACATTAAATCAAAAAATACAAAGCTTTTTATCGTTATATCAATTAGCATTTCATTAATTTGTTCAAAAAGAAATACACGGCGCAATTCTCAGTGTCTCTTGGAGTATATTAATACTAATAGTTTCGCTGTCTCTCTATGTATCTATCTGACAAGAATGCTCTAGAGGAAACACAAGGAAAATAAAAACATGCATAGTAATTCGAAAAACGAAGTATGACGTCGACACATTTAGCACAGAGTAGAAAATAATCTCAAGCCGGATAGTGCACACATTAATATGACGTCATTGATTATCGAGTAAACATTCAATACAAAGGCAATTTGGTCTAATCTAAGTGGTTTGCGTGAAGAGTTTTTTTCATACAATTCTTCGGGTAGGGGCGAAGCCCCACCCCCGCGTAAGAACGTCTGAGCCCCCCCCCCCCTCCCCAACTCAAAAGAAATTTCCTCTATAATAAAATTACCGCCTAATTAATGTGTCTAATCTAAAAAGTGGTTTTCTTGCAATTTCTTTAATGCAATTCTTCGCGTAGTGGCTATGCGCGACACCAGTGTTTCTTTCAGACTTTTTCCTCCACGGAGAGGGGTGAGGGTACTTGAAATTTTCGGGGGCGGGGGTAGAATTTTCGGGGAGGGGGCGGACACTGGAAAAAGTATATAATTATATTTCGTTGAATGGGACGGTAGACATGTTTTTTTTTTTTTGGGGGGGGTGGTGTGTGTGTGTGGGGGGTGTGTGTGGGGGGTGGGGGGTGGTGTGTGTGGGGGGTGGGGTGGTTTTAGTTTAGACTTTTTCCTCCCCGGAGAGGGGTGGAGGTACTTGAAATTTTCGGTGGCGGGGGTAGAATTTTCGGGGAGGGGGCGGGCACTGGAAAAAGTATATAATTATATTTCGTTGAATGGGACGGTAGACATGGTTTTTTTTGGGGGGGGGGGGGGGGGTTGGTGGGGGGGGGGTGGTGTGTGTGGGGGGTGGGGGGGTGGTGCGTGTGGGGGGTGGGGGTGGTGGGGGTGGGGGGGTGGTGTGTGTGGCGGGTGGGGTGGTTTTAGTTTAGACTTTTTCCTCCCCGGAGAGGGGTGGAGGTACTTGAAATTTTCGGTGGCGGGGGTAGAATTTTCGGGGAGGGGGCGGGCACTGGAAAAGGATATAATTATATTTCGTTGAATGGGACGGTAGACATGTTTTTTTTTTTGGGGGGGGGGGGGGTGGGGGTGGGGGGTGGTGTGTGTGTGTGGGGGGGGGGGGGGGTGGGGTGGTTTTAGTTTAGAGAAAAGAGACAGCACTATCAGCCTAGCGCCCGTTGTACCCTTCCTCAACGGGCCATTTTTCTCGTTGTAAATAAAACTACAAAAAATGTTTATTATAAGTAATATAAGTAGTGTTACCTTGATCGCAAAATTCTCCTTGATATCCTGACCGACACTTGAAACAATGACCGTTGGTCACGTTGCATTGTGATTGTGTACAGTTTACAGAGCAGGTGCTGTTACAATTGTGTCCATACTTTCCAACACCACAATCTGCATTCAATAGATGTGTCATGAAAAACATAAGCTATAGAAGGTTAGTTTTACACAAACAGTAAAATACAATTGAAGTTTTGCATGTCTTTTACCTAAAGTTTAAAGTGAAAAAGTTTACCTTCAACACAGTACTCTCCCATTTTGCCATCTATACAGCTGAAACACGAACCATTGATGTTGTCACACAACTGGTCTAAACAGTTGGTGCTGCAGGTCTGGTTACAACTATCTCCAAAGGAAGTATCATTGCATTCTGTTTATATGTATAAACAATCAAATAATAACGTATATTTATGTTATATATATATATATATATATATATATATATATATATATATATATATATATATATATATATATATATATATATATATGGAAGTTAAACACACTTACCTTACTACTGAAGATGCCAATAAAAAATATTCGGGTTTGAAAACTTGAATGGTAAGTTAAAACAAAGTAAAATTTAGAACACGTGTGAGATCTCTATAGCACAATTGTGAACTACCGATACAGGAAGTGATTGAAAATAGCGCCGAACAGGTAATTTTTTTCTTTTAAAAAACGTCGATCCGGCCAACTACCGGATACTGAAGGGAGATAATACTATCAATTATATCAATAATTTTAAAAATGTAACTTAGATAAAAAATAATACATGCGCTTAATAAAAGTGGTACTTATAAGTACCGTCAGTAGATAAATTATACTAGCCTCTGTCACAGAAGGCCCCTTGAAAACCCCTGATACAACTAAAACATTCCCCAGTTGTTCTGTTACATGTTGAGTCGGTACAGTTGGTTGAGCAGTTGTAGCGACAGTTCTCACCATAATGGTGTATATCACAGTCTAAAGAATATACGAAAACAACATGTAATGTTGTGTTGCAATGTACAAAACGTGTGAATAGTTTAAAATATTTTATTTTAGAGTAAATAATTGGTCAGCTTCATTACAGTAGGCGAAAAACATCAATACTAACTTTTTTTTTTAATTAACAAAAAAGAAATTTGAACCATGAGTTCTACTGAGTATCTTCAAATACAGAAATTCAAAATAATATGTAAAGCTTAGATTTTGCTAATTATAATCAATCTCTGTAAAATGATAAACTTGGTTTTGGGCGAGGAAATGTGGCTAACAAAACTGTATAATTAAATCGGTTTTAGCCCTTAAATTCCCGATCTACGTGGTTTCTCTGTTTTCTTACATCATAATTTTGTATCAGTTGCCTCTTTTTCGGAATACATATTAAATCAACCCTAAGTTACGGAAATTCAGAAGATGATTCAAGGGAAGGGACATTTTTTTTAAATGGAAAAGTACGTGCATGGTTGCAGGGCTAAAATTGTTAGGATACTTCCCTTATCACCCAGAGAGTTTATTTAAAACAGAAAGTGTAGGCTACTCACCCTCATCACAAAAGTCCCCCTGTTTCCCAGGAACACAGCTGTTACATGTACCATCAACGTTGTTACACAGTTGCTTTGTACAATTGGTGCTGCATCTTTGTGTACAGTTCTGTCCATAATATGTGGCGGCACAGTCTGATGGTGTATATGTGAGTTTATTTATAAATACGGTGAGATCTTTTCTTACTTCTCGTAAGATTTAAAGTTTTAGTTTTAAAGTACTTTAAAACTAAAACTTGTTCATTATTGCAAACGTTGTAGACAATGTTACAATTTATATTGGTGTTTCTTAGAGCTCGCCTATAAATGACGTCACACTCGTAGTGACGGTGTGTGATGAGGGGGGGGGGGGAGCATTCAGATGGCATGACGTCACACTTTTGTTTTATAAAAAAATAGCAATGTTAGAAAACTGTTATTTCAAGTTTTAGAAATTGTTTTAATAAATTGTAATAGGAATTGATTAAAATACTCTATGATGACAGAGTTTAAACAAGATTTTGGAAAAATATCGATATTTTAAGAAAATTTCAACTGCAATCTTGAGGGGGGTTGTAGGCTGCTGGGTGACGTCATTTTAGATTTTAGGGGGGTCTGGCTTTTTGTGAATAAGTGTGACGGAGGGGAGGGGGGGGGGGGTTAAACATCGTCAAAAATCATGACGACATTTATGGATGACCCCTAATATTTATATAGACTTTGATTATATATTGGTTGTATTATTTACTATAATATGAATGTTTCTAGTTAGATGCTGATATTTATAACGCATTAAATCATTTGTAAAAACAGGATAATATGGTTGTGGTAATATATTTTAAGTAGTATAAAGCTAAATCAAAATTTCCAGATATTAAGCTAAATCATTGTGTTTTTTTTTTTATTATGCACATTATATTTATATATTAATAGTTCCAATGTAAAATATTTTGCCAATCACTAAAGTGTAGTTCTGAATTTAATTGCACGTACAAGTTAAGTTCATGATTATGTAAAATATCTCATAAGGCAAGCATAAGTCTGTAACATCGTGTGAAATTCATATAGTTTGAATAGGTTGCAAAAATATAAACTCCTATATATATATTATATTTTTTATTATTTAAAATGAATATGCATGTCAGAGGAAAACATCCTACTTACAGTAAGCGTCACGTGCTCTTTGAGAAAAAAATAATATCCATTATATGTGTTTGATAGGCATCATTCATACATCGATCGCCAAGGGTGAAAATGTTTCTAACTTCATGTGCTGTTTACTGCGGTGACTGACGTTAAGATCAGCTCAAGCGTAAATGTGTGTAACAGATTATTCATAACGAGCAGACCCGCAACGTATCATACGCCGCTATTTTGTTGTTTTATTTTCACCTTTGCAGTAATTCATTATTTGTTAATTCGACAGTATCAATGCTGCCACTGAAAATATCAGTAGGTCGGTAAGGTCGATAACCCCCCCCCCCCCACCCTCATTTTCCCCTACCAAACCCTACACTACACCCCCCCCCCCCCCACGTGAAAGCAGCCTTCTCTAAGTTACCTCACATAAGTTTAAAATCGTTTCAAACTAAATTATCTGCCCCTAATAGCCGTCACTAAACCCGGCTCTACGATTGTAAACATTTAGCGTGAACCACAGCTCACCAGTCCATGTGGGGGTGGTGGGGATATGCCTATAGAGAAAGAGAGGGGGCTGCTAGGCGCGCTTACAGCTTGGTGTTTTCTATGGTCTCCAAGAAGAGAATTATATATATACGAGCCTACCCGCGGCGTATCATACACCGCTATTTAGTTGTTTTATTTTCTAATTTTCTAGTAATTTATAATTTGTGAATTCGACAGTACCAATGCTGCCGAGTCCGCTGGAGATGTGTGGTTGCAGCCCTTTGCTCCCCAGGGGCCACAAAGGAGTGATGATGATGATGAATGCTGCCACTGAAAATATTTGCTTTAAAACACTATCAGTAGCTCGTTAAGGACGATAACCCCCCCCCCCCCGCGAAAGCAGCCTCCTCTTAGTTACCTCCCCTGGGTTTAAAATAGTTTCAAACTAAATTATCTGCCCCTAATAGCCGTCACTAAACCCGGCTCTATGATTGTAAACATTTAGCGTGAACCACAGCTCACCAGACCATTAGGAGGTGTGGGTGGTAGGATGTGCCTAGAGAGGAAGAGAGGGGGCGGCTAGTCGCGCTTACATCTTGTTGTTTTCTAAAGTCTCCAAGAAGAGAATCATATATATAGATATATATTCATGTGCTATGTATTCTTCTTTACGGAAGATTTAAAAAAAAGTACTTACAACCTAACATTTAGTAGCGTTGGTTACCCAGCAGCATCAATTCTATTGCTGGTGGAATTTAAGGTGTCTAATATCAAGGATTTCATGAAAACTTTCACGGCAAATAATAAACCAATTATAAACTACAGACTAAGAGTCAATAGCCTATCCTATACCATTTTACGCCTTTGTTTGTCACTCTAAACACAAACAAAAACATACGCAGACACATGTAAGTGAGAGAAAAAAAACGAGGACTACAACAAGTTGACTTCTAAACTTTTTAAGTTACTATTGGTGTTTCTCACCTTGGTCACAGAAACGCCCTCTTTTCCCAGGAATACAGCTGTTGCAGGTACCATCAACGTTGTTACACAGTTGGCTTGTACAGTTGGTGCTGCATCTGTGTGCACAGTTCTGACCGTGATATGTCGCTGCACAGTCTGATTGTAGTTAGTAGATTGTTGTACAATTAATATCAACATACTATGTTTTTCATCGATTTAATTAATTAGACAAACAATACGAAATTTAAAACCGTCAACACTACTTTCTTTTAAATATACATTAATACAATTTAAAAGTCTTCTATTACTTTTTAGAATGGCATACAGTGTAAAAGATAGTACTGCATCCGTTTTGTAAAAGAGATAAAAAAAGGAGTGTGTATGATTAAGATTTAAACTGAAACAATATAAAGAAGAAAACAACTGTTTCTAGTAAGGTATACCAAGGTTTGGTTGTGTTGCGAGAAAACATGTTTACCATTTGCCCCAAACAGTAACAATAGCGAAAATAATTAAATATTACCTAAACAACTTACCCTGGTCACAAAACCTTCCCTTTTTCCCAGGAATACAGCTGTTACAGGTACCATCAACGTTGTTACACAGTTGGTTTGTACAATTGGTGCTACATCTTTGTGCACAGTTCTGACCGTGATATGTTGCTTCACAGTCTGATTGTAGTTAGTAGATTGTTGTACAATTAATATCTACATACTATGTTTTTCAACGATTTAATTAATTAACCCATATCATCCCAAGGTCTCAAATTTTTATAATTTTTTGATATGGTTTAGCTTTTGGGCACTGAATGAAGGAATGACTATGGATTTTTTTTTTAAATCAATACTTTTTTAAATATCGATTTTTTTAAAAAAACGTCCCATAAATGGGACGCTAGTAACGAACGGCCCCATGTACATTTATTGAAAAATAAAATCATTTTTCACGAAATATGGCTAATCACGCGAAAATTAAGCTGTGTACTGATTTTGTATTGTTAGACCAATGATTTAATTGTTTAGGACAGCTAAAAATACTGATAATGATCAATTGGGTTAGCCATACCATGGTCTAAAATGCAGAAATTATGTTCAAAAGTCTAGTTTTCTTTCAATCTAGCATCCATCAAAGTGAACAACACTTGGAAATAAGTAAAGCTGTGACTAGTACATCTAATTATACACACATGATCACAAATATTGTTATTATTCATCGAAACTGTAATATAATTAAATATAAATAATTGATTTTTTTGGGGGGGCGTACTTGAAATTTTCAGGGGTGGGGACTTAAATTTCAGGGGAAGGGTGGACATTGGTGTAATAGATTGGGATTTGTGAGGTCAGGGGAACTCACTCTTCTTGTATTAGTTATATTTATAATGTTGTTATTGAGTGATGTCCCTTGTATTTATCTATTGTTACTTCCTGTTCCGGTCTTCCATCATGTAGCCGAAGGCCCAATAAAATGTATATACAAACAGCATGGCTTCTCGTCAGTGTGTTATAATAGAACCACTCCAATCTACCTCAACTGGCGACGAAGATAAATGATCCACTAGAAAGAGCACCTAATTACTCAAAAAGAGGTTTGCTAGAGCATATTGGCTAAGTATTTCTAGAATAATGGCGCTGTATGGCCAAATAAAAGAATTTGATCATAGGGCCTCAACAATTTAGGCTACTAAAGGACTTATGCGCACCAGCTAGTCTAACTACCAAGAGCTTTAACGAGCTGAGCAAATTGCTAACAGACCACCATGCGCCTGTACCATCAAAGTTTCTATGTAGAGCTAGATTTGACGGTAGGACTCGTCAACCAAACGAGTCAATATCAGAATATGTTGCTGCTTTACGTCACTTAAGTAGATTCTGTGAATTAGGAGACACGCTGTCTGACAGACTATGTGAAAAGTTTGTGACAGGTGTAAACAGCCCTGATGTTCAAAGAAAGTTGCTGCTCGAGTCAGATCTAACATTAGAAAAAGCAATACAACTTGCGACTTCATTCCAGCAGTCATCCGATGCGGCGAGATCTCTAGCACCCTCAGAGATCCATGCAGTAAACAGCAGGTTAGTCAACAAACACCAACCCCATCAGAGCATTCCAACTTATGCTAAACAGCCTGCACGTTCAAATCCTAGATCTAAATCTAATAATAATTATCAAAAATGTCATCGATGCAAAGGTCCCCATGCATCTCATCGGTGCAAGTTCAAGTCTGCAACTTGTTATAAGTGCAGTAAGCAAGGTCACATTGCCAAGGCCTGCTTTGCAAAGTCTTCGTCTGTTGCTAAATCTAGCCAGTCAAGACAGTACCGCAACCAAAGGCAGCACTATGTTAACTCTCACCAAGACTACCTAACCCAACCAATGAACCACTCTACCTGTTAAAATGCTCAAACTGATTTGCAGCCGGATTTCAACCTATTCTCTGTGAAATCAATAAGTCATGCTCCCTTCAATGTACTAGTTTATATCAACGGTAAGAGCATCAGCTTCCAACTTGACACTGGAGCATCTCTAACAGTCATCACAAAGAAGGACTTTGACGCTGTCACAGGAGGATCAGTGCCTCTACAACCATGTCACAGGTGTCTAACAACATACACTGGTGACAATGTTCCGGTAATAGGAGAGTGTATGGTTCATGTAAGTTATAATGGTCAAAGTGTTAAACTTCCTCTTCTTGTGGTTGAAGGAAATGGACCACCATTACTAGGTAGGAACTGGTTAGTTGATCTTAAGTTAAATTGGGAGAGTATATGTTCATTGAACAATGCAAGAGAATCTAGTCTTACTTCAATAGATAAAGTTATATCTGAAAATGAAAGTGTTTTTGGTAATCCTGGATTACTAAATGATAGAACAGTGAAGATAAGCATTAAAGGCACAAATCCAAGATACTGCAAAGCTAGAGTTCCACCTTATGCAATGAGGAATAAAATTGAAAATGAGCTAAGTAGATTGGAATCTAATGGCATCATAAAGAAGGTAGACTATTCCGATTGGGCAACGCCCATTGTGCCAGTGTTAAAGAAGGATGGTTCTGTAAGAATTTGTGGAGACTACAAAGCCACACTGAATAAGCAAATAGAGCTAAATAGGTACCCTATTCCTAACATTGAGGAAATTTCTTTGAATTTGGCAGGAGGAGACAAATTCACTGAATTAGACTTTAGTCATGCTTACACTCAACTAGAACTGCATCCAGATTCAAAAGTCTATACGACAATAAACACACATAAAGGACTCTACCAATATGAAAGACTATGTTTTGGCATATCATCCAGCCCTGGAATTTTCCAAGCTGTCATGGACAGTATTTTTAAGGATATTCCAAATGTTTGTGTTTACTTTGACAATGTGTACATAACTGGTAAGAATGACACTGAACATCTTAAAACACTTGATAAAGTCTTGAAAATAGTTGGTGAAAAAGGTTTAAAGATAAACAAAGATAAATGTCAATTCATGCTGGCAGAAATTAGTTTTCTTGGATATATATTAAGCAAGCAAGGTCTCAGACCTCAACCTGAGAAAACAAAAGCCATTAAAGAAGCACCCAAACCTGAAAATACCCAACAACTAAGAGCTTTTTTGGGCTTGATAAATTACTATGCAAAGTTCATAGGGAATCTGTCTGGTAAACTATCACCACTGTACAAGCTGCTACAGAAAAATGCAACTTGGCACTGGGGTAAACAACAAAAAGCTGCTTTTAATACAGCAAAAGAAGCTTTGTCTTCTGACACCTTACTAACTCACTATGACCCAGGGAAAAGACTTATATTAACATGTGATGCTTCACCTGATGGTGTAGGAGCAGTCTTATCCCACATAGATGAAAAGGGTGACAGACCCATTGCTTTTGCCAGTAGATCTTTGAACCAGGCTGAGAAAAATTATTCTCAGTTGGATAGGGAAGGCTTAGGCATCATTTTTGGTGTTAAGAAATTTCATAAGTTTCTGTTTGGTAGGAAGTTCACCATCTTTACAGATCATAAACCATTGCTAGGTTTATTTGGAGAAAACAAAACCCTACCTGAGCATGCCTCACCAGGAATTCAAAGATGGGCTATCACACTAGCTGCATACAATTATGAATTGAAATACAAACCTGGATCTGAGAATAGTGCAGATAGTCTTAGTAGATTACCTTTAAAAAACCAAAGCCTTAGCTATGTACCAGAAGATGTATTTGTTCTCTTCACTATCATGGATAACTCCAATATAAATGTGAATGATATTAAAAGAGAAACACAAAAAGATGAGTGCTTAATAAAAGTATATGAGTACTGTAAAAATGGTTGGCCTGAAGAGTCTGTGAATGATGACTTAAGGCCATATAAAGTAAGAAAAATGGAATTAAGTCTAAAAGATGGAGAAGATGCAGTCCATTATCAGTCAGAGTTACCTAAACAAAGTACTTGTAACTTAATAAATGATTATGGTGATATGGCAATTTCAAATGCTTTAAATAAGAAGGAATGTGATCATCAAACAACTTTGCTAACATCATTAGCACTTACAGAAACTAAAAGGGTAACATCAAAAGAAAAGAAAAAAGATTTTTGCCATTTAATACACCCACTTCAAATACTGGATCACAGTTGCAAAGTGATATGGTCCAGGACATTACTTTTAAACAGTATTTTTGGTTACCAGGAAAGCACTATCAGATTACCTGAGAAAATTGATCAATCAAAGAAATCTGTCAGTTAAGGATCTGAATAATAGCATAATACTTTCAGATGCCAATTCAAAAATAGTTCCATTAAATCATGACAAGACATCAATTGAAAGAGAATTGGATTTAATGATAATGTGTATCTGAGAAATTATGGGAGAAAGGAAAAATGGATACCAGGTCAAATTGTTCAATGTACAGGACCTGTGTCTTATAAAGTAAAAACAAATGATGGACTTATTGTCCGTAGACATGCAGACCAGTTAAAAATAACTTGTGCAGATAATAAGTGTGAATCTATCAATCCCACCAAATCTGATCAGTTCACACCAACTCAGTTTGTTCCACAACCAAGTTCTGTTGATATGAGTGAACCAAGTTGTCTAGAGTCAGAAAATGTAAATTCTGGAGTTAATGATTTAAATCCTAGACCTCCTGAGATAGAGAATCCAGATGGTCAGAATCTTGAGTCACCAAATCAAAAGCCACTGAGAAGGTCAAGCAGGACAATCAAAGTCCCAAATAAGTTAGACCTATGATTTTAAAGGTCAAAAGGACTTTGACATCATTGTTTTGTATCTTGATTATGTTGTAGCATATTGTGCATTGTTTGTAAGGATGTAATCTACCATAGTGTTCATGTTACAATATAATTGGTGATTATAGGATACTGTCAATTGTTCTATTGAGAGATGTGTTGTGTTTACTAAGGGTAAAGGGATGTAATAGATTGGGATTTGTGAGGTCAGGGGAACTCACTCTTCTTGTATTAGTTATATTTATAATGTTGTTATTGAGTGATGTCCCTTGTATTTATCTATTGTTACTTCCTGTTCCGGTCTTCCATCATGTAGCCGAAGGCCCAATAAAATGTATATACAAACAGCATGGCTTCTCGTCAGTGTGTTATAATAGAACCACTCCAATCTACCTCAATTGGTAAAAGTAAGTTTTGTATATAAATTCCATTTTCTTCTGGGGGCAGAGCCCCCCCCCCCCCCCTCCTCCGAAATGATGCCTGAAAGAAACTCTGCCCTTAGTGAAAAAAGAGTGCAAAAGATGTTCCGGTCCAGTCCCAGATGTCATCCAGCCATCTTCTCTTTTGTTACCCTCGCTATCCCCCCCCCCCAGGCGTACATTAGGACATCAGACATCTTATTTCTAGGGCACGGATCCGTCTCTGGGGGCTTGTATTGAGTGTTCATGGCTCTCATCCATGTATGCACCTCACTATGCGAACAGCTCCCAATCTAACACCAGGAATCTCCTTAAAAAGTTAACAAAGTAAAGCTGGTATCGGTAACCTTTGGAGGGGGATATTATTGGGGCATGACAACTGTACACAGCTAATTCACATTTCTGCTATATGTAGCTTAAGCCCTTTTATATGAAGAGAGTTAACCAACCCCCATGACTGAATCATTTCACCTACATCGTGGCCATTGTTATTATTCTGGTTTGTTATAATTTTAATATCACGCGCTAGTAAATTTACAGCAATACTAAATTAGTTTGTATTCAATGGTATTAAATACTTCAGTAAGTGAAGTAATACTGAAAACTTAAAAATAAAATGTAATTTTTTCAATATTTGCAATTTTCTAATAAAATAATATATAAGAAAATATAGCTCAAGGTCATAATTAAATATCTATAAATACTACTTAACACCCCAAAGTCAACAGTTAACAAAGTCAACAATTGTTTCACCATAAATAACCATTTAACATAAATATTTGCATCTGTGTTTCACGCTAGTGTCCAATAAATGTGACGTTTGTGTAACAATCTGCATAAATATAGGTCAAGGTCATAATTAAATATCTATACATACTACTTAACACCCCAAATTCAGCAGTTAACAAGGTCAACAATTGTTTCACCATAAATAACCATTTAACATAAACATTTGCATCTTTGTTTCTCGCTAGTGTCCAATAAATGTGACGTTTGTGTAACAATCTACATGGGGCCATTCGTTGCTAGCGTCCCACTTACGGGACGCTTGTTGTACACTTGATATAACGAAGTAGTAAAAAAAATTGTTATTTTTAAATTTTTATCAGATAGAAATATGGTACTGCTACAAGTTTCAAATGTATTTTGCACTTAAAATGTTAATATTTTAGAAGATATGCTTTATCCTGTGCGCATGTTTTCTTTTTTCCGCCATTTTGACAAGTCCTGCAAATCCGGCACTATAACATTTTTCAAAATTAATTTTTTTCACAAAACACACACAAATTCAATAGTTTAGCCATTTTCAAATACAATGAAACATAATTTGTGTTTTAACTAGTATTTAATAAATTTTAGCAATTTTTTTACCAAGCGTCCCATAAGTGGGACGCTAGCAGAATATGGGTTAAACAATACGAAATTTAAAACCGTCAACACTACTTCCTTTTAAATATACATTAATACAATTTAAAAGTCTTCTATTACTTTTTAAAATGGCATACATTGTAATAGCTAGTACTGCATCCGTTTTGTAAAAGAGATAAAAAAGGAATGTGTATGATTAAGATTTAAACTGAAAAATTATAAAGAAGAAAACAACTGTTTCTAGTAAAGTATACCAAGGTTTGTTTGTGTTGCGAGAAAACATAATTTACCATTTGCCACAAACAGTATCAATGGCGAAAATAATTAAATATTACCTAAACAACTTACCCTGGTCACAAAACCTTCCCTTTTTCCCAGGAATACAGCTGTTACAGGTACCATCAACGTTGTTACACAGTTGGCTTGTACAGTTGGTGCTACATCTTTGTGCACAGTTCTGGCCGTAATATGTCGCTTCACAGTCTAATTGTAGTTAGTAGATTGTTGTACAATTAACATCAACATACTATGTTTTGCAACGATTAAATTAATTAGACTGTACGAAATTTAAAACCGTCAACACTACTTTCTTTTAAATATACATTAATACAATTTAAACGTCTTCTATTACTTTTTAAAATGGCATACAGTGTAATAGAAAGCGCTGCATCCGTTTTGTAAAAGAGATAAAAAGGAATGTGTATGATTAAGATTTAAACTGAAACATTATAAAGAGGAAAACAACTGTTTCTAGTAAGGTATACCAAGGTTTGTTTGTGTTGCGAGAAAACATAATTTACCATTTGCCACAAACAGTATCAATGGCGAAAATAATTAAATATTACCTAAACAACTTACCCTGGTCACAAAACCTCCCCTTTCTCCCAGGAATACAGCTGTTACAGGTACCATCAACGTTGTTACACAGTTGGCTTGTACAGTTGGTGCTACATCTTTGTGCACAGTTCTGGCCGTAATATGTAGCGGTACAGTCTGACAGTGTTCAGTACATAATAATTTACACTATTTGCAAATAACGGTATTTTATAAAGGTTTTATATATAGAGATATCAGAAGTAAATACATTTACATTTAGTTAAAATACTATACGACAACATATATAATAATTACGTACATTACAAAACAGTAAACAAAAATTCATATATTTTAAGTACTAAAAGAAGTTTACCATTGCAACAGAAATAGCAAACTCTATATTGGCATCTTAGATTTATTTTACCCTCGATGTTTGTACAATTTTGATAACTAATCACTGTTGATCACATTTTTTTGTTTATATAAGACCCTGTTACAAATTTTTATTAACATGAACATGTTTGTTGATATATTAGTTGTCCTCACCTTGATCACACAGCGCCCCTTGTTTCCCATTATAACAGTTGTAACAGTTACCATTGACGTTATTACAGAGCTGTTCTCTGCAGTTAGAGCTACATTTCTGTGTACAGTTTAAGCCGTAATATGTGGCATCACATGCTGTTAGACATCAAAAATCTACATTGAGATACCGAAAGGTCACATTGTATTTTAATTAATACAGCTACTGTTAGAACAATTTTTTAGTGTCTGTGTATTTATACATATATGTTACAATATCAATGAACGTTTGCCAAGTGTCACTCTGCGGTAGCTTGTCTATGTTTATTGTATATGCTCAATCGTTCTTACTCGAACATTTTCTGTCGATTCTAAAAATTAATATTTAGGCGAGCACTGAAATGAACAATTTGATTTCTGGAAATACCACACGCGCATGTATATGGTTATCCATCGGTCCAATAGAAGAGATCAAAACGACAGTATACGGCATACATGATTAAAGTCGATGATAGTTGCATGACTATTGGTGATATGTTTTACCTGACAGGTTTTTCGATAAGCATATTATTCCCCCCGATGACGGAAACAAGTTAAAAGATAAACCATTATCTCGTTCACAAAACGTCCCTTTGTACCCAGATACACAGCTGCTACAAGTACCATTGACATTGTTACATTGTTGGTTCAGACACGTGCTGCTGTACGTCTGCGTACAGTTCTGGCCGTACCGTGAGGAACTACTAGCTAAAAGGTCTACAGATATCAGCTTCTTGCTAGAAAGTATGTTTAAGTTGACTCTCTATCAATGATTAATATGTTTTTTGTTATCTCAGTTGTCTTTCTTTTAAATTAAGAATACTAGGTTTTCTAAAATAATTGAATCCAATTCAGGAATCACTTACTCACCATGGACTATAGAAACAAACTATAGAAATTCTTGGAATGGGTAAAATGTGTGGTGATTTTATGCCTGGTTAATTTAGTAAACAATGAAGATCACCTCAGATGTTCATGTAACTCCCGATAAACGGGTCACTGATAACAATGCCAAGGCTAACTACCCTTCAGTTGATAAAAACAGAGAAGTATAAGTTAATAAAACACACATCAGATCAAATTTAGGCAGCAGTGAGACAACCAATGAAAATATATTTGTTTGATGAAGGAAAAGCAAAAGAAAATACATCTTGACCCTTAATTGAACTTAAAACGCTACTAAATCTCTTATGAAATACATAAAACATAAGCGTGCAGCTCGTACTTTTCATACAACAGATCGATGTCAAATAAACATTGTATAACGCTGAAAGTAGCTATTGCATTCTGGATACTAAAGATAGCCCAAGTTAATATTATAGCACATATACAATGGAAAGGCAATAACGCAATTCAAAATACCTAATGATCTACATTGGCCAATTTTCAGACAAATTAAAAGAAAAAAACTATTAAAAACCTATCAACAGTTTCCAATAGAGACCGACCCACGAAGTCAAAGATTTTAATTTCGCAGATGATCTCCTCCTCGTATGGCCAAACCAACAATAGACACAGAGCAAAATATGTGCAGTACTTGAAGGAGTAGTAAACAATTGTCCAAAAGAACAAAAAAATGATAAGAAAAAAACAGCTACAAAAGAAATATACATACAATTTAAAAGAAATCAGAAGAAATACGCCGATTATTTTTTTTAAATGTGGTTTCAGCGAAAATGTTCAGATTAAAACCATCAACGACAAAATAAATGATTTTAACTTACTATAAACTGTACGTAATTGTAATAATTGAAAACAGGCACAAAGTTCTAAGTTTTTGACAAAAAATGTGATGTCAAATTTACTAGTCGGAAAGGGACCTTGAGGCATAACTTTGCAAAAAATAACCAATCTATTTAAAAAGCAACGTATGTTTCATTGTATTTGAAAAATAGACTATTGTATTTTTGCGTACAATTCTGACAATGTGTATAAAATGAATGATATTTTTACTTTCTCGTATACGAAGTATAGAAGAAGGAGTGTAATTGTACAATAAATAGAAATCGAAATGTTCAAATGGAGATTTCAATAAATTGCGATGTTTTACACGTCCCTGAGTGGGAAAATAAGTTTGTTAATTGTTTCTGTATGTCTGTATGGGGAGCCGGACGTTTTCCCGAAAGACACTTGCCCGAATGCGACAAATGCCCGAATGCCGTTTGCCCGAAGGCCGATTTCCCGAATGGACACTTGCCCGAATGCGACAAATGCCCGAATGGACACTTGCCCGAATGCGACAAATGCCCGAATGGACACTTGCCCGAATGGGACAAATGCCCGAATGGACACTTGCCCGAATGCGACAAATGCCCGAATGCCACTTGCCCGAAGGCCGTTTGCCCGAAAAATGTTAATATTAGATAATAAATAATATTTCCAAATAGACATTCTTTAATCAGTTTAAGTTTGAATTTTGATTATAAACACAATTATAAACAAAGTTGTTTATATTTTTAAATATTGCTTTTATTGTTTTTTTTCAAAACTGAAAAAGTGCTGTAAGAAAAACTTTGTTCTTTAATAAATGTAAGGTGATGTTGGCGGCGGTGTTCTAACATTCTTTTGATGTTTGTTTTGAACAACTTGCTTAGCCGACGTGTTGCGGTGGTTATATAGCTTTTATGACACGGCGTAGGCGGCGCGGCGTCTCGCAACACTGAACAGAGGCGCGTTTGTTTGTTTATCTTGTTGTGCTTAACTTGTGTGGTGATCATTTAAAAAAAGAATGAGGCGAGGTCTAGGTGGCGAATTTAAAAACTAAACATTTGATCACCATTTAATGCACCTTGTTAAGACAATGTGTTGAAGCGATTACTTAATAAAGAAAGCAAAACGAATTTTAAAATCCGGAGATGAATGAAAATTGTATTTTTTTCTAATTTCATATATGGAAGAGAAAGTATGTTTCTACACTTTTTAAATACCAAATACAAATTAATTTAAATTATCTGAGTGGTAATATATAATTTTTTTTTTCACTTTTGTTTTACTTAGATGTGTTTTGTTTACCAACATTTTAAATTTAAATTGATTATGAATGATTATTTAGTAATATATAATGTTAACATTTTTCGGCCAAACGGCCTTCGGGCAAGTGGCATTCGGGCATTTGTCGCATTCGGGCAAGTGTCCATTCGGGCATATGTCCCATTCGGGCAAGTGTCCATTCAGGCATTTGTCGCATTCTGGCAAGTGTCCATTCGGGCATTTTTTTGTCGCATTCGGGCAAGTGTCCATTCGGGCGTTTGTCGCATTCGGGCAAGTGTCCATTCGGGCATTTGTCGCATTCGGGCAAGTGTCCATTCGGGAAATCGGCCTTCGGGCAAACGGCATTCGGGCAAGTGTCTTTCGGGAATTTGTCGTAGACCCGTCTGTATGTATGTGTGTCTGCGCTTCTATCTTTTTGTCAATGAACACGATAACTTTATTACCGTTTTAGTTATGATAACGAATAATATTAAATTTGAAGTTCTGTTTTAACTTTTGAACAATTTCCAGTAGCTGGAATTAGTTTTTAACCCTAGTTCAGTTTCTCAAGCGAATAAATTGATTACCTTTTTTCGGTAAACAAACAAAAGTTCATATGTTAGTATAACAATGAACGCATGTTTTCATAAAAGTATAAAGTATTTCCTGTTTCTGGAAGTGATACTTTAGTCTATTTCTGCGTAAAACACTACGTGCTTTTCTTATTAAATAAACATGGAGTGATCTCCCCTAAACTTTCACGAATATTCTTATATAAAACAACAGGGGAAGGCAACTTGGGATACAGACACGATTTTTAATCCTTTTTTAATTACTTAAACTTTATAAGATAGAACAGAATTTCATACAAAAAAGACTTGCTCACCAAGTGAACGCAAAACAAAATATGTATAATAGTGCGGAAAATTATTAGTACTCTATAAATTCACATGCGTTTTTTTTTTTGATAAATCGGAAATAGCGAAAATTTCGACTCAAGGAGGTGTAAAGCGTTGAGATTTTCAAAAATCTCGATTTGCTTTGTACTTCATATATACGAGATAGTAAAAATATTTCATAAAAACGTTTTAATAACAAGCTATTATGTAAAAATGCACTAAAAAGGAGAAAATAAATTATACACTACAATTTTAATAACTATAAAGGAAAGCGTGAGTCACTTTAGTATCTATTGGATAAAAGTAAAAGTAAAGTTTCCCTTTCAAACCTGACGGTCTATGGGGCAAGTGAAGTAGAGTTCACTTGTTTCTATTGGATACCTTTACTTATATTTAGGCAGAGATCCACGCTTTTTTTATAGTTATTGAAATAGTAATGTATAATTTATTTTCTCCTTTCTAGTGCATGATTACATAAAAGCTTGCTATTATAAAGTTTTTTATGAATTTTTTTAGTACTTTACATGTGTTATTTACACTAGAGTTGCATGACTTAAAACCATTGCGCACCTATTGAACGTGATGACGCGTGTCTAATAGTGCGGAATATTTTAATGAGACAGCCTACTAATTTGGTCAAATTTTTTATTAATTCATAAAAAAAAATGTATCAGGCAACTAAATAAGTCAAATAGAATGTCATGTTACATTGTGTTCATGTCTTGACCCACGTGCCAACGTTGGAACAAATCTGTCAGATAGAAGTGTCCGAAATTTCGCTCGGGAATTTCGATCTAGACAGACTGACGACTGACGACAGACAGAGGAAGTGAGTTAAATAAAAGCTTGTAAAAACGTATTAAAAACTAGGTTGGCATTTTTGTTGGCAGAAATGGATTAACGGCATTTTAATTCATGTCTACGGAGAAAATGTCTTTGAAATAGGAGATATTTGACATACGATCAATGTTACGGAACCAGGTGAACCCATATCTTGAGATACCACTCTACAGCGCTATTTCATAAAACATCACTTAGGTTAACGGATTGTTTGAGATTCAGTAACAGGCATAAGCTATCACCCTAAGACTGATGCTACATGATAATCGGCAGTTACTAATTTAGAAAAAAAAATACATTTACTATTCTCGTATAACGCTACATATAATGACTCTTACCTTCTGCACATCCGTCACCTTCATAACCTGTAGGACAACCAGACCGACATCCACCTGTAGCTACAAAACAAGTCTCAGTTGGGTTGTTACAGTTGCAGGTATTGGCACATTCAAGTCCAAATGTCTTACTTGTACAGTAATATTCTAGAAAATTCAATGCATAAAATCTCAGTTGGTTTACGCGAAATATTTTTTTTTCACATTAGAAAGCTAACACGTACTACACATGTTCAAAACAAACAAAAAACAAAAACATAAAACAAATTAATATTATTAAAAATAAAAACACGTTTACTGCCCCTTCCCCGATCCCAAACAAAAACAGGACGTATTCGGGAATAAGAAGTTTTGAGATATTTCGTCAGTCTCACACTTACTCATCAGGTATAAATGTTGGTAAATTCATACTAATACGAATTGTGAAATGTCTATTTGGCCTATAAAATAGTAGCCTCAGTTTGTGGTCTCAGAACCACACTGTCACATAATTATTTTTGTTAGTTGATACTTACCGCCATATGTCTCCACCTCACACAGTGTTAGAATGCCTCCAACACTTATAATAACATAAGAAACGGGTGTTGATGATGTAGCTGTGGTAACATTGTAAACGAGGACGTCGTTCTTAGAACTTGTATCCTTAAAAGTGAATATCTGTCTATTAGCTGAACTATAGCTTGTCAAGTTGAACCCTTTGAGCCGTTCTTGGTTACTATCTGTTATAAAACAAATACATCCGAGGTTAGTAGCTTTTTTGTGTAATGTAAACATTTTTTGTACATCACTGCTTTATATAATAATAATAATAATAATATGTAACATTAAATTCATCATACCTCTATTATAAATCACATATCTGTTGATGAGTCGTGGCTGTGTAAAATTGACCATCCAAGAACCAGCTGAGTTTGATTCAGTGTGACTGCACGAGTTTCCATTATAAAAGTCAGTGTTTGTATTCCCATCTACAGCTTTTGTTGAATAAAATGTTCCTTTATAATCAGAGTAGTTACTTGACTGCCAGGTGGGTTGTTTTAGAGCCAGATTGCGACCTTAAATATGCACATGTAATGTAACAAGTGTTTATAAGTTGTCACATTTGACTATAATTAGATTTGAAGGGCAGGGCGTCAGGACCATGTGGACTTGAAACTCGTAATGAATAGGGGTGATAACTGATTTAAAACATGTGTACGGTATTGCTCAGGATTCTTAAACCAAACTAAACAGGTCATTATTCATGGTATCTATATGTGTAATGTAAAGGACCTGATCCTGGTGTGGGTACTATGACAAAGAGATGTTTTATTTTATATTTATTTTACCTTTTTCTTCGAAAGGAGACGCAGTCTCGAAGAGAGAATTTTAAAAAATCATTTTTTCTCGCAATTTCCATACTGGACAATTGCGATTATTAACTAGTCATTTCTGGATGTGTGTCCGCAGCTTTAAGTCGTATCTAAGTCGTATCTCCTCTTCAACGAAGCAATATCGAGGACTAGTTCCAAAAGCAAATATGTTAAGCAAGTTCAGAGGATGATTGTGGGCCAAAAAAATTCCCGGAATTCCTTCCTAGATTTCACGGAAAAGCCAAAAAACCTCGAAACAAAATGCAGTTTTTGGCCCATATCTCGGCAACCAGTCCTCTTAGCGACTTGAAACATTTACCAATCGATTCCTGCCATAATTTAGAACAATATTGCCGAAGAAAGTTTTCAAAAATATCCTTCCGTTCGGTCACACATTTTTTTTTAAAAATTACATTATACATAATACACTACAGTACTATAGAACAATATAGAGAGCGCGACACTAAATACTCCCTACACGTCCGCCATTTTTTTTAAAATCTCGTTAATAAATATTTTTTCTATTTTGTTTTGAATTATTAAAACTACTTGTGTTGCTTTATTTATTTGCTGAATATATGATTTATCTCGATTTAAAATTGTTATGGATAACATAAGGAAATTGCGCTTAAATTGTCACTAGACTTTTGATTAACTTGTTTTCTCCATTTACTTTAACCCGACTCAATAAAAATGAGCAACTTTTGTGATATGTTATGAGATCAGTGGGGGTAGGGGGGGGGTGGGGTCATGAAGTGTACTAAACGTTTCACATTAATTAAATAAACCAGGTAAAACTGTTGTTTTTTGTTTAAGCATTTCTGATTTAATGTAAGTATTGTGCAAGTTTAATAGTTGGTTTCTTTTAAATGTGTAAGCATTTGTACATACAATGTAAGCCGCATATTTCAACATGGAACCGACCCCCCCCCCCCCTGTCCACCGCTTGCACAAGTCTAGTTATGTTGCGCATGCTTTTAATTTATTCACATGTATATCGTCAAAGAAATTAAAGTTCCCTTTTCGAGCCTGATGTTCCAGTGGGTAATTGGAGTAGGGTTCTCTTGTGTCTCTGTTACATGTCTTTATTTCCCCCAACGTTTGATGAGTACCCATTAGAGCTGGGTGTACTCAGATACATTCTGCTGCTGACTTAGCACAGATTCGAATTCGAGACTATCAGATTAGCATTCCAGCACCCTACCACTAGGCCACGCCGTCTCTTACAGTTCTATAAAAACGATCATTTAAACAGATGTAAAGTGTACTCTAGGAAAACGAGTGGAATATAGCTGAGGGTTTTAGCTTGTTTATAATAATCTTTATACAAACAGTAATTGGCGGCGCAAGATCTCACATTATTTTGGTGGTTGGTTTTTTTTTTAAATCATGTGTTATTCTGTTTAAATTTAAATATGACCATAATATGGATATCAACTAAACATTCAGATACATCTGAAATAACCGTCTAGATAACCAAGTAAATTTCATACTAAGAAGAATCCAAGAAACTTAAATGTGTGGTGTTTGGTAATGTTGGTACTTGTTGAACTAAATTAAGCAAGCAAATCTTTACCTCCACTTATATAAACAGAGCAAACATTTTTATTTGCTTTAAAGTCGACGAGAACTTGTGAGGACGTAATATTGTTAGAACAGAAGATATCAGTGACTTGAGCATATACTCTAATGGGTGTCTGACCAGCGCAGGCAACGATAGATCCACTGCTGCTTTTTAAATTAACTTGGATATTTTGAGGCGAGTCTGAAAGATACATTAATTTTGACAATACAGTATTTTATAGACAAGTAAATGTGAAGGTACACAGCCTATCGAACATATCCACATAAAGTAAAGTTTGGTTTTGATATAAGTAACATTAACTATCAATAAAGTTGAAATACCAATAGATTGATTATGATTTTAGATAAATTTACCCAAACAGAAACCTATGGACTAACTAATAAACACTGAACTCAACAAACTTGGTGTGACCTACTTAGGTCTAGTCATGTTCCATTCTTAGTTTGACATTGTATAGTACCTTATATGGATTGATGGTGCAACTACCGGGGTTTTTCCACTGTCTTATTAAGGGTGTCTAGGACCCAGAAATTTTCCATCAAGATCTGATTGATTAATTCTGATCAGATGACCATCCCAACCAATGGCTACATGAGTTGAGGATAACCTCCCCTGTTGCATAAGTCTTTAACTGGATTGCACACACGCAACACGAGGCAGTCTACCTTGATCAAACGGTCTATTAAGACCAGGCCGTCCATTTTGTCCGGCAATAGATTCTGACCATTTGAACGTGAGAGAACTTAAGTCCTGAGTGTGCTATGCTTTCTTAAGCTGTTTTAGTATTCTAGCATAATATTACTTGTCGCCAAGTGATTCTTGAAGCTATAGCAGTGTTGTGTGACCTGTGGCTATTTTTATACAGTGTTAAAATCTGTGATAGTATTTTTTCTTACGCTTTGTAAGTTGGGTTTTGTTATTTTCTAAATTAAATATTTTATCTCGTTTAACCTAGTGTTCTGCCACAACTGTGTTCGCTTATTAAAGGTTGTATGCAGATTGAATGAGTTGTTAACTTCAATAGTATCACTAGTTTTCCCTAGACATCGAGATCGAGCCCTAGTGTGTTGTTTAGTTAGTGTTCATTCATTTAGGCTTTAAGTCATTTGCATATAACCCCGAAAAAAGAATCCGGGGACGTTCACCATCTATCTGGCTGGTAGATAGGTAAACGTTACATTGGCACAACAAAGATATCCAAACATTATAGCAATAATAATACTTTTTATGTTAAAAAGTAATTTAGTTTGTCAAGAGTATTATTTTTTTTTTGCTTAATTCATTATTTTCTCATTTTCAATACATAATATAAAACATTTTTATTGTTGTTTTATTTTCTAGGTTTTAATAATTCTTTCTTAATTTAAGAATATATATATTTATATATATATATATATATATATATATACATATATATATATATATATATATATATATATATATATATAGAGAGAGAGAGAGAGAGAGAGAGAGAGAGAGAGAGAGAGAGAGAGAGAGAAAGAGCGATACTATTTTTTAAAATGAATATTGTATAGTTTCATATATTTGTTTCGTTTTACTTTGACCTTTTTCTTACAAATACATTTTTACATTTGACTAACCAGCTCCATTCAGGACAACCCTCAGCCACGTAACTTCATAAGAAATATCCCACGACACGTTAAATGTTTGCACACTTGCACACGTCGCGTCATTGCCATCTGTTAATATGGTGTTTGATGTTGTCGTTCCTGTCTGCACTGTTGTCAGGTCCTCTGTTTGATAATAAAAATGTAGTTACATTGTTGGAATTTAATTTCATCTGAATAAAAAACGTTTTTGTAAATAACTTTACTACTCACGATATTGACATAGAGGACCAAACCATCCTCTGTCACATGTAGACCCTCCTGTACACTTTCCTTTAACATCACATTGGTTGTTGACACAGTGACATTTGAACTGACAGCTGGAGCCAAACCAATCAGCGTCACACACTAAAAACATCAAATCTTATAATTTTTTAAAAATCTCTGGCTTTTTCTGTTGTAATTCATGTCTGAAATAGTTGTATTTATTGTCTTTTTCACAACTAGCTTCGTCCTGTATTCGTTTCCCTTCTCTCTCTCTATTCTTAACATTCGGACGAGTTTTGTCGAGACGTATCACTTCTTATTACCTTATTACATTATCTTTTCTGCTGTGTTTATCACAATCATTTAAATTCTGCCTAAATGCTATTTAAGTAAAATATTGTAAACAAATATTGTTATAGTAGGCCAATTTGACTAAGGCCTTAGTGCCTACTATTGTAATAGTTATAAAACAAGTTTTATTGTTTTTGTATTTTCGTTCCGCAACTGTCTCTTTATCCTCTATTATCTTTAAAGTTTCATTTCTTTATTCCAATCAATAATTTGTTAAACTTTTTTATAAAACAAACTGTATCTATTTTGAAGAAAATGTATGTTCTTGTTTTATTATCTTTTTAAATGACATAATTTTGTTTTTCATAATTTTTATTTTAAAGATTAAACATTGTTTAGTGGTCCGCGTGGTCGAGTCGGTAAAACTCATGGCTGCTAAACCGAAATGTATCGTGTTCGAACCCTCGTGCAGATGAGGTTCGTTAGTGTGTTCTTGGTTGGCAAATCCAAAAAGAAAAGCAGGCAGAAATCAGAGCCATTTGCCTCAATGGCGCACAACCAGTTGACACATATACTTAATTGTGCTGGAGGGGATCCCTTCCAACACTAAAATTAAAAATGAAGAACAATTGATTAAGGTAGCGTAAAGTTTATAATGTATTTCGTTCTAGTAATTTTTTTTTATGTAACCATGTATAGATACAATATCTATCTTCTATCTGTATATGTAATTCTCTTCTTGTAGACCATAGAAAACACCAAGCTGTAAGCGCGCCTAGCAGTCCACTCTCTTCCTCTCTAGGCACATCGATACCACCCCTATCCCCACATGCTCTGGTGAGCTGTGGTTCACGCTAAATGTTTACAATCGTATTAGGGGCAGATAATTTAGTTTGAAATGATTTTAAACTTAGGGGAGGTAACTAAGAGGAGGCTGCTTTCACGAAGGGGGGGAGGGGGGTAAGGGGTTATGGGTAAGGAGGGTGGGGGTAGTATCGTCCTTAACGACCTACTGATAGTGTTTTAAAGCAAATATTTTCAGTGGCAGCATTGGTACTGTCGAATTCACAAATTATGAATTACTGAAAAGTAGAAAATAAAACAACGAAATAGCTGAGTATGATATGCCGCGGGTCGGCTCGTATATATAATTCTCTACATGGGGACTAAACGAGACGCCACCACGTAAAGGCTTATCAGTTCCTACCCGCTCTCTTGGCATATCGCTACCACCCCCACCCCACCAATCTGGTGAGTTGTGGTTCAACCCGAATGTTTACAATGTGACGACTGTTAGGGGCAAATACTTTTGCTTTTAAACAATTTTAAACCAAGTTCTCCTGGATTATTTCATTGTCGTCTGTAAACTGACGTCACAGACAACCGCTTTTACGGAGGGGGGGGGGGGTGGAGGGTGGAAAGAAGAGGGAAGAGAGGATAATGTCGAATTCACAAACTACGAATTACTGAAAAGTAGCAAATAAAACAACTAATTAGCGGCGTATGCTTACGGTGCGGGTCAGCTCGTAATTATTAGTAAAAGAAACACATAACCCATCCGTTTTCTTTAGTTAGCGTTTTTGTCTTGTAATTTTCTTTCGTTTTGACTTTTGTAAAATAATTAGGTATAACATATTCATATGTATATTTTGTCTAGTGCACATAGATGCACGGGTTCTATTTGTGTAATCATACAATTTAACACTTGGATATCAAATTCAACAAAATGATTTGGTACAGTCACCATAATACAATAGCTAATTGTGAGCAGAAATTAAAGGAGATATGTAACTATTTACTAAAGATAATTATGGTATATTTTTTGCTAGGGTCAAACAGTGGACGACCACTTCAAATAGACTGCATAATATTAAAATGGTAGTATGTATGCGAAAAAGTTGCTAGCAGTTTTTCTTTCAGACATTTTTCTCCGTGGGAAGGGGGGGGGTACCCCCGAAGAGATGCCTGGAAGAAACTCTGGTGTCTAGAATTAGTGTGTCAGGTCAGAAAATGTGTTAGTTCACTTTATTATGTTCTAGTAAATATATCTAGGGAATTGGCACATATTATAAATGCAGGGGAGAAATATATTCGTTCTCGCTAACTCGACTTACAAGTAATAAATAATGTGATTACGGTATAGCCTCTCTAAACAGGGCTATTAGATTTATCAGCACCTGAACCAACAATAGCGACACACTAAGTGGGCAACCTTGCAATCCGGTAAACAGAGTAGGAGTCCGGGTTGCTTCATCATATGTCGATGTTTTCGTATCATGTTGGTAATAGCATATGTCAAGGAGTTATCTTATTTATTTTTATCTCATTTCTGATACGTGCAAATCTTTTATTCAATTATCACAAGTAAAAAATTTCAATTACAAATCTTGTCCAGACGATACAACTAAACCAACGTATCGAACAATTGATCTATCTGTGTATGAGAATTTAACTATTCACTCGAACAAGTGATCTATCTGTGTATGAGAATTTAACTATTCACTCGAACAATTGATCTATCTGTGTATGAGAATTTAACTATTCACTCGTATATAGAATTTATAATTAAATTGAAAATAAAAATCACATACCTCCTCTCGAAATATTTACTGTACTGAGAAATAACAATGCTGAGAGAAATATCGTGCAATCCATTCCTTTAACATATAAAGAAGGAAATATTAGTATATAAAAACACATAAACAGGTATATTGGTCTAAAAAATTCTTAGTTTTTAAAGTGTTGTTACTCAAGCAGTGCAAATTATAAAGCGTTAGACAAATACAAGAGCAACGAGTGAGGTTTCCCAAATGTCCGCACATAGCTAATTTAATATACATTAAAACGTGTCGAGGACATTACCCCTAGCCCCGCCCCCATCCGTAGTAGACGAGCCATCACACGCCCTGGCTATTAACCACCTTGGGCTTTACCTGCCGGTAAGATTTACCCTTTTTACAATACACCTAATCATTTTAATTACTTTCTTATCCCACTCCCAATCTGTAACCGTATCCTGAACAATTGTCCATATCCATAGTCCTATCATTTAGCGAGGCTAACGCACAAGGGGTAACTAAAAGGGTGGTAAATAGAGTGGTAAAAATGTGAAGAAGGTGAAAAAGAGCAAATACATTTATACATTAATAAACATGTAATAATACTTAAACCCAGCATTATTATTAACTTGAAGAGCAGGATTATCTTTTTTTTTTTTAAATTAGATCCTATGTAGATATTCATACCTAAATAACAGTTTATAATTACATATACTTACCCTATCAATAGATAAATGTAATAATTATTTTAAAAACAAAATAAATTTCACTTAGTAAGCTACTATATCATACTATTCGTTGAACACCGTGTAAAAACAAGTTGTCGAAATCCAGAAATGTCAACATATGTGTCCCAAAGTTCAATTGAATATTACTTCCTGGTAGAGTGTGCATTTTTTAACCAATAAATTCAGTGTTGCGTGCGGTGAACACTCTATACATTATCTCGGTCCAAGTGTGGCGTGTTTTTATTGTAAACCGATACCATCTCTATACACAACGTTTAGAGCTATAGTTAAGTGTATCTGAATAATACAGACTGACTGACGCAGGTGTAATTTATATAATGTCACATTACATAAGCTCGAAAAATTATACTATTTCTAAATCCAAAAATAAAACTACAAAAATATGCGTGTATCCTACATTCCCTAATATATGCATTGGTTAGGGTATTTATAAAACGTGTCATGTAGTGTACCTTGGGGTGTCCGTAAATTATTGAGGTATTTGACTTATGTGAAAAGAGAGATTGTAAGAGAGAAATGTATGGGGAAATACTTTTTGCATTCGACAATGTAGTATTAGAAAATGAATTATTGTTGTATTGTGCGGAATGATGGTTAAATATATTTAAAAAGCTGTTATTGATCTTAAATTAATAGCACAAATATGTAACAATCAATTTGCCTTTTACTTATTTTAATAAAAATGAGTGCGTATATCAAAGACAAACGATTGAAATCACATTTATAACTCGGCTCAAAACAAAAAAAAATATTTTTTAATTGTGAAAGGTTTATACGTGGGTGGTTTTGTCAACTACGATCTAAGAAATTGAATTCTTAAATCCTGTTGTGTATTTCGAAACGTAACGCTAAAATACCGGCGCAGCGACACCGCTTCACAACACACCGTGAACAGATCAGATTAAAGATATTTCATTCAGCATGTATTCAATAACGCGCCTTCAAGGCTGGGTACCAAATAGCACAATCCTGGTCACGTTTAAGCAAGCACATTTTATATAATGTTTACACAGCTACGGCGGTTACTACTGTGTAGAGAAAGTTGATATGTGCTTATCTAAAACAGAGTTTAAGAACAGACATAATTCAACCACCGAGCTGTGAACGAAACTCATAGCAGTAAAATATTAAGCCGTACAATCTACACTGCTGTAAATTATGAAAGCTTTAGCAATCAGTGTTTGAAGTTTTCTTGTGACATTATATATGTACTTTAACCATTACAAGCACTTAAAATAGAAGCTTTATCGTGGTTTGCTTTAAAAAAAAAGACACAACCCGTGAGGAAAAAAAGTTGCCTCAAGCAACGCCAAAGAATGTTTATGGTTTCGCATGGTTGATTATTATAGGAGATGTTAGTGTTTTATTAATAGCAATTTACTTCCGCCTTTCAGCCTTTTGATATGCTCAAAAAAATTATATAAAGCGAAGTTTAAATTTTTTTGAAATATTAAATCATAGTTATATATATATATATATATATATATATATATATATATATATATATATGTATATATATATATATATATATATATATATATATATATATCGATAGATATAGATTTATAGATATATATATATATATATATATAGATATATACACCATATCCTGACCTGACCTGACACGACTTGACCTGACCTGACCTGACCTGACCTGACCTGACCTGACCTTACCTTACCTTACCTGACCTGACCTGACCTGACCTGACCTGACCTGACCTGACCTGACCTGACCTGACCTGACCTGACCTGACGTGACCTAACCGAACCGAACCGAACCTAACCTAACCTAACCTAACCTAACCTGACCTGACCTGACCTGACCTGACCTAACCTAACCTTACCTTACCTAACCTAACCTAACCTAACCTAACCTAACCTAACCTAACCTAACCTAACCTAACCGAACCGAACCGAACCGAACCGAACCGAACCGAACCGAACCTAACCTAACCTAACCTAACCTAACCTAACCTAACCTAACCCAACCCAACCCAACCCAACCCAACCCAACCCAACCCAACCCAACCCAACCCAACCTAACCTAACCTAACCTAACCTAACCCAACTAAACTAAACTAAACTAAACTAAATTAAATTAAATTAAATTAAACTAAACTAAACTAAACTAAACTAAACTAAACTAAACTAAACTAAACTAAACTAAACTAAACTAAACTAAACTAAACTAAACTAAACTAAACTAAACTAAACTAAACTAAACTAAACTAAACTAAACTAAATTAAACTAAACTAAACTAGGATCGGCTTCTTCTTCTTCTTCTTCGTTCTTAATTTTTGAATATGGTGGAGGATTCAGGCTATTAAAGACAATATAACATGAATTATAATTTAAAAAAATAGAATAATTATTATAAACGTTTTAATCACGTTTCATCCCAATAGACTAAATGTATTTAAAGTATATTTGCAAGAAAAGTTATTTTAAGCTGCGATTCCTTCAACCTATTTATTGACTTAATTGAGTTAAACTACTCAACGTGATAGTCAATAAAACAGTAAGGATTATAAAACTAAGGACTGAAAAGATTTTTAAAACTCGCTATCTTTTAGCCATTAAGTGCACGACCCATACTTTATCAAGTATTGTTTTAAAGCGTTTGATAAAGTTATCTGCATTGATAGTTTGATTTTCAACAGGGGAATGTAAAGGTTTGTGTAACAAGAAAGTGTGCTGAGAAGAGACTATAACCTAACACATACATACAGAGAGAGAGAGAGAGAGAGGGGGGGGGGGGAGAGATAGAGAAAGAGAGAGAAAGAGGGAGAGAAAGAAAGAAAGAAAGAGAGAGAGAGAGGATAGAAAGAAAGAGAGATACGCATATATATATATATATATATATATATATATATATATATATATATATATATATATATATATATACATATATACATACATACATATATATATACACATATATTTATGTATGTCCTGGGAATCTATTTCGAAGGATGAGAAACGCAAAACTCTCTCTCTTATCTCTTACTTTTTAACAATGTTTATTTCCCTTGAGGACTGATCATTCTGTGAACTTTAGTCCAACGGATCCCTTTTTACACGCTACGGTTTGTGTATTATTTAAAGTTACTAGATCTATATTGTTTTGAAACTCATAATATATCACAATATATTATTTATTGATTTCTTAAATATTTTGAATGTACCTTTACTTTACGATTTACTATCTTCTGATTTGAAAGATTTTTTAAAAGTACGTCTATAAAACCCGCGCATTCAATAGTTTATTGTGCCTCGTGATTGTAAATTCAAAACCGTAAACTGCGTGTAATGCTTAGGCACGTTGTCATAAAACCTTTTATGCTCTACAAACATTCTGTCAATGCTATATTGAAAGATACTATTCTGTACTGTTACTAGTGTTACGTATTACTGCTTGTCATTGTTAGCATTCAGAAAACTTTAAAATACTTAGAATACTTTCTTGACTCACATTTATTTATTTGAAAGGTTCAAATAATTTATACATTGTTCGTATGTAAATATGTTCTTTTAATAGAAACACAATAGATCAAAGAAATGCTGATTTAAATAATGATTTTATAATACAAATAGATTGTAGTCAGCATAGAGAGACACGCAGTTTCTTATTTATGCTTGATATTGTGTTAAAAATAATGTAGAAAAATGCTTGAAAAAAATAAACAAACATAAAACAAACAATGGCTACAATTTTATTTTGAAGAAAAATTACAAAAACATTTTTTGCACAGTCCGATTTTTGCCAAGTTGGTCGTCGATCAATCAGCACTGGTCCAGTTGACAATGTTTCCGCTAAGTATTGGTTGGCTGTTTTAACAGTAGTCTCCCTTGTTTGTTATGCTCTGAGTTGGGGAAAAGGGTGAAATGAAGAAGAGATTGTTCTTAATAAATATATATTTCATTAGTTTTTGAAATTATCTTTAGTATCAAACATGTATTTACATTTAGCCTAGCTGTATTAAGTTTGCTATAAACTGTTACATGAATTATATGAAACTCGTGATTGTCTTTACTATTTGACTGAAGCTGCATCATTTGATTTAAGGATGTATTCGGAAGTAATGCGTGTAGTAATGTTTCTCTAATACAAACTCCTTCTGAATGACCTATGTAGTACATAACATTGTTAATTTTATTATCTCTCAATGTTCTTATTAATATACGTGTTTTAATAGACATATTGATTATACACTTTTCCGTTATTTGAAAAACATGTGAACTCCACTTTATAAACCCCATGCATCTTATGGCTAAACGGGTAAGCTAACTTAAGCATGCATTAATCAATGCAATGATTATGTACTGTTATAATAGTATAGTAGCTTCAGTAGCCGCGGGGTAATTGTGTGGCTTCATTCATACGTGTAAATATTATTGTTATTTTATTAAACAAAAACTCATATATTTTAAAGAACAGTTACTTTCTCACACAGTAAATGTTTTAACTCTTGGCTTATACAAAAAGATAGAGAAAATAATATTTAAACTGATATACGAAGCGTCTCGACTCACCTTAGTTACGTGGCTTAATGTGTATTTCTTTACTTTGTAGAAGCTATTGACATATAATTAGATTCATCATTGTATTCATTTTTTAATGAGTTGTAGGTGTTAGATTTTATGCTTGCTTCATTAGTTGCTTCTCGCAATGTAGTATCCGGTGATTCATTAATATAGTCATACACTTTTGTGTTCTCTGAAATATGCAATATTTTGTAATGTTAAACAAAACTTGTTTACAGAAAGTATAACTTGCTGAATGTAATATAACAATACACGCTACCAACGTTGACATCTAAACGCCTTAATAGACTATGGAAACATTAGCGTAAGATTATTATTTTGAAAGAAGGTACGTTTCATACCTTTACATGATAAATCAAATGTCTTGAAAATATGTTATATGAAACAGAGGTTTTATAAAGACCTTTGTTACCGCATTTTTATAATATATTTAATGTTTGATGGTTGCTAAAAATTGATAAACATCAATTAATCAGATTATATCGGATTTCATCAATGCATGACGGATGCAAGAGATTGTAGCACATAGAATTAAAAAGATCGTAGATAGATTCGATAGTTTATATAAACAATTGTTTAATTTGTCAGAAATGGATATTTGTCTATTTAGGCGATGTTCCTTAGTTTTGAAGATATCAATATTGGATACCATGAGAACGGGAGTGGATAACATCGCAAGGAAAGCATTAGACTGGAACCCCCAAGGGAAAAGTAAAGTAGGCTGGTCAGGGAAATAATCAAGTTTGTGTGTGTGTGTGTGTGTGTGTGTGTGCTGCAAATGATTATATTGCAAGTATTTATGCTGTGTTGTTTACGCTGTCTTAAATGTTTCATGTTTTCAATATGTTTTGTTCGTGTATTAATTTTGTATTCATTTTGAAGTATTTGTTTTTATTTATTTTTCGTGCGTTGTTTTATTTTACTATTCGTTTTGAGCTTTTTCTGTTTTGTGTTACTGTTATAAATATATAGTTATTCTTAAGTTCGTACGCTGTTGATATTTCTATTGTGTTTAGTTGTTATTTTATTTGGCTGTGTTGCTTAGGTACCCTACATGTTGTAAGTTTAATTTGTTAATTGTGTTTCTAGTCGGATTACATGGAGCTTTACTATATTATATAACTTGTTTGGTTGTAAATTTAAAAAAAAAATCTTTGTATAGAACAAGCTTATGGTCGGTTTTTTAAACCGCGGTATATATTTTAATTTTTTTTTACTGATACACAGACATATATTTCCATTTTCTCCGGAACTTTTTTCTTTTCTATTTTTCTTCCCATTAAGTATATGTTTTTATTCGATATACAGAGTATCCGAATAATTGTGTACTAACCATTTTCACTGTTAAATGCAGGTGATGTTAATCCGTCTCCTAATTCTAAGACTTGATTAGCATAATTATTTTTTGCATCGCCGTTAGAATGTTTTGTCCTCTTTAGCCTCCATACTAGGCATATAACAGCAATACTGATGATGAAGACACCACACATGGTTCCTATACCAATACCTATTCCAATGCCAATGCCATCTTTCATTCCTTTCGAATAATCTTCCTTTGTTTCTGAAACTTAAATAAAAACACATTTCTCACAAAATTACTACATATAAGTATTTCAAGTGTTTACTTCAAAGCGAATGTCCAACATGGTTTTAGTAAATACGTTTTATTTATGTTTAATTAAACATTTTGGTGTGAAGAAACGTGTAGCATAAATCATGCAAATAAATTAAGCCATTATATTAAAAGCACTCTTATTTATTCCGCATATTACTGTATTTATACTCAAATGTAAATAAATAGAACCACTAACGTTTTTCACAGTGGGGTCCTTGAAAACCTCGAACACAGCTGGAACATTCCCCAGTGAAGCTGTCACAGACTGAGTCAATACAATTGGTTGAACAGTTGTACAGGCAGTTCTCACCGTAATGGTGCACATCACACTCTTTGATCAAACGATAAAGCATGCTTTAGTTTCATAATTTACACAGATAATAATAAATTAATTTTTAAATTTTTGTTTACAGATTCATTGGCATAATTCATGACACAATGATAGATTCAGTAGTTTCTTTTCGCTTAACTGCATAGCACACATGTGAATGTCAAAACCGCCCAGCCTTAGTGTAGTGTATACAATAAGGTTGTCACACTAAGGTATGCTCTCTTTGTGACCATTTAAACATGATAAAGCTGTACATACCACTTATGATTAATATTTATAATTGAATATGTACTTTTTTAAATATTTAAAGAAAGGTTCTCACTATCAAATAAAGTTATAATTGAAATATTTATAATTGTAACATAATAGGTCATATAATTCAATGTTTTTCTTTTCTTATTGCATTTATCAAAATTTTAAATTCTTCATGCACTATTAAATCCTATAACGGTGGTCATATTTGAATGCTGATTGATTTGTATTAATGGAAACTTCTGTTAAAATGTTCAGCTTAATCCAATTGTTGACCAAAGTCAAATATGGGAGAATGAAAAAAATAGCGTGTTATATTTTTTAAAAGCTGCTGGTGAGTTATTAAGCTTATAAAAATTTTTATTTTCGGATATTAATATGTAATAGTGTATTATAGAAATCTAACCGTCGTATTATGTTAAACTCTAATGGTGTGAAAATATATTTAGATTAGCTTACTTAGATCACACTTGGGACCGCTGTTTCCATAGATACACGTGGAACAATTTCCACTAGCTCTGTCGCACAGCTGGTTTGTGCAGTTGGTGCTGCATCTTTGTGAACAGTTCAGGCCGTAGTATGTAGCATTACAGTCTATGACACGATCGTTTATTATTCTTTTAATTTATGTTTCAACACATTATTATCTATATACTACTAAAACTAAAGTTTATTTTCATGTTTGAATATTTTTTTTTTGTTTGTCTGTTTGGTTACTGGACAGAATCTGCACTATGTGTAGAGCTGTAAAATAGTAGCCTATTTAGGTAGAGAACACTGTTCTTTTTTACCAAAACTTTTAATCACAAATTAATTTAAAGACGTTAATGATGCGTCCGTTTGCTATGTTTATTAGGTTTCAACACTATTATCAATTTTTAATAGCTCTTCTAATTTAAATATTAATTTAATTTGAATTAATTTCTCTAGATCTAGAGATCAGATATCGGACGCCGATAAAGTCACTCCTAGATCTAAAATCTAGAATCTAGGACAAAACAAAAATAATTAGTTAAAAATATAAACCATTATAAAACCACCATAAAGTATTGAATTTCTTTATTAAACTATGTTAGTCCCTAAATATTTGATATTAATCTTGGCTTTTTAGCTTCAAGGATCATTTAATTCGAAAATACATGGGATCTATTTGTCTCTGGGTTCTATATCTAGAGTTACGACAAAAACTAGACTTTACGTACATTCTACCAGAGTTTCTTCCAGGCATCTCTTCGGGGGGGGGGGTTGACCCCCCAAAATTTTTTTACCGCCCCCCCCCCCCCCCCCGAACGAAAAGAAATTTATATAATTTATATAGAAAATATATACTTTTAACAGTGTCCGCCCCCCCGAAGAAAGTCTACCGCCCCCCCCCCCCCCGAAAATTTCAAGTGCCCCCCCGGAGAAAAAAGTCTGGAAGAAACACTGCATTCTACATCTAGATCTAGACTTAACGTAAATTCTACATCTAGAATATATACACTAAACTATTTCAGGCCTTAATTATTGGCTAATTTGGGATAAAATTTAATTTTAAATAATACTAGATCTAGGCACTAGAGCCTATTTGCGTAAATGAAGTTTCTTACGCAGAATAAAATTAAAATATATAAGTGAATATGTCCCTTAACTTACAAGCCTAGATAGCTAAGATGTTAGTATATTAGGTTACAATGCGAGACACACCATGTCAAATATATTTTTGTTTAGATATTAATGAAAAAGTTGCCTATCGGAACTTGGCGGGATACGGGGCAGGTGAAGTAGAGTTCTCCTGTTTCTGTGCCCTCAGCATATGAATGCATAGTGTGGTCAGAGCCATTCTCTGCCGAAATCGGAGTTTTAAAAGACAAAAACTTCTGAGGTGTGACGTCTTTTTGAATGTGGGGTCTGGTTAATTTGTGATGATAAGTGACAGACGTGATGTCATATCTGGATGACTCCCGAAACCCGCGGTTATCGAATGATAACGGATAGTCTAGTTGTTCTTAAAAAAATTAACAAATCCATTGTTATTACATTTTAGCGAAGTAAGTTTTTTGTGGGTTGGTTGAATTGATATCTCTTATAAAATTTTTCTAACAGTGAAAGTCTCAAAGTTAATTGAAATGCCAAATCATTTATGTTGTTTTAAAAAGAAATATGTTCATAAGAACCTGACTGTTTGATTTGTTTTGGACATTAGTAAATATGTTTAAGCATTCTCGGTAACTAAAAAAAATAAAGAAAAACACGTGTTTTTTGTTTACATTTATCACATAATTTGAAACCCAAATGGCTGAATTATACCATGCAGATTTAAAAAAAAAGAATTTAAAAATTGTAACTGCGACGTTTTGAATACAAATTACTATGTATTTTTTTTTATCAAGTGGGGTTTTCAGAAAATCGATCACAGAGTTCCTGTAAAGGCAATAAATGTTTGTCTCACGTAAGCGAAACTTATAACTTAGGCTTGATAATAAGAAATAGAAATGTCATGTTATACTCATTAAAAACAATGTTGAATTCTCGGGACTTGTAACTTTTATAACATTAGTCTTAAACTTTTAAATTTCAGAATTATTTTCAGTCCTAAAGGTTTTCAGGTCCCTTTGATTAAACAAAAATATAGTTGAATCCATGTCAACACTAAAGATTGAATGATTCTCCCCAATAGGGCTGGTAAGTAGGTCACCAGCCAGTTCTATAGCTCATGCAGGTTTTATTAAGCCGTAGAACTGGTTGGTGACCTACTTACCAGCCGTATTCGGTCATGAGAATTAATAAAATTGTATTTTAAAATATGTATCTCTTTTGATTCATTCCGTTTTGATTACCACTAAAACCTTTATTATATCATATGTTAATGCCATTCATGTAAGAAGTAATAAACACCAATAACTGCCCGGTTTTTTAGGAACAGAGCTGTTATGGATTCCATTAACGTTGTCAAACGACTGGTTTTTACCGTTGACAATGCATCTTTGTGAGCAGTTCTGTAATATGCTTCATCACGCTTTATTGGTGTGTGTGTGTGTGTATGTGTGTGTTTGAGTATGTTTTATTATATTGTTACATCTTTACGTCGTTTCTTTCTTCATGATTGTATGTATACAATTATTTAAGCATACATTATTATAAGAATGTGTACCATTTTTCCAGGTTAGTTATTAAAGCAAAAGTAAACATATAAATTACCATTACCAATGGCATTAACATGATAATTGTTTTTTGCATTGAAGATTCTTATAACATCACAAAATTATCGCAATGAAAATTAGCATGTCAAATCAGATGTTTATATCAGATTTTTTTTGCAGACGTGCAAAGTAAATGTATAAAGACAAGTGCACATTAAAAACTACGTTTTAATAACACTTATTGTTATGCTTCTATGGATTTCACAGAGAGACAGATTAAAAAGATATTCAAAACATAAGTGTGTGCTATTTTTACTTGCTCTATCTATTATTACATATAATTTAAAAGATACTCACCCTGATCACAAAAGTTCCCTTTTTTTCCAGGAACACAGCTGTTACAGACGCCATTAATGTTGTTACACAGTTGGTTTGTACAGTTTGTGTTGCATATGTTGGAGCAGTTTTCTCCATAATGTTTTGCATCACAGTCTGTGTGTATTTTCTTGATTTTATTTGATTTATAACTATATTTTTTTTCAAATGTCATATCAGTTATTTCTACTGTTTACCACCTTATTATTTAAAAGTCACAATTTACTTTATAAAATAAAAGAATATCTTAAAAAGAGTACTTCATTCACTTTGTTGAAAGATATTAAAATGGAGGGTGCATGGCTTAGAATTAAGTTTAAATTATATGAGTTTACAATAAAACAACAACACCTAGTTAGCCATGATCCCTATGATTTGAAATGTTGTGGCGTAAACTAGCATAATGTTAATAAATTCACTTACACTTTGTTGTGTAGGTTATAAAGTTAAATGGAAAAAAATACGCACCTTGGTCACAATAGCTCCCTTGTTTCCCAGGAACACAGCTGTTACACGTGCCATCAATGATGTTACACAACTGATGTGCACATGTAATGCCGCATCTTTGAGCACAGTTCTGGCCGTAATATGTGCCTTCACAGCCTGTGTATAGTTATTTGTGTAATAGCAGCTTCATTATTATTTGTTTTCAATATAAAATATGAAATAATATTGCGTCACTATGTTTCTTGCAACTAGATTGCAGCAACGCCGGCGAGGGCTACCCTAGTAAGAAAATGCAAAACGAACTTGCTTTTTAAAAGAAATAGTTGCTCTTGCTATTTCTTACATAATTTAGTGACGCATGCTTTTGTTTCAAAAATGCATTTTTTAATGCGTTTCAAATTTTTTATTATAAGGTTTTTTTTCCAACTTTTTAATGACTACTACCTCATCTCAAATATGTTTTCAAAATCAGTAAATAAATATAGGCCTTATTATTAATAAGTGTTAACCAACTTTAACTTTGTATTAGAAAATCATATGGCCTTTCTCATTTACTTTCAAAGATTTTTAGGGAGGATTTGAAAGGTAATATAACAAACTCACTAAGGTCACAAAACCTCCCCTGTTTTCCGGGAACACAGCTATTACAGGTACCATCAACGTTGTTACACAGTTGGTTTGTACAGTTGGTGCTGCATCTTTGTGTACAGTTCTGACCATAAAATGTTGCATTACAATCTGATGATTTTTTAGTAGATATTAATTCAATGACAGCAACATTATCATATACAATGTTTAAAATAAAGCTTTTTAATTTAAGTTTACTTACAATATAATTTAACACAATGCATACATATAAATATTAACATTAAAAAATCGTAAAACTAAAATAATATTGATGTATACAGAAATAGCAAATACTGCACCGGCCTCATAATATATTTTTAGCGCAATTTTCATACGGACAATTGCGATTAATAACTCGTCATTTCTGGATGGATGTGTGTTCCCAGCTTTAAGTCGTATCTCCCCTCAACTAAGCAATATCGAGGACTAGTTCCAAAGCAAATATGTTAAGCAAGTTTCGAGGATGATTGTGGGCCAAAAATATTCCCGGAATTCCTTCTTGGATTTCCCAGAAAAGTCAAAAAAGCTCGAAAAAATACTGTTTTTGGCCCATATATCGGCAACCAGACCACTTAGCGACTTGAAACATTTACCAATCGACTCCTGCCATAATTTAGAACAATATTGCCGAAGAAAGTTTTCAAAAATTTCTTTTTGTTCGGTCACAATTTTTTTTTTAAAATTACATAAACACCTACAAACCGATCGTTCTCCTAGCTTGAACGCACCCCAGCATTATACGTCTTGTCCCCGTGTGTGCTTTACGCTACGACAGAGCTACGGGTTATGAACATAATGCACTACAGTATTATATAGCAATATTTAGATATAGATCTATGGGGAAAGGGATGTGTCAAAATAATCTATTTTTCGCTGTCTTTTAGAGCTTGCTATAAGTTTATTTTTTACTTATTAATTCAAACGTTATGTTTGTACCCTATTAATTTATTTATCATTTATATGAGAGTGATAGGGAGTTACAATTACAAGGTTTTGTTTCGCTAGGCCTAATCATTTTTTCACATTTTTTAAAAACAAACTTGATCACATCTATTTTTAGATAACATAAGGAAATTGCGCTTAAATTGTCACTAGACTTTTTATTAACTTGTTTTCTTTAGTTAATATAACGCTAACGATATGAGAATGATTTTACTTGTCAACATTTTTGTATTTGTACACACCCTAGTACAATAGTAACTAAATAAGAATACTTCTTAATTAATTTACCTTGATTAATTTACCTCACCTTGATCACACAGCGCTCCTTGTTTCCCAATGTAACAGTTATAACAGGTACCATTGACGTTATTGCAGAGCTGGTCTCTGCAATTAGAGCTACAACTCTGTGCACAGTTTAGTCCATAATATGTGATATCACATTCTGTGAATTACATCAAACAAACAACGCTTTGAGAAACGGTTAAATTGTCTCGTTACTAATACAGTTTCGGTCAGAACAACATTTTAAAAAAATTGTATCAGTAGCGAAGTTAAGAAACATATTTGAAGCTCACTTACGAACAAATAAAATCGTAATAGGTATAAATCAGAGCATTAGCACTAAATACAGTGATAACTTACAAACTAAGCAACAATGTCTTTGTTTAATATAATGAACTTGTTGATTATTGATCTTTTTTTTCAATTTTTTTTTAATTTTAGGATAACACACAATTTAAAAACCGAATGGCCTTAAATAAAAATGCATAAACTAGACTAATGAGATAAGGATTAACATTTTTTAAAGTGTAACTCGCAATTATATTTACAATTGATAGATTTAAATTGACCATTTAATAGAGCAGCAAGTATATACGCTGAATTCTATTGACTAAAGAAATCTTAAACAGTTCTTTTTTCAAGCAATACGGACAACACATCAACTCGAAATTTTAAATGATCGGCATATTTAAATTATCAGGCAAATTTAAAGTACAAACTTTAGTGAAGCAATTTTTCTTATAATTGCTATATGTACTATTTGACTTAAATATGTAAATTAACTACTGACAACTTATGAACAGTTGTATAACAGCCCCTGACCCAACAAGGTATATATTTGAATCTCGAAGATGATCTTTAGCCCATAAATGACGTCACATTCGTAGGGTGAGGGGGGTCCGTAATTTTGTGACGGTATGTGATGGGGGTGGGGGGAGGTGGTTCAGATGGTATGACGTCACTTTTTGTATTATAAAAAAGCAATGTTAGAAAACTTATTTAAATAATTGTAATACGAATTGATTAAAATACTATAATATGTTGACAGAGTCCTGACAAAATTTTGGAAAAATATCGATGTTTTAAGTAAGAAAAATTCAACACAATTTTGTGAGGGGGGATTGTAGGCTGAGGTGTGACGTCATTTTAGGGGGATGTCTAGCCTTTTGTGACGACATGTGACGGAGGGGAGAGGGGGGAGATAAACATCGTAAAAAAAAAGCGTGACGTCATTTATGGATGACCCGTTAAGACAAAACAAAACAGATGCTGAGCAAAATAAAATGCATCAGTTGAAGCAGCTGTAAATTGGTAAAAAATAACACCATTGTCACAGACTGTATTATTAGGTACGAGCCGGCCCGCGGCATAACATACGCCGCTATTTAGTTGTTGTTTTTTCTACTTTTCAGTCATTCATAATGTGTGAATTCGACAGTACCAATGCTGACACTGAAAATATTTCTTTAAAACACTATAAGTAGCTCGTTAAGGACCATAGCACTACCCCCTTCCTCCCCCCTCCCCCCCCCCCCCCCCCATCGTTTAAAATCGTTTCAAACTAAATTATCTGCCCCTAATAGCCGTCACTAAACCCGACTCCACGAAGGTAAATTTAGCGTGAACCACAGCTCACTAAAACCATGTAGGGGTGGGGATGGTAGGGAGCGCTTTTACAGCTTGTTTTCTAGCGTCTCCCAGAAGAGAATTATATGTATAGATGTTTATCATATTGTGTTTTACATGAAGTTGCATGAATGTAGAGTACCTGGCTAGCGAAAGGACTGTCTGAGCGACTCGTCATGTATTTTTCCATGCTTTTGGGTGAGATCGTTCATGGAATGGAGAATGGACCGTATAAAAGGGGGCGCAAGGTGAACGAAAGGGGGCTTGGACTGTGGCTGTGAATATGAAGTAGGATGTCACCACGTCACTTTGATTCGTGGTTGTACTTGCACCAGTTGTTTATCTTCTATTATGGATTTACTATGGATTTATCATTTCACTGTGTAAAGTGTAAATAAAGTTTATAGTTTGAGTTACTACTATTGCTCGTGTTCTTGTATCAAAACGAACCCACAACAACAAGGGATATCACTGTTGTTACAATCATGTATTGCTTTAAACAACATATAAAATAAATACGCATATGTAAACAAGGATTAGAATAAAACGCACAGATAAATGTTGGTATTAGCTAAAATTTATAGGCTAAAATTGTCAAAGCAGAAAAGCTGCAAGTTTGACACAGAAACTATGTTTGCTTAATTTGTTACTTCGGAGACCTAGAAAGAAAACAGTGAACATTAAGCTCAAGACAAATTCATTAAGATGAATCCAATGTGCACTCTTATATTCAGACACCCAACAGCAGAGAAAAGAAACTAGGAAATATTTGTAGAAAAGAGAGAGAGAGAGAGATGGGTAACACAGTGTAAGAGAGTTAATAGAAAAAAAGGGTTTAAAATATGTATAGTAAAATGAGAATACAAATAGTAAGACAAATATATGCGATTTAAGTTCGTTTCGGCACATTGGTCCATTACGCGCGGGTGTCGGTATCCTCAGAGTTGACTGCGCTGCGCTTGCTTCGCTACGGTGGGGATATGGATATTACCTCCGATTTTACCACGCGGTCACAACATTGGGGAGGATAATCCCTCATCGCGCGAGAGTCGGTAGCACTTTGGTGTGAAGAAGGCTATTCACGAAAATGAAGCTTTGGTAAAAAAAATTGAGAGCCAATGCTCTCACGAACGTCCGCCCAGAAACACTACCAGCCCGCTTATATTATATTATATATATATATATATATATATATATATATATATATATATATATATATATATATATATATATATATATATATATACTAGCCGTCTCGGCCAGGCCCTGCTCTGGCTTCTGTGAAAAACCTTTCTGTTAAAGACCATTACCTGTGTGTTTAGTAATCATCTTAAACCCGGCATTGCCCACCCAAACCACAACCAACCAAAACAACAAAACGCAAAGATAACGCTAACACAATTACAAATACAAATGAAAACAAAAACCTAACAGCAAACCCAACCACAATCACAAACACCAATACAAACACAAAGAAAAAACAAAGAAAAAAAAACGAAAAAGCAAACGAAAACAAACCAAATCCAAACGCAAAACCAACCACAAACACAAACCCAAAGAAAAAAAACAAACGAAAAAGCAAACAAAAACAAACCAAATCCAAACGCAAAACCAACCACAAACACAAATACAAACACAAACCCAAAGAAAAAAACACAAACGAAAACGAAAAAAGAAAGAACAAAAACGAACCAAATCAAAACGCAACCACTAACGCGAATATAAACGCAAAGTGCTCACAGTCTAGCCCGGGGCAGAATCGCCTGTTTCAGCTTAATAATCGACTATAGTACCCCAACTTATTCATAGTCTTTTGCACTAACTTAAACGAACGTAGGTGCCAAACCAAACGAACAATTATAATATTCCAAGCTTATTCGTACAATACCTACATTTGCACTTGATCAATCCCCGCTAATTATGTAATTATTTTTTTCCCAACACCAAAACAAAGTAATAAAACGTAAATTATTTTCCACTAATGCAATGTTTTATAAAGGAAAGTAATATGTATATATATATATATATATATATATATATATATATATATATATATATATATATATATATATATATATTCTATAATATATATTTTGTTTCCGTTTGTGCCCAACACGCCTGGGGCTGGTGAAGTAGAGACCTCGGGATCGTGTAATCAGCACCATACCCAGCCGACTTTGCTTAGGTACTCAACAGAACTGGGTGGACTCATTAACGTTCTACTTACTTGAACCCGGATTTGAACTCTAGACTGTTGGGCTTCTACCTCTTTTACTTTATGCTGCGCCTTCCCATTTATATATAATGTCTACCATTAAATTAGATACTAGTCCATACCTTCTAAACACCCTTCCCCTTGATATCCAGCAGCACAACCAGACCGACATCCACCTGTAGCTACAAAACATGTCTCAGTTGGGTCGTTACAGTTGCAGGTCTTGGCACATTCTAGTCCATATTTTCGACTTGTGCAAATATAGTCTATGAAGTTAGGAAGTTAAACTTATCTTACTATACATAGGTGTATTGTAATTTCATTGAACTAATACTAACTTAACCTGTGGGACTATTCCGTGCCATACTTTTTTTTAAATGTTATAAAACGTGTTTTAAGACTGACACACTATTTTTTACAGTTTATACTTGCAATTAATACATATTTATATGATGGTAAAAGAATACAAAGATAATATACAAAACGAAAATCAGTTTTTAGATGTTTACTTTTGTCACAGAAATTAGAAAAGTGTGTCAATATCACACGCAAAAGCTATTCATAAAAAAATTAATTTGAAAAAGTGCATTAAACTCTAGCAAATACTCTTCTTCACTCGGAGAAGAGAGTGCCCTTTTACAACTTAGGAATTACTCAGCTTTTAAGTGGTCTTAATCTCGCTCCTTTTCGAATAATAAAAACGTAAAACGTTATTGGGAAACTATACATGTTCATCACAATAACATTTCAACAAAACTGATTTTGACACACTATTATTTGTTCTTTGCTTTACATACCGCCATAAGTCTCCACCTCACACAACGTTAGAATGCCTGTAACATTTACAACAACATAAGAAACGGGTTCTGATCCTGTAGCAGTTGTCACGTTGTAAACTGGCACGTTGCCGTCAGTTTTTGTATCTTTGTAAGTGAAGAGTTTCTTATTTGTAGAACTGTAGCTTGTTAAGGTGAATCCTTTGAGTCGATCACGGTTATTATCTAGGAATAAAAATGTCTTTAAGTTACGCTGGCTCTGTAAAGTAACGCCACCATCAATGTATCTCTAATTAATTGATAAATATGCAAAATAAGCTTATGTTACCTCTGTTATAAAGCACATATCTGTCGATGTACACTGCCTGTGTAAAATTGACCATCCAAGAACCAGATGAACCTGAGTTAGTGTGTGTACAAGATTTGTCAATCAAGTAGTTACTACTTGGATTCCCGTCCACAGCTCTAGTGGAGTCAAACGTTACCCCGTTCTCTGTGTAGTTGCTTGATTGCCAGGTCGGTTGTCTTAGAGCAAGATTGCGACCTAAATCAGTCAAACATTGAATATGACTGCTTAGAACATTGGTAACTTATCTAATACTGGATAGTCTATAAACAGTGTACATGGTAGCAATCATTCAATCTAGAACTGCCGAATCGCTTACCCGCTTGTGCAAGACGTCATTTAATTAGAATTTCAAAAAGATGTGAAAAAAGAAAAAACGACAGGTAGAACACTAAATAGCTTATTATTATTAGTTTCTATTCATCATTAAGTTACGCATACTATAATGTCGATTCGAATTTCGATAAATAAAAACACCATAAAAATATCAGACTTAATGCGCTCTTTTAGGAAAACTGTTCAAATTAAGAATAAATATAATAGCGTTAAAGGTCACTATCAAAAACATATATATGCAATTCTTTATATCCTCTTCTTTTAATTAAACAAATTAGAATTTTAAAAAATTCATAAAAAACGTTTTAATAACAAGCTTTTATGTAATGATGCACTAAAAAGTAGAAAATAAATTATAGACTACTATTTAAATAACTATAAAGAAAAGCGTGGGTCACTTTAGTATCTATTGGATACCTTTACTAATGTTAAGGAAGACACCCACGCTTTTCTTTATAGTTATTTAAATAGTAGTCTATAATTTATTTTCTACTTTTTAGTGCATCATTACATAAAAGCTTGTTATTAAAACGTTTTTTATGAATTTTTTTTCAGTACTTTACATGTTTTATCTACAATAGAGTTACATGACTATAAACCATTGAGCGCCTACTGAATATCACGTTCAGTAGGCGCGCAATGGTTTTTGAACGCAGCCATTACGTGGTCGTGATGGCGCAGCTATTGATGACGCGTGTGGTGTGGTTGGCTAGGCATGCCTACTAATTCGGTCCAAATTTTAATTAAATCATAAAAAATTAATTAGGCATCCAATTAAGTCAAATTTAGTTTCAGATTGCATTGTCTTCATGTCTTGACCCACGTGCCAACTGTGAATCGTATCGATCAAGTAGAACTGTCCGAATTTTCACTCCTGCGTTTCCGTCTAGACAGACAGACAGACAGAGGAAGTGAGTTAAATAAAAGCTTGTAAAAAGGGAACATTAATATATGAATATATACTAACAATCCATGTACACCTTGAGTAAAATTCTGGATATATGACAGTAATTTAATTATCATTCAAAGACAGATTTATAGAAATGTAAATGTGTATGAAATGTGATGATAGTTAGATTGTGAACATAAATTTAGCATGAGAATCCTTACCCCCACTTATGTAAACAGAGCAAACAATTTTATTGGATTTAAAGTCAACAAAAACTTGCTGGGCCAAAATATTGTTAGAACAGAAAATATCTGTAACTTTAGTATACACTCTAACCAGCGTCTGATCAGTGCAGGCAATATTTGTTCCGCTATTGTTTTTAAAAAGCACTTGGACATTTTGAAGCGAATCTGAAATTGAACATTTAATTTAATAACACAACACATTGATAAAAAAAATCTATGACATGGCTACTTCTAGAACTGAATGCTTTAATTATGACAATGGGATACCACTGTTATGCCAATCAACTGCTTAATTATACTCCAGAGGAGCCAGGGACAAACTTTCAATTTGGCGCCCCCTCCCCCCCCCCCCATATATTTTTTTTACTTTCTCGCATATACGAAGTATAGAGAAAGTCTTGTAATCGTGCAAAAAAAAAAATCGAGATTTTTACAAATCTCGACGTTTTACACCTCACTGATACGGAAAAACATAATTTTGCAATCTTGTCCGTATGTCTGTGTGTCTGTCTGTCTGTCTGTCTGTGTGTCCGTGTGTAAACACGATTACTTGAGTACCGTTACAGCTAGGTTGATGAAATTTCATATATAAGTATTTTATCAAAATCGTAGATCCGTATCAACTTTTGAGCGATTTCCGATAACCGGAAGTGGTACTTTTCCTACTTTGAATTTTTCAAAACCCTATAACTTGAGTACTATTTCAGATAGATAAATGAAATTTCACATGTAAGTAAAAGATCTATTTCTCTACCTTCTGTTAAATTGTGAGTAATTTCCGTTGACCGGAAGTAGTAATTTACGCTACTTCCGATTTCTCAAAAAACTATTGTAAATTTTAAAAGTACTAATAATATTGCGCACTATTATGCACTTTTTTATTTGGCGTTCACTTGGTGTGCAATTAATTTGTCTACGAGATTTTATTCTATTTTTAAAACTTTAAGTATTTAAAATGGATTAAAACTCATGTCTAAAGCCCGAGTTCCCATCCCCTGTTATTTTATATATAAATATTCGAGAAAGTTTAGGGGAGATCACTCCCGGTTTATATACATTTATAATTGCAAAACTGAGCTTTTAATATTTTTTTCAAACCTATTTTTGCGCCCCCTAGAATCGGCGCCCGAGGACATATGTACCCCCCCTCGCTACGCCTCTTGTCCCACCCCTCAACCCCCAAAAAATATCAAGTGCCCCCCCCCCCCCCCTCGCAGAAGAAAAGTCTGGAAGAAACACTGATCGTTGGACACTTTGTTTAATAATTTAAAAAAATAGTCAACTAATTTGTTTTTAGATAATATTACGGTCAAGTATGTAGATTTGGATTATTTTGACAGACACACAGGAGAAAGCTTACCGCCAAAATCGTTTAGTATTTTGAGACTTGTTAACTGTAACATTTTTTTAAACATTTTACAAACCTGGTTCAGACATGACAACTCTAAGCCACATCACTTGATAAGCCACATCCCACGACACAGTAACAGTTTGAACATTGTCACACGTCAAGTCGTCGCCATCTGTTACCTTGTTGTTTGATGTTGTGATACTTAGCTGAACTGTTGTCAGATCCTCTGTTTGATGATAAAAATATAGCTGCATTTTTGGATTTTCATCTCATTTAAACATTATTTTTTAGATTACTTTACTACTCACGATATTGACATAGAGGACCAAACCAGCCCCTATCACATGTAGACCCTCCTGTACACTTTCCGTCAACATCACATTGGTTGTTGACACAGTGACATTTGTACTGACAGCTGGAGCCGAACCAGCCATTGCTACACACTAAAAACATCAAATCATATGAGTTTTAAAAATTCCTGGCTGTTTCTGTTGTAATTCATGTCCGAAATAGTTGTATTTTTTGTCTTTTTCACAACGAGCTTCGTTCTGTTTTCGTTTCCCTTCTCTCTATATATTCTTAACATTCGGAAGAGTTTTGTCGAGACGTATCACATTTTATTACCTACTTACATTATATTTTCTGCTGTGTTTATCAAAACCATTTTAATTTTACCTAAATACTATTTAAGTAAAATATTGTAAACAAATCCTAATATATAAAAGACCATGTGCGCACTTCTCTCCCTCTCTGTCTGCCCGAAAAATATTTTTGCCGGACATCACAGTTCAGAATCTGCAGCGATATATGAAGAACTTTATACGGACTTTTGTTGAAAATAATATATTAGATGTTTTAAATGTATAACCACAATTTTCTTTAAAGAAGAAAAATAAAACAAAAATAAAGGCGTATTCGAATTCAGAAAAACACTTTTAATTATGCACCCGGAAACGTGTTTATACTTCGGACAAGAATGCATTTAACAATGACGTCGCTTATTGTTTACACTAAAAAAGAGCACGAAACTGATGACGTCATCTTCCGAGTTTAGAATAAAATAAAGAAATGAACTATTTCATTCAAATGTGATTTAGAGCTACATTCTACGTACGCTATGAAAGGTATAGAATACGATTTTCTCGGCCTAAATTTTTATAAGGTTTTACTTTATCTATTCGGATTCTAGATATAGATCTAGATCTCGATTCTAGATCTAGACTAGATCTACGGAAAAACTAGACGTAGACGCTAAGATCTGGATTTAGACTATATACTAAAAACAACATAACTACCATTGAACAGCCGGGTTTTTAAAGAAATCTTTTAAGTCTCTTAATTTTAAGTCTCTTAATCAGCGAGTGCACTTAATATGGTATGGTTACCGATGAAGAAAAGAACTATTTCATTTAAATCTATAGATCTATTAATAAAAACCTAATAAAAATAAATCACTTTAAAAAAAATTAATAAAAAACGTTTTAATAACAAGCTTTTATGTAACAATGCACTAAAAAGTAGAAAATAAATTATAGACTACTATTTAAATAACTATAAAGAAAAGCGTGGGTCACTTTAGTATCTATTGGATACCTTTACTAATGTTAAGGAAGACACCCACGCTTTTCTTTATAGTTATTTAAATAGTAGTCTATAATTTATTTTCTACTTTTTAGTGCATTGTTACATAAAAGCTTGTTATTAAAACGTTTTTTATGAATTTTGTTTTCAGTACTTTACATGTTTTATTTACAATAGAGTTACATGACTAAAAACCATTGCGCGCCTACTGAACATCACGTTCAGTAGGCGCGCAATGGTTTTTGAACGCAGCCATTACGTGATGGCGCAGCTATTGAAGGTGATGACGCGTGTGGTGTGGTTGGCTAGACATGCCTACTAATTCGGTCCAAATTTTAATTAATTTATAAAAAATTAATTAGGCATCCAATTAAGTCAAATTTAGTTTCAGATTGCATTGTCTTCATGTCTTGACCCACGTGCCAACTGTGAATCGTGTCGGTCAAGTAGAAGTTTCCGAATTTTCACTCCTGCGTTTCTATCTAGACAGAAAGACTGTCGACTGACGACAGAGGAAGTGAGTTAAATAAAAGCTTGTAAAAAAACAAGAAGAATACCGAGGAATCGCGGAGTTGTTAACGGAATCATTTAAAGTCACTAAATAAGTGTGTGCCCATGTTATGTTAAATGTGTCGGATTTTTAGCTAATTAGTTATTTCTTTGCTTTGTCAGTAATATCGTTCAGCGTGTAGTAATGCACATTGCGTTTTGACCAATAACTATATTATAAATTATTTTTCTTAAACAAGTTCACCATTTTAAAATAATATAGGCCTATAATTCACGTGAAACGGGTACCGATGGCTAATATTCTTATAATAAGCCAATATGAAAAAAGACCTGTGTGCCTACTATTATAATAGTTATAGACCAAGTGAAAAGTTTCCCTTTCAAACCTAACGGTCTATGGGGCAGTTGAAGTAGAGTTCACTTGTTTCTGTGACCTCGGCATATGAAGAGATAGTGTGATCAGCACTATGCCCAGCCGCCTTTACTTTCCCTAACAGGAGTAAGGTACGCATCAGAGTTGGGTGGACTCAGGGACGGTCTGCTGACTTGAACTCGGATTCGAACTCGAGACTAACGGGTTAGCAGTCCAGCTCTCTACCTCTAGACCACTCCGTCCCACACCTAGTGAACGCCTTATAAAATGTGTATAAGAGTGCTGGATATTATTAGTACTTTATAAATTTACATGCGTTTTTTGAGAAATCGGAAATAGCGTAAATTAGTACTTCCGGTCAACGGAAATTACTCAAACTTTGAGAGAAGGTAGAGAATTAGATCTTTTACTTACGTGTGAAATTTCATGCATCTATCTAAAACAGTACGCAACTTATAGGCTTTTGAAAAATTCAAAGTAGAAAAAGTACCACTATCGGTTATCGGAAATCGCTCAAAAGTTGATACGGATCTACGATTTTGATAAAATACTTATATATGAAATATCATCAACCTTGCTGTAACGGTACTCAAGTTATCGTGTACAGACACACAGACACACACACATACGGACATAATTGCAAAGTCCAGTTTTTACGACTCGATAACGCATAAAAAGCCAAAACGTTTATACATTTGTATTTATAATTTTTGCCTGATTAAAATAATTCCTGTATACTCCGGATATGATGAAGGACTGAGGAGTAAACCGGTGAAAACTGTCGAAATTTCATGTTATTTTTGTGCACGATTACAATACTTTCTCTATACGTCGTATATACGAGAAAGTAAAAAATGCATCTATTTTGAAGACAATGCATGTTTTATGTTTTATTATCTTTTTAATTGCTAAACATTAGTGGTCGGCGTGGTCGAGTCGGTAAAGCTCATGGCTGCTTAACCGAAAAGTCTCGAGTCCGAGCCCTCGGGCAGATGAGGTTAGTTAGTTTGTTCTTAAATGGCAAATTCAAAAAGAAAAGCAGGCAGAAATCTGAATCAATTGCCTCAATGACGCATAACCAGTTGACACGTATACTTAATTGTGCTGGAGGGGATCTTTTCCAACACTAAAATTAAGAACAAAGAAGAAGAAGAACAATTTAGCTTCCGTGAAGTTTGAATTATATTTCTTTCTCATAATTTTTTTATGAACACATGTATAGATACAATATCTATCTTATATATATATATATATATATATATATATATATATATATATATATATATATATATATATATATATATATATATATATATATATATATAATTCTCTACATGGGGAATATACGAGACGCCACAACGAAAGGGCTTCGCCGTTCCTACCCGCTCTCTAGGCATATCGCTACCACCCCCACCCCTCCAGTCTGGTGAGCTGTGGTTCACCCTGAATGTTTACAATGTGACGGCTATTAGGGGCAAATAATTTACGTTTTAAATATTTTTAAACCAAGTTCTCCTTGTTTATTTCATTGTCGTCTGCAAACTGTCGCGTCAGACGGTCGTTTTCACGGAAGGGGAGTGGGGTGGAGGAGAAGAGGGAAGAGAGGGTAATGTCGAATTCACAAATTATAAATTACTAAAAGTAGCAAATAAAACAACTAAATAGCTGCGTATGCTTACGGTGCGGGTCAGCTCGTTATTATTAGTAAAAGAAACACATAACCCATCCGTTTTCTTTAGTTAGCGTTTTTTTAGCGCAATTTCCATTCTGGAGAATTACGTTTATTAACCCGTCATTTCTGGATGTATGAATGAATGGATGGATGGATGGATGGATGTGTGTCCGCAGCTTTAAGTCGTATCTCCTCCTCAACGAAGCAATATCGATGACTAGTTCCAAAAGCAATTATGTTAAGCAAGTTACGAGAATGAACATAGGCCATAAAAATTCCGGGTTTCTTTCATGGATTTCCCGGAAAAGCCAAAAAAGCTCAAAAAAAGCAGTTTTTGGCCCATATCTCGGCAACCAGACCACTTAGCGACTTGAAACATGCACCAATCGATTCCTGCCATAATTTAGAACAATATTGCCGAAGAAAGTTTTCAAAAATATCCTTTCGTTTGGTCACAAACATTTTTTTGAATTAATTAAAATTTGGACCGAATTAGTAGGCATATTTATCCAACCACACCACACGCGTCATCACGTTCAATAGCTGCGTCATCACGTTCAGTAGGCGCGCAATGTTTTTAGTCATGTAACTCTATTGTAAATAAAACATGTAAAATACTGAAACATTTTTAAATAAAAAAACGTTTTAATAACTAACCAATGGTTTTACTAACCCTGCTCTTGATTTACGCTACGACAGAGCTATTTTTAGATAACATAAGGAAATTGCGCTTAAATGTCACTAGACTTTTTAATTAACTTGTTTTCTTGTAATGTTCTTTCGTTATGACTTTTGTAAAAGAATTAGGTATAACATATTTGATATGTATATTTTGTCTAGGGCAAATAGATGCACGGATTCTATTAGTGTAATCATACAATTTAACATTTGAATTTCAAACTCAACAAAATTATTTGGTACAATCACCATAATACATTAGCTAATTGTGAACAGAAATTAAAGGAAATCTGTAATTATTAACTAAGGATAATTATGGGATATGTCGCTGGGGTCAAACAGTGGACGACCACTTCAAAGAGACTGCTTGATATTAAAATGGTAGTATGTATGCTGACCAGTGTCTGGCAGTGTTTATTTCAATTTTCTCCGGGGTGGGGGGGGGGGGGGCATTTGTCATTTTGGCTGGGGGGAGGATTCTATGTAAATTCCATTTCATTTTTCGGGGAGGGGGGGGGGCGCTCCCCCGAAGAGATGCATGTAAGGTCAGTAAATGTGTTAGTTCACTTTCTTATGTTCTAGTTATTATAACTAGTAACTTGGAACATATTATAAATGCTGGCAAGAAAGAGATTCGTTCTCTCTAACTCGACTTGTAAGTAATAAATAATGTGATTATGGTATAGCCTTGCTAAACAGAACTATTTGATTTATCAGCACCTGAACCAACAATAACGTCACACTAAGAGGGCAACATTGCAGTCCGGTAGAGTATGAGTCTGGGTTGCTTCATCATTTGTCGATGTATTCGTTTTCTTTGGGTACTAGCATATGTCGAGGAATTATCATATTTGTTTTTAATCTATTTCGTTGCATATAGGTCCTGGTCTATTTTTCAATTTTAACAAGTGAGATAGGTCAATATATATATATATATATATATATATATACTATATATATATATATATATATATATATATATATATATATATATATATATATATATATATATATGAAAGTGAAAATAAAAATCACATACCTCCATTCGAAATATTTACTGTATTGAGTAATAATAATGCTGAGAGAAATATCGTGCAATCCATTCCTTTAACGTAAAAGTAGGAAATAATAGTATATGAAAACATATTAACGGGTCTAATAGTTAAGAATTTGTTTGTTATCAAAGTGTTGTTACCCAAGCAGTGCACATTATAAAGTGTTACACACAAAAGAGCAACATGCTAGGTGTCCAAAATGTCCGCACATACTTAACTTTATAGACATTAAAACGTGTGGAGGATATTACACCCAGCCCCGCCCCGCCCCCATCCGTAGTAACCATGCCGTCACACGCCCTGTCCTTTATTTTCTGTGTGAATGACATGGCAATTCACTCTCTTGGCCTTAACCTGCCGGAAAAATGGTCCATTCCTTTACAATACACATATTCATTTTAATTACTATCTTATCCCACTCCCCATGTGTAACCGAATCCTAAACAATTATGCATTTCCATATTCCTATCATTTGGCGAGGCTAATGCACAAAAGCCAACTGACCGGGGGGAGGGATGAATACAGTGGTAATAAATGTGAAGAAGGTGGAAAAGAGTAAATATACACATTATATTAATATTATATTATATAATATTAATTTATATTTATACATTAATAAACATGTAATAAGACTTTAACCCACCATTTTTATTAACCTGAAGAGCAGAACACCTTTTTTTAAAAAAAATTAGATCCTATGTAGATATTCATAACTAAATATCACTTTATATTTACATATTGGGTGTCATAATCTCAAAAAATGCACAACCAACACGATTGAGGCTAGTTATCACAGTAACATTTATTTCTCTTCAAACGAGCCACCTAGTCCCACATCAACCTGTCTGCTTTCACTCCAACTTTCAACTGTCCTCCGCATTCATCCCTACACACCACCTTTCTCCCGCTCACAACACAGCCACTGTCACCCGACCAGTCGCTTCCCTTGTACCCTCTTTCACTCCGTACAACAACATACACGTCAATACACCCGGCCTCGCGTCTCACTACATGATACATGCACACACGCAGTGATCCGTTCCACGTATTCACCTTTCATACACATTACATCACCACACATATACTTACCCTATCAATATATTATTATGCCAATTATTTTTAAAACAAAATATATTTAACACAGTAAGCTACAATAGCTTACTATTCGTTTGAAAACCGTGTAAAACCGTGTTGTCGAAATCCAGAAATGTCGACATATGAGTCCCAAAGTTCAATTGAATATTACTTCCTGGTAGATTGCGCATTTTTTACCACTAGATTCAGTGTTGCGTGCGGCGAACAGTCTATACATTATCTCGGCCCAAATGTGGCGTGCTTTTATTGTAAACCGATAACATCTCTATACACAAAGTTTAGAGCTATAGTTATATATATATATATATATATATGTATATATATATATATATATATATATATATATATATATATATATATATATATATATATTGGTTAGGGTATTTATAAAACGTATTATTAAGTTTACCTGTCCGTAAATTATTGAGGTGTACAATGTAGTATTAGAAAATGAATTATTGTTGTATTTTGAGTTATGATGGTAAAATACATTTAAAAAGCTTTTTATGGATCTTTAATTAATGGCACAAATATGAAATAGTCAATTTGCTTTTTACTTATTTTAATGAAAATGTGTGCATATTTACAAGACAAACGATTTAAATCATATTAATAACTCGGCTTAAAAAAATAAATAAATATACGTGTAAACTGTTTAACAGTGGGTGGTTTTTCCTCCACGATCTAAGAAATTGAATTCTTAAGTCCAGTAATGTATTTCGAAACGTAACGCTTAAATAGAGTTGAAGCGACAGCGTTTCACAACACACCATACACAGATTAGACAAAAGGTAGGCTATTTCATTCGACATGTATACAATAACGCGCCTTCAAGGCTGGGTACCAAATAACACTTTCCAGGTCATGTGAAAGGCAAGCACCTTTTATGTAATTTTTATACAGCTGCTGCGGTTTCTACTGTGTAGAGAAGGTTGTTATGTGAACACACATAATTCAACCACCGAGCTGTGTACAAAACTCATAGCAGTAAAATGTTAAGCCGCACATTCAACATTGCTGTAAATTTAGATAGAAGCAGCAAATACGTGTTTTTAGTTTTCATGTGACATTATATATGTGCTTTAACCAATACAGTTACATGAATTTAAAGTGTTATGGAGATTTCCTCTTAACAACACGAAAAATTGTACTACTAAAATAAAAGGCACAACTCGTGAGGAAAAAAAGTTGCGTTGGGAAAGCCAAAGAATGTTTATGGTTTCGCATGGTTGATTTTTATACGAGATGTCAGAGTTTTATTAATAGCAATTTACTTCCGCATTTCAGCCTTTTGAAATGTAAAAAACAAAACGAAATTATACTAAGCGAGGATGAATTTATTTTAAAACCTAACCTAAACTAACTGACCTGACCTGACGTGACCTGACCTGACCTGTCCAGGCATGACCTGACCTGACCTGACCTAACCTAACCTAACCTAACCTAACCTAACCTAACCTAACCTAACCTAACCTAATCTAACTTAACCTAACCTAACCTAACCTAACCTAACCTAACCTAACCTAACCTAACCTAACCTAACCTAACCTAACCTAACCTAACCTAACCTAACCTAACCTAACCTAACCTAACCTAACCTAACCTAACCTAACCTAACCTAACCTAACCTAACCTAACCTAGCCTAACCTAGCCTAGCCTAGCCTAGCCTAGCCTAGCCTAGCCTAGCCTAGCCTAGCCTAACCTAACCTAGCCTAGCCTAACCTAGCCTAGCCTAGAATAGCCTAGCCTAGCCTAGCCTAGCCTAGCCTAGCCTAGCTTAGCCTAATTAACCCAGCTTAGCCTAGCCTAGCCTAGCCTAGCCTAGCACAGCACAGCACAGCACAGCACAGCTCAACCAAACCAAACCAAACCAACCAAACCAAACCAAACCAAACCAAACTAAACTAAACTAAACTAAACTAAACTAAACTAAACTAAACTAAACTAAACTAAACTAAACTAAACTAAACTAAACTAAACTAAACTAAACTAAACTAAACTAAACTAAACTAAACTAAACTAAACTAAACTAAACTAAACTAAACTAAACTAAACTAAACTAAACTAAACTAAACTAAACTAAACTAAACTAAACTAAACTAAACTAAACTAAACTAAACTAAACTAAACTAAACTAAACTAAACTAAACTAAACTAAACTAAACTAAACTAAACTAAACTAAACTAAACTAAACTAAACTAAACTAAACTAAACTAAACTAAACTAAACTAAACTAAACTAGAATCGGCTATCAAAGACACTATAACAGGAATGCAAATTACACAGGCCTATATTAGAATTAATTACACAGGCCTATATTAGAATTAACTTAATAAACTTCTTAGAAACGTTTTATTCTATTGGACTAATGTAATTAAAGTATATTTGCAAGAAAAGTTAAAAGGTTTGAAGCTGTGATTTGAGTAAAGTACTCAACGTGATCGTCAATAAAATAGTAATGATTAAAAAGCTAAGGAATGAAAAGGGTTTTGCAACACGCTATCTTTTAGCCATTGAGTACACGTCCCATAATTTATTTGATGTCGACGGGCTGGCTCTGTGTAATGTGTTACCAGTATAAAGAAGCATGAGAACACACGAAACACTCTCCCTTATCTCTTACCATGTTTATTTCCCTTGAGGGCTGACACATTGCGTGAACTTTAGTCCAACTTGTCCCTGTTTACACGCAACGGTTTGTGTATCATTGAAAGTTACTATATTATTTTGAAACTCATAAAATGTCACAATATATTTTATCTTGATTCCTTAAATACTTTAAATGTACTTGTACTTTGCGATTTACTATCTTCTGATTCGAAAGAATTTTAATTTAAGTCCTTCAAATCCGCGCACAGTTAATTAGTTATTGTGCCTGGTGATTATACATTTAAACTGTAAACTGCGTGTATTGCATTGGCAAGTTGTCATACAACATTTTATGATAAACATAAATTCTGTAAACGCTATATTTAAAGCTATTATTATGTACTGTTACTATTACTACGTATTACTGCTTGTCATTGTTAGCACGCTTAATACTTTAAAACACGGTCTTTGACTCATATTTATTAGTGTGAAAGTTCAAACAATGTATGCATAGTGCGTTTGTTAATATGTTTTATTTGATAGAAACATAATAGATCAAAGAAATTCTGCTTTAGATAATGTTTTATTATACTAATAGATTGTATTCAGTAATGAGAGACACACTGTAAAAGTAAATACATGACATAAATTATATGGAATAAACAATTAAAGTCATCGAACAAAAATTATGAGCAATCTTATAGTAGTATTTTAAAAGGCATGAACTAAATGTATACATTGTATTACCTTCAAAATATGTAGGCCTATGTATGTTTTGATAACCAAAATATATTGTGTATCGTTCTTCAATGTAGATCTTACAAAATTTTTAGATATTGCAAGTTACATTTGTGTTGAAATGTTCTTCCTTCTTTCATCATGCCGAAATTATGATAGCGTTAATCTAATTTCTGAGTGAAGTGCCGTTAAAATTTCTACTATTACCAGATAAAGATGATATACAATCAAATTGTTTAGAGCCTAAGATATAAAGGTAATCAGTCACGACCTTATATTTCATATATTAGTTTAAGGGTGGGTTTGGAGTACATTGATCAACCACAGCAATAAGATATGTTGGAACACGCCTCGGTAAACAACTAGCCTACTTGTTTGGGGGTGTCTTGGACACTCTTGTGTGCCAGAGTTTACCTAAACTGAGAGCTACTAGTGTCATATGCATTTCTGTAGCTCACCGATTCCGTAGTGTAGGTCGCTCTTCATACGACTGTAGGCGCAAAAGTGCTCATGTAGGAGAGTTTTAGGAATGCGTAATGTAATCCAATCGCAGTAGCAATACAAATGCAATACAAATCAGGTGTAAAAACTATATTCAGTTTATTATTGCATGCTTTATATTGTATTTGTAATTATTTTTTTAAATGTGAAAAAAAATACTTTAGGAAGTACAAAAAAAAAACAAAAAACAATCGCCAGGATTTTTTTTACAAAAACATTTTTTGCACAGTCCGATTTTCGCCGAGTTGGTCATCGCCTAATCAGCACTGGTCCAGTTGAAAATGTTTCCGCTAAGTATTGGTTGGCAACTGTAAAAGTAGCCGCCCTTATTTGTCATGCTCTGAGTATGGAAAAATTGTTAGTTTTTGTAATCATCTTTAGTATTAAACATATATTTACATTTAGTTTGACTGTATTTTGTTTGCTCTACAAACTGTTCATACATATCAATATTATTGTTTTCTTATTAAACAAAACTCATACATTTTTGAAGAACAGTTTTGTTCACACAGTAAATGTTCAGGTTTAGGATTATACAAACTCAATAAAGAAAATCTATTTAAACTGATCATTGCAGCGTCTCGACTTACCTTAATTACGTGGCTTAATGTGTTTTTGTTTACTTGGTACTACTGACATATAATTAGAGTCATCATTGTATTCATTTTTTAATGAGTTGTAGGTGGTAGATGTTATGCTTGCTTCATTCGTTGCTTCTTGCAATGTAATTTCCGGTGATTCATTAATATAGTCATACACTTTAGTGTTCTCTGAAATGTGCAAGTATTTTTTATATTTGGTAAAAGTAAAACAAAACTTGTTTATAGAAAATATAACTTGCGAAGGTGATATAACAATACACGTTACTAGCGTTGACTTCTAAACGCCGTAATAGACTGTGTAAATATTAGTGTAACATTATTTTTTTTTATCGAAGGTAAGTTTCCTTTCCTTTACGTTCTAAATCAAAAGTCTTAAAAATGTGTTATATGAAATAGAGGTTTTTAAAAGGCGTTTGTTACCGCTTTTTGAATAATATATTTAATATTGGCTGGTCGCAAAAAATTAATAAACATCAATAAATCAGATTCTTTCGGATTTTATCAATGCATGTTGAATGCAATGCAAGAGATTGTTGCGTATAGATTTAATATATTTAATTTGTGAAAAAGGGATTTTTTGGTAGAAGGGGGTAAGCGAGTGTTTTGTCGATGTTTCTTAGTTTAGATGATATAATTTTATAAATAGTGGGTAGGCTACCATGAGAAGGGGAGAGGAGAACATCACGAGGAAAGCATTAGACTGTGATCCCTTGTAAATGATTATAGTGTAAGTGTTTGTGCTTTGTTTTTTACGCTGTCATAATTAATTCATGTTTTCATTATTTTCTTCGTGCATTTATTTCGTATTTATTTTGAAATAATTGTTGTAATTTATTTTTCGTGCGTTGTTTTATTTTCCTATTTTTTCCTTTATCTGTGTTGTGTTACTGTTACAAATATTATAGTTTGTTTTTTTTTAATTCGTATGCTGTTGACCTTTTGTTTTTATTGTTTTGAAATGTTATTATTAGGCTGTGATTTCTTAAGTATCCTTCATGTTGTAAGTTTACTTTTATATTGTGTTTAAGTCGGATTACGTGTTTGGTTGTGGATTTTTTTTTAAAAATACTGATTATTATAAATACTGTTTTATAACCGTAGTACATGTTTTAATTTTTTTTTTAATTACAGTTATTCTTCGTAAACTGTTGATATTCTTATTGTGTTTGTTTGTTATTTTCTAATTTTATCGGGTTGTGTTTTCTTTGGTACACTTCGTTTTTTTTAGATTTAGTTTTTGAATTGTATTTTAATCGGTTACATGACGCTTTGTTGTATTATATTACGTTTTTGGTTGTGGATTTTAAAAAATACTGTTTTCAAAACAGATATATGGTTCAGTTTTAAAACCGTAGTACATATTTCATTTTATTTTTCTGATACATAGAAATATATTTTCATTTTCTCGGGATATTTTTTTCTTATACATTTTTCTTCCCATTAAGAATTTTTGTAATATATAAGGAGTAATCGAATAATAGTGTACAAACCATTTTTACTGTTAAATTCAGGTGATGTTAATCCGTCTCCTAATTCTAAGACTTGATTAGAATAGTTATTTTTTGCATTGCCGTTAGAATGCGTTGTCCTCTTTAGCCTCCATACTAGACATATAACAGCAATGCTGATGATGAAGACACCACACATGGTTCCTATACCTATTCCAATGCCGATGCCATCTTTCATTCCCTTTGAATAATCTTTTTTTTGTGTCTGAAACTTAAATAAAAACATGTTTCTCAAAAGATACTTACGTAATACGAGTTAACACAATCTGTTTTAGGTGTAATCTCTGGTGTAGATTATATACGAATAATTGCAATAATATTAATTGCTTCGACATTCAAAGGTTCCAATATTTCAACCAAGATGTTAAAATATATTTTTACAAGCTATTGATGTTGACATTCAATAATTTAAATACGATGTTGACTAAAACATTTAAGGGAATAATTACATGTTACACAACATAATTTTAGTTATAAGGTACCTTCATCACAAAGTTCCCCATGTCTCCCAGTATTACAGCTGTAACACGAACCATTGATGTTGTTACAAAGCTGGTCTAAACCATCCATGCTACATACTTGCTTGCAACTCTCACCTTGATATGTAGCATTGCATGCTGAGGAGTTATTACTTATAAGTATTTCATGTTTATACTTCAGAGCAAATATTTAACTTAGGTTAAAATAACAACGTTTACTTATTTTTAATGAAACATTATTTATGTGAAGAAACGTGCAGCATAAACCTTGCAATTAAACCAAGCCATTATATTAAATGTACTCTCACTTATTACATAGTTCATAAATAAACTATCGTACATTGATAAAGACTCGTGTTATTTAAAAAAACAACTTTTAAAACATTTTCTCAATTTTATACTATTTTATAAATAGAACCACTAACGTTTTTCACAGTGGGGTCCTTGAAAACCTCGAACACAGCTGGAACATTCCCCAGTGATGCTGTCACAGACTGAGTCAATACAATTTGGTGAACAGTTGTACAGGCAGTTCTCACCGTAATGGTGTATAGCACACTCTTTGTACAAAAACCAACGCATGCTTTAGTTTCATAATTTACACTGATAATTATAAATAAATTTTTACATTTTTGTTTGCAGTTTCACTTCCATATTTCATAACACAATGTTAGATTAGTAGTTTATTTGTACTAAACTACATAACACACTGAGAAAGTAAACCTCCCCGCTCACAGTGCTAGTGCATACGATGAGGTTCACATTCCGAGTTATCTACTCATTTTTGACGTGAGTATCGTTACAACTAGGTTGATGAAATTTCATAATATATAAGTATGATATCAAATTTGTAGCTATGTATTAATTTTTCAGCGATTCCCGTTAACTGGAAGTTGGTCTTATTCTACTTTTAATTTTTCTTAAGGTTGTAACTTTAGTATATTTACAGATGGATAAACGAAATTTCACAAATAAGTAAAAAATCTTTTCTGACTTCTCTCAAACTTTGAGTAATTACAGTTTAACGGTAGTAGTAGTTTTCGCTATTTCCGATTTCTCAAAAAACACATTAATTTTTAACGTAGTTATATTCCGCACTATTATACACACGTTCTTTGTTGTTTACTTGATGCGCAATTATGTGTTCTATAATATTCTATTCTATTTTTTTTAATTTTAATTAAAAATTGATTAAAAATCATGACTATATCCTGAGTTGCCATCCCCTGTAGTTTTATATAACTTAAGTATATTCGAGAAAGTTTAGGGTTGGTCACTCCCGCTTTCTTTTCTTAGTAGTTTATCTAAATATATAAAGGAAAGTAGTCGGATGCCGCATAGGCGTTTCAAATTTGACTGGCTCCTGAGTCGGGCCGACGGAACAAGGGTACCGGTGCCGGTCGGCTGCAAATTACACGATGATAGGGTCAAAACTGACCTCGACTGACAATCAACTTATATGAGCTATATATCGAAAACAACTTTAGCCGAACGACACCCAACCCCCCACCTGATATTTCGTGCCCAACACGCATGGGGCTGATGAAGTAGAGACCTCGACTTATAAAGGAATAGTGTGGTCAGCACTATCCCAGCCAGAACTGAGTGGACTCAGGAACGGTCTTCTGACTGGAACCCGGAATCGAACTCTAGAATTTCGGGTATCCAACTCTCTACCGTTAGGCGGCGCCGTCCCATGTATATAATATAATATATAACGTTACAAAACATACTATTCCATACCTTCTACACACCCCTCCCCTTGATATCCCACAGCACAACCAGACCGACATCCACCTGTAGCTACAAAACATGTCTCAGTTGGGTCGTTACAGTTGCAGGTGTTGGCACATTCTAGTCCAAATGTTCCACTGGTGCAAATAAAGTCTATGAGGATAGGAGGTAAAACTTGGCTTACTATACATATGTGTATATCAATTACATCGAACTTATACTAACTTAACGTGTAGGATGACCCAGGACTAGTTCATGCCATACTTTGTTTTTTTTAATGTTACAAAACGTGTTTTAACACAGTCACACTATCATAAATGGTTTATACATGCAATTAATAAATATTTATAGGATGATAAAAGAATAGAGAGATAATGTACACAAGAAAAATCAGTTTTTAGATGTTTACTTTTATTGCAACAATTAGAAACGTGGGACAAGTTCACACGCTATACTTGTTTATTAAAAAAACGGTTCTGAAAAAGTGCAAACATCTCTGGCAAATACTCTACTTCACTGGAAGAAGAGAATTCCCATTACCACTTAGGACTTCTTAATTTTCAAACTATTACTATGTTGGCTCTCCCCTCTTTCAGAAATCAAAACGTAAAAGATGTTTAGGTAATTATAAAGGTATATTACCACAACATTTCGACACAACTGATTTTTTCTTAGGAAAACACTGGTATGGTATAATTAGTTTTGTGTATCACTTACCGCCATTTGCCTCCACCTCACACAACGTTAGAATATCGGAAACATTTACAACAACATAAGACACGGGTGTTGTTGGTGTAGTTGTTGTCACGTTGTAAATAGTTACATTGTTTCCAGTATGTGTATCTTGATAATAGAAGAGTTTATTATGTGTAGAACTGTAGCTTGTCAAGGTGAATCCTTTGAGCCGTTGACGGCTACTATCTGGTGATACAAATGACTTCAAGTTACACAGGCTTTGTAAAGTAACGCGGCCTTCGGTTCATCTCTGCTTAATTGATAAATATACAAATTTAACTTATGTTACCTCTGTTATACAGCACATATCTGTTAAGGAACAGTGGCTGTGTAAAAGTTACCCTCCAAGAGCCAGGTGATTCTGTTTTAGTGTGCGTGCAAGATTTTTCATTAAAGAAATCACTACTTGGATTCCCGTCTACAGCTCTGGTAGAATCAAATATCAGCACGCCCTCTGAGTAATTGCCTGATTGCCAGGTCGGTTGTCTTAGAGCAAGATTGCGACCTAAATCAGTCAAAAATGTTGAATACTACTATTTAGTACATTCGTACTTAGCCTACTTCCAGATCTTAATCGATGCACTTGGGTAGGATTCATCAAATAATGGAATAACGGTCTTGCTAATTGCGTGACGTCATGTATGTTTGATTTCAAATGAAAAAACATTTGATAAACTTATTATCTGATCATTATATATTTATATTCACCATTATGTAACGTTTGGTATAGTTTCCATTCAATATGTTATACAGCTGTATAATAAAATAAGTGCATATAAATGTTCAATAACAAGGTTTTATGTAATAATAAACTAAAACGGAGAAAATAAATATATATTTTTTTTAAACACAGAATTATGCACCACAATATTATAACTATAACGAAAAGCGTGGGTCGCAATAATTTACATATATATATATATATATATATATATATATATATATATATATATATATATATATATATTGGTTTATTATTATATATTTAAAGAAAATCATTTATATTCTCTTTTCCAGTGCATTATGACATATAAAGAGCTTGCCATTAAAACGTTTTTTATTCAATTTTTGTTTTCAGTCTTTTATTTACTTTTTTTTTTAAAATAGAGTTGCATGAATAAAAACATATGCGCACAAAGCGAACATGGCAATGCGCGTATAATAGTGCGGAAAAAATAATGTATTCATAATAAATCAATCTCTCATCCAATTAAGTCAAATTTGATGTCAGATTTTGTTGTCATCAAGCCTGACCCACGTACCAAGTTCGGAACAAATCTGCCAATTTGAAGTTTTGATCTATTACAACAGACTGACGACAGATAGACTGATGACAGAGGAAAATAAATGAAAGCTTGTAATAAAAGCTTGTATAAGACTTAATAAGCACTTTTAGGGGAATTGTTGAAGACAAGATAGTTTCTACGAATATTTATGAAGTGTAATGTTTTCTAATTTTGAAACATAAATGTAGCATGTAATTCCTTACCCCCACTCATTAAAATAGAGCAAACATTTTTATATGATTTAAAGTCAACAACAACTTGCTGTGCCAAAATATTGTTAGAACAGAAGATATCGGTGACTTTAGCGTAAACTCTAACAAGAGTCTGTTCAGTGCAGGCAATGTCTGCTCCACTGTTGTTTTTAAAATTCACTTGGACATTTTGAAGCGAGTCTGAAATGAACATTTACTTTAATAACACACCATGTTGATAACAGTCTATTACATATGACATACAAGTTTACCAAGAGTTTGTTAATTCTATTGTTTTAGTAAAAGCTTTAATTACGAAATTGCTATACTATCTTAATGTCAATCAACTGTCTCAGTATAGTTATAACTTTACTAGCTTTGCTTAGGTTTTCAAAAAAACATTTGAAATTTGAATGATTAATTACTTGCTGAGTGGCTGTTTTGTAGAGTTTTTAAGTTTAAAGAGTCTGAGTAATTTCACGTCAAACAGTTGATGGAATATTCACAAACTAATTTCTCCCAAAGTAATTAAAACTACAAAGGCTGCCTTAAAAATACAGCTCAAATATTATATTGAATTTACTTTCGCAATTAATTTTCATATATTTAAACGATTGCTATACTTCCTGACTTTTGTTTTTGTCGGAAAAAGTATAAAAATAATTTTTAAAACATTAATTTAAAAAGTTACTTCCCTTGAACGTAGACCAAATAACGTAGTCTTTGTTTACTTTTTCTTAAAAAACAAATGCTATGCTCATATTAGAAAATACGGCATCTATACAAATCTAACGACCCCCGGGTTTTTTCCGACGGGCGGAATGTTTTTTGTTATCCCTCAGTGTCGGTCTACGACCATGCGAAGCGTCGTAGGGGGTTTGAGCAAATTCAATTTTTAATATATAGCACATATAAGGAGAATTTCACTCGCGGTCATTTTTTAACCTTCATCGAGAGCTTAAACCAATAGTTTTTCCATACGGCCTAGTCATCAACAGATGTGCATGTAAAAAATTAGCCAGATGTACAGAGGTTAAGTACCCTAAAATCTCTGTTGACATTACCCTGTTTTTCCCATAAATTACAAAGTTTATATAGGGAAAAAAGACAGGTCAGTTTTCACCACTTTACGAAATTTTCCCAGATATGGCATGTTTTTATGACACCCTTAGGCGTTCTTCTACGGCCTCACAAAATATCAAGGTGGTCGTTCGGCAAAACGTTTTTTCGTAATATAACTCATATAAAAAGAATTTCACTTGCGGTTATTGTTTAGCCCTAGTCGAGGTCTCTGTGTCGAAACGACAGTTTTCCAATACAGCCTAGCCATTATCAGAGGTCTATGCAAAAAATTAGCATTCTCAACAATTTATTTTTTTACTTTTACTAACCCGCTTCATAGAGGACAACCCTAAGCCACTTGACTTGATAAGCAATATCCCACGACACAGTAAATGTTTGAACCCTCGCACACGTCATGTCATCGCCATCTGTTACTATGGTGTTAGATGTTGTCGTTCCTGGCTGAACTGTTGTCAGGTCCTCTGTTTGATAATAAAAAGTCAACCTCATAAAGGGATGATTGTATCTGCTCAACATAACTTTATAAATATGTCTTATTATCAAACTACTCACGATATTGACATAGAGGACCAAACCAGCCCCTGACACATGTAGACCCTCCTGTACACTTTCCGTCAACATCACATTGGTTGTTGGCACAGTGACATTTGTACTGACAGCTAGAGCCGAACCAGCCAGTGTCACATGCTAATGACAGGAAATTATATGAGATTATAATATATTATTTCGTTGCTTATACGCTTGTTTTTATTATTTATTTATTTTTGTTCATTCTCTCAAGTGAGTTCAGATAAAAAAAAAACTCTTCAACATTATCGTAATAAACTTAAGTACTGTACATCTGATTTTTATGTGTAGGCGTGTATACTTGTACACAAATATCTATAAAAGTTACTAAATAAAAACATAAATATCACAAACCTCCACTCGTAATCCTTAAATTAGTAAATAATAACAATGTTGATAGAAGAACTATATTGCAATCCTTTCCTTTAAGGTATAAAGTAGAATATATTAGTGTATAAAAACACACCAACGGGTGTAACGGTTAAGAATTTTACATTTATCTTTTTAGTCGACCGTTATAAAAACAATGCAAATTTTATAGAGCTACTCAGACATACAGAAAAAAGGGGCATCGACATGGACATCGTCATGTGCTATGCTCCAATACAGAGGCGTAGCTATGGGGGAGGGCGCCAACCTTAGGGGGCGCCAAAATTGGTTGGAAAAAGTAATAGAAAGTTTGAGGGGGGGGAGCAAATCGAAAGTTTGAGGGGGGGGGGGGGGGGTTGCAAAGCAAAAGTTTGAGGGGGGGGGGGGTGCAAAGCGAAAGTTTGTCCCAGGGCGCCGTGAAGGGTCGCTACGCCTCTGCTCCAATAACTGACAAGGAAGAAGAGATAAACCAAAGTACTATAAAAGACTTCAAAAATGTTTTGAAATGTACCCGCAGAAAAACATAACCCTCTTGCTGGGATATTTAACGACAAAAAGGGCCAAAAAATACAGTATATGAACATGTCATGGGCATCTATGCACTTGGATAAATGTCTACTAATGAAGAGAGATTTGAGCATTTTTGTGCAAAAAACAATATGGTCATTGTGGTATATTCCTAACGCATGAAAATGACCCACATATAGAGGGGCACTCTCGTGAGCCCCCGATTACACTATCTATGGGGCGTTGTGTACGCGCCCTCGGTTTAATCATAGAATGTTGTGTGCTGCCTTGTCAATATTGTAGGGCTCTTCTTAAAGCTATAATTTAAGCACCATAGTGTTCGCAGCATATTGTAGGGCGCCAAATCGCACCCTGCCGGTGTGCCGGGAAACACGCCTGATTTGTTTAGTGAATGCTTGTAAAACCCCACCTTATGCATAGTTCATCGCACTATTTAGAACGAACGAAGAGGACAATTTGCTTAAGGGATAGCCCAGTTGCCAAATCGCACACTACAAGGGCGCTGGAGACCGCGCCTGATTCGATTTAGTAACCATCGTTGTTGCCCATCGTGTATTTAGTGTATAGCCTTTTTTAAACTAACTTAAGCACCATGGTGCTCATACGGGAGCCCCAGCTGCTTCTGGTCACACAATAGCCTCTTGAAGTTTTAACACTGAATTAAATAGTAACCTTTATCAGCTATGCAGGACGTCCGATTAACGAATACGATATGATTAAACTGCCGCTCTAGAACTCAATATTGACAAAAAGTGCACCCTCCTGAGCACCGAAAATAGGAAATTTTTTTTATCGCAGAAATCTTCTAGGGAGTATTCTCACCAACTCCCCAAAGTTTCATGGCAGATTAACGGCGTAGATCCGACTTTTATTTTTATACACCGTAAAGAGAGAGCTCTTGCAAAATTAAGGCTAGAAACCACGCATTATTTTTTTACAAAATGTAACACGTTTCGGGGTGATTAATAAATGAATATGTTAATAGATGTTAACCTATAGACAAAATAATATATATAGCCCCCTATAGCAGTACTGGTTGCCATGAAAACTACGAAAGGGTGTGAAAACTAACACCTTTTCAAACCTCTAAACCTTTATTTCCAAAAGATATTTTTAAAAAGCTGATGAAAGATGTAGATTTCTCAAACCAAACTATACATTTCTAAGTTTATTCATTGCTAAAGTTTGTATTCAATTTTAATACATATTTTACGTACATTTATGAGCCAAATTTGGGGGTGGTGCTTCATAAATTTCAATATTTCCTAAAGACTTATAGTAAACGTAGTTTTTAGTTGATACAATGCTAAGCTTACTACACAATCTGGGATACAGCACTTGAGGGTAGACACGCCCTTCACCCCTCTCCCCCTAACCGCGAGATAGTGCGTGAAGATCCGATGAGCCATAGATTACCAATGTTTATTCACCGTGTAGATAGTGTTAAGCACCATGTTTCCATACAGGGCCTAAGTGAGTGCTTATCAGCTATCCCATCTAGTATCTACATTAGTTAGCGGAAAACACTACACAGAGTTAAAGGCATACACATTAACACATGTGTAGTTTACAGTCCGATGTAAAGTCTGATGAACTCGTCCAAGCCTTTCACATAATAATGTAACAAGATTATAAACTTGTCTTTGGTTGAATAGCGAGAAGGGGATGAGGGGGGTGAAGGGGATGGATTTAGTGCATTCTTCACACTGACAGACATGTCCATAACGCATTGTTTCAGCTTAGTATAAAACATACTAAACAATCTTTAATAGTGTTCCAATGACAGTCAACAAAGTTAGCAAAGTTTAATTTATTAACCTAAATGTTGTTGTATCATTTTAAAACAACAAATATAAAAGATGGTTGCCAGGCCACGTGGTTAGTTGTAACCTATTGTGAATTATTTTGATTTACTCTACTATAATACAATTGGTCAAGCCTATCAGTGAATCTTCCCATTATTTATTTTTACGCGAATGGCTTTATATGGAGTTAGACTTCAAATTTTACTTTGTAGAAACTTTTATCCCACTTATTTGTAGAACAGAATAAAAGGTCACTACACCAGCGTGTACACGAGTGTTTGGCCGATAGATTGCTGTAAGGTCTATGGAGCCTCGCGAGCAATAAAAGATGTAATACCCGCTCGAAGATAGTTTGCCGGGGGGGGGGGAGTACCATGTTTCTTATCGCAATAAAAGGATAACCGTAAACTGTAGAAGTCCGAATTGTTAGTGTTAGATAGCTAAAAGGTATTAGTACCGAATTAAGAAAATAAAATGATGAGCACTAAGTCACCTATATCGAAAACATATGTATCTTGTATCCTTAAATAAGATTTGTTTGCAAAAAACTTTTAAAAACGTTTATTCAACTCGCCAAATTTTCAAGTCAATTGACTTTTGCTTTTAGATACAGTATTCTGAACAACTTCCCCAAGCTGTAGTAGAAGGTGTAGTAATGCGTAAATGACAAACAGAAAGACAGACATACATTTGCCTTATAATCATATATATATATATATATATATATATATATATATATATATATATATATATATATATGTTACGGTCAAAGCCCGAAGTCGGCCAATGCGCGGATTGGCCGGCCAATCCGCGCATTGGCCAATACCGCCTCCCATAAGTCGGTCAAAGTCCGAAACTTTGCTTGATTTCGGCCTTTGGCCGGCCAATCCGCAGACTGGCCATGGTGGACCGGCCAAAGTCTGAAATAGCTCTTGATTTCGGCCTTTGGCCGGCCATTCCTCGGACTGGCCATGGTGGACCGGCCAAAGTCTTAATTAGAAGATCATCTGGCTAAATACGACCTGGCCAAAGTCTGAATTAGAAAATCATGAGCAGATTTTGGGTTTTTTGATGCCGTAATTATCATGAAATTAAGTCTTTATTGATTATTAATTAAAGTAAATGACAGAAACATTCATATTTTTTATTGTACTATAGTCTCAATCAATCAGTATTATCATTTGTTACAACAAGTTGAACTTTTATGGCATTTAGAATTACATAGCAGCTTGTTATTTTTACACTTGCAGCGATTTGTTGTGCACTTGGTTGTGCAATTGCAGCGAGTGTAGCCTTGGCCCCCAGTCAATGATTGTGAAGATGCGATGAAGATGCGATGGTTCGTAGTGATTTTTCCTCAGTGCCAACTGACGACAATAAGAGCAGTTTTTCGTGAAGAATTGAAAACTCACTTCTAGCATACAGTTGTTTTAGAACACCATGTTCCGTTCCTAATTTGTAGAAACCGCCCTCGACGCTCATGACAACTGCAATCACGCTTCGGTGATCACCGCTACCTCTGTCAACATCTGGAACACGGATGCGTACATTGTCACCCACTTCACCATCTTTAAATTTTGTATTTGATGTTTTAAGCATCTTAGCACCTTGATTTTGCAAGCCAGTATGAGCTGCTGATCTGTGTTCCATGATGTCTTGTTTGTTGTGACACAATCTGCAGGTAATGTTCCCTCCGTAACCTTCGTCTGCTTCATTGGGTACTCCACAAATAGCATGGACATCTTTGCCACAGGATCCACAAGAATGAGCTGCACTACAATGTTTTTTACAAACTATACAGATTTTGTTGGCCACATTATTGTCACGCAACTGATCTGGACGTTCCGCAACGGCAGCAGATGTGTTAGCTGAGGATGTAGTTGCATTAATGTCAACCTCCATTTCTTGTTCAATGTTCTCAAGATCTTCCTCAGTAACTATTTTATTGAGAGCCTCTCTTGTTAGATTTGAAGTCCCACTTTTGCTTTGCATCCAAACAAGGCTTCGTATGGTGATTGTTGGATTCCTTGATGAAAAGAACGATTTTTCATAAATTGAATGAATTTGAGACTCTCAGCCCAATGAGCTGATTCATTTGTTTGCATCCATGTCATCATCATATTTTGAACATTTTGGTTGGCACGTTCGACTGAACCTTGGCTTTGGCTATGCCTTGGTTTTCCGTGAACTAGTTTAAGTTTAGGCCACATGTTTTTTAGTTCAGAAATAACTTGATTCACAAATTCTCTTCCATTATCTGATTGAAGCACACTTGGAGCACCAATAGTCGTGAAGATATCCAGCAGCTGGTAAGCAACTTCTTCTGCTCTTTTGGTTTCCAAAGCTCGCAACAATATGAACTTGGTTAAATGATCCTGGTAACTGAGTATAAACTTGTATTTGCCGTCTGTGTTACTTTGCATATCAATAATATCTACTTGGTATCTTGAGTTAAATTCTTTAAATATTAAAGGTTTGAAAACAAGACCTTTCTTGGGATTAGACAATTTTGTCTGACAAGGCTTGCACAACCGAAGATACATAGTAATGATTTCTTTGGTGATATTTTTGTACTTTCTCTTGAGCTCTTTTTACATCCTTGTGGATGCTTTACAAACAAGAGCTAAACAATACGTTACTCACAATGAAACCGCACCCAGAATAATGAAAACGCGATCACAACTTAGTCTAGATAGAACATTGGCCAGGACATCCCGGCCAATGCGCGCATTGGCCGGCCAATGTACAAAATACGCTGTCAAGTTTAAGCACTTCGGACTTTGGCCAGTACGTCCCGGCCAGTGCGCGCATTGGCCGGCCAATGTACGAAATACGATCTTAGTTCTAAGTTCTTCGAGCTTTGGCCAAGAGAGCCGGCCAATCCGCGCATTGGCCGGCCAATCCGGGGTTTGGCCGCACTTCGGGCTTTGACCGTAACATATATATATATATATATATATATATATATATATATATATATATATATATATATATATATATATATATATATATATACATATATATATATTATACATTAATAATATTTGTCAGCGACCACTACCCATCAATAGCATAATAATGAGTAACAGAATATATTTTTAAAACTTAGATCTTTTTTGTAAAATAATATAGACTTAACATGACATTTTCATAAATTCCAGATACTTACCCTATTAATAAATGAGCGTCACAACACGTACACTTTTTTTTAAAAGACAGTAATTCATTTAAATTTCTTTAGTATTTTGTTTTAATCTACCATACTTTGAACACTATATAGATATAACGTTTAGAGCCAAATAATATCGCGATATGTGTCCCAGAGGTCTATGGAATATTACTTACTGGAAGATTGTGTAGTTGTTTAACTTTTAGATAACGAGTGTGCTGCGAAACGTCCTGAAGTCTGTCCGTCTGATAACAACTTAACACACAAATGCATGTATCCTACACTTCACGGATCTATTGATTAAAGTATATTTTTAATTTACATATATATATATATATATATATATATATATATATATATATATATATATATATATATATATATATATCGTGTAATTTAGAGTCATTCATGATGATGGCTTAGAGGTAGTGGATGAGGGGTATGGCTTAAAAATGTTTGACTAAACACATTGGCATTTGAGAATGTATTTAAGAAATTGTATTTAGCGTTTTCAAAAACAGGTTTTGTAAGTAATTATGATACTGGACTGACAGAAATCGATCAAGGAGTTTCTATACAACCAATCAATGTTTGTCTTACGAAAGTGAAACTTCAGTTTATAACTTAGGCTTGACGAAAATAAATAGAAATGTAGCCTTAAACTCAAATAATTATTTTCAAGTTATCAAGATTTGCAACTTTTATAAAATTGACTTTAAAGATATTAAATTTTTAAATTATTTTTAGGCGTGAGTATTTTATTTTTTTTTATTTTTATTGTCGCTTTGATTGCAAAATCTAAAACAGCACGTTATTAATGTCAACAATATGATGGAAGGATTCTTCTCAACTCGGTCGCCTCCATTACCTTTCTGCGAACCAGAATGTCAAATGTACTGAACTAATGTCGTTTGAAATGTTTCTGTCTAGTTGTAATACCCCCTTCTAGTTTAGCAAATAGGATAAATCATATGATCACTAAAATAATCTTAATCTACGATTGCTCAAAAGAAGTAATATGGTATCTATGACCTTTTTAGAACAGAGACCTCAAATAAAATATACACATTGTTGCAAAAATGACTGTCTATTAATGTGCTAGTTTACTAGTTTAATCGTTTAGTATTGTTACTGTAGCTATAGTGTTGTAGTTATTAGAGAAACGGTATAATGTGTTGTCTTTGTGTAGTCTGAATATACACATTGCATAATAATTTAGAGCGGCCTCTTGTTAAATACAGAAATCCAAATGGCTTGTTAATAAGCTAACAGAGCTAAATCCCTTATTTAAATGGAAATGGCTACGACTAGTAATAAACGGTACTACTAACTGTAATCTACTAGCACTTATTAAGGATGTTTATTTTTGCATTATAGATGATTATATCAAATCAAAAGAAAACAAGAAAACAAAGTAGAACAGAAATGTCGACATAATTCGTTTTTAGGGCCATTTTAAGCCGCAGTCAGAATTACCATTTACCATTTTATTTTAGTATAATTCAATGTTACAGAGAGTACTTTAGGTGTGTTTTTACTGAAGTTGATTTTAATAAAAGCTCTAGATTCAAAGATGCTTATTTTTCGTGTGTATTTATACTTAATGATACGCTCGTTACAGTGTATAAACATAATATATCGTAAAACTTCTTTAAATATCAAACTAAACATATTTTAAAGAAAACTATTTTACCGCCATTTTCTGATGAACCTTACCACATCTCCCTTCTATGCACTACCTATCCCCCTCCCCCATCCTCTCCGGTCAACTACACTCAAGAGTTAGCTGTAATAACCTCTGAACCTACCGTTAGACTGTACGGTCGGGTTAGATCTACGATGGTGACCAATCCCCAAGTGTGACACACGCATGGGACGAGTCCATCTCAGAAGGCCGGTGTCACAGCATTTATCTCTCTTAAACTTCTCTCACCTCTGTTTCAACTGAGACACGTCACTCGTGTTGATCCTTTAATTACTGTATTTTATTATCAATCTAAAACTGGTATTTGTGGTATCTTCTTGCCCGTGGCGTAGTTTATTATTTTACCTGTGTAAAACGTATTCTGCCCGTTGCATAGTTCACGTGGCAGTAGATTATGTGTTAATATTATAAACAGTATTATTCGTGTCAGTTAAATGGTTCAGAAATAGTGTCTAAAATTGACACACGTGTGGAATTCTTTTTACAAAAACAATAGTAAGATAATTTAACAAGATAAAATGCAAGATTAAATACAATTATTAACATAACAATATTATCAAAATAAAAAAAAATAGATTAGAATAATAATAATATGGGTAACATTAATCCAACATTGACAACTAATTCACTCATTCTGAATAATCTTGACACAGTGTGTTATATTGTATATTAGGTTTTAAACAGAAGTTCAGTCACAATACATTTTTATGTGCAATGAGTAATCGCAATTTACACACTGATAAAAACAATGCATAGTATATAAGTGATATTGCTTACACTATGATTAATTATTTTCTTAATAATAAATACTACTTACCTAAATGATGTTCTTCGAGGTTTAAACTCAATTTGAATGTTAAAATGTGTAGAATTTATAAAAAAAAAATCTCTTGGTTAAAACGAAATGGGCGGTTAGCGGAATCCAATTATTACAAAATTATACAGCACTTTTTAAAGATTGATTAATTAATTCTTAGCTTTTGGTAATATTGAAGACGGATTATTTACTTAAATGGTTTTAATTTAATTATGTATCACATTTTATGTCATGCTTGACAAATGTATTATGAGTGATGTATTTTTTCAAATAGTTGTTATCACAAGTAAACAATAGTCTAGCAATAGTGCTTATTGGATATTTATAACGTTACATTTATAATACTTAACTTACAATTAGAGCACCCCTCCCCTTGATATCCAGCAGCACAACCAGACCGACATCCACCTGTAGCTACAAAACATGTCTCAGTTGGGTCGTAACAATGGCAAGGGTTGGTACATTCTAGTCCAAATGTTTGATGTGTGCAGAAATAATCTTAAATATAAGAAATGGAGAAAAGACGCAGTTACCTTTATTAATGTTTTTTTTTGTAGCAAAATGTTAACTTGTTATGTTAGAAACATAAATAATGTATATATTACATCACTTACCGCCATAGATCTCCACCTCACACAACGTTAGAATCTCTTTAATATTTACAATAACATATGATACAGGTGCTGATGTTGTGGTTGTTGTCACGTAGTAAACGTGGACGATGTTGTCAGGATTTGTGTCAGTGTAAGTAAAGAGTGTATTGTTTGTTGAACTATAGCTTGTCAAGGTGAATCCTTGGAGCCGATAACGGTAATCATCTGGGGATAAAAATGTCTTCAAGTTACACAGGCTATATACAGAAACGCGATCTTCGGTTCTTATCTGCCGTTATCTTTCAATAAAGAAATACATTTATTACATAACATTATAAAATTGAAGTTATATTAAGTAACGATACTATCATATATTAAACCAAACGAATATATTATATAGAATAATGTGTACCTCTGTTATAGAGTACATATCTGTTGACATACACTGGCTGTATAAATGTGACCTTCCAAGAACCAGGTACGTGTGGTAGAGTGTGTGCACACGTGTTATCAGTTAAAAAATTCCCACTTGTATTCCCGTCCACAGCTAGAGTAGAATACAATGTTACACCCTTCTCTGTCCAGTTGCTTGATTGCCAGGTCGGTTGTTTTAGCGCCACATTCCGACCTAGAAAATTGTTAAATTTGATGAACTTTTGTAAAGAATATAATCTTAAAACTAAAAATAGATGTAATAGAAAAACAGATCAATATAATTATTACCACAAAACAATATTAAGAATTGATATTCGTTCTAAGAATGGGTTAGCGAATATTGAAATAGTTATACCTACATTTTGATCTATATTTTTAATAGCATCTTATATTAAACGTGTACGACGTGAACATGCATAAACCTAAAGCCTTAACCACGTTAATGTTTAAAACAAGTGAAAAAGTTTTCAAAAGTGTGATTGGGTCTTCAGATTCGTATGGTAAAATCAGTGTTTTTAGAGCATCATCAACACAAACGTAACGCTTATGATTCTTAGCTGGTGTAAATCTGACTGTGTAAAGTGTTCGGGTCGGTTAAGCCTGGGGCAGCCATTAATCAAGAATAGACAACTCAAAAATCAAACACCTGCTGGATTGTAGTTTGTTCTTGATTGGAGAAAGTCGAATGCAAGCAAATCCAAAAAAAAAAGTAGGCTGACATTGGATTAAACGACCTATGTGGTGCATATGAGTTGACACGTAACACTTAATTGTGTTGGAGGTAGTCCCTTACAACACTAGAAATAAGATCGAAGAAGAAGAAAAAAGTGCAGATGCCTTTCTTCGATGTAAAGAAAGAGGCCATAATAATGCTTAGTTTGCATATACACTTCGAACACCTTTGCAAAACAATAACAGCTTTCGTTTAAAAAAAATTCACACAGTCCCTAAATATAGTAATTAACTTAATACGATAGTTATATTGTCCTACAATAGCGACCACTTCCCAACGAAGGTGTGTTTACAAAGCCGTTTCATCGGTAGATGAGAAATCCATCGACCTAATGTGGTAGGATAGTCTCATGATCGATAAGTTTTAATATTATAGCAATTATAATATGAAATGTAATGCGTAATGTTACCTCCGCTTATGTAAACAGAGCAAACAGGTCTGTCTGTCCTAAAATCTATGAGAACTTCTTTGATCAGCGAGTTTGTAGAGCAAAAGAAATCTGTGGCTTTGTCAAATACTCTAACCAGCGTCTGATTAATACAGGCGATGTTTGTTCCATCACGCTTAGTAAATGAAACTTTTGAATTTTTTAAAATGTCTGAAAAATATACATTTATTAAAAATACACCATTATTTATAACATAGTAACGTACCCGTCCCTCGCGATCCTGCTGTTTCAGGAGAAGGGCTGAAGAAATATTTTTAGAGGATTTGATTAATACGTTACCAATCGAGTTGTTTTCCAAAACTGAATTAATCAAAGCAGGCGATATATGTATTTGATCATAGTTGTTGTGATGCGGGTTTAAAACATTACAAACTAGACGATCTAGATTATGCTGTCTGAGAGCCTTGAGTGTAAGTTAATCACCCTCTGTAAAAGGGAGCGAGAACTCATATCGG